CATGTATTCCACTTCAAAATTTCGAAGTTTCAACAAAATCGAAGAAGTAGGGGACAACTTTGATTTTTTAGGCATGGAGCTACCCTACTAAAAACAAAATCTTATTGTAAAATTACACTAGAACCTTTGAAATAGTACTAACATGGTTAAGATGATGGCGATGGTTAAGAGAACCAAGAAGCAATAAAGTAAAACTTTTCCATAAACCTCTATAAAAGAAAACACTATCGTATTTTCTAAAAGGTCTTGTATAGATTAAAAAGCAACAAAAATCTTTATCATTAGCCGTGAGGAGATTTGACATGAGAACGGTGTAATTGGAATAGAGATTATTTATATACTAGAATTTCTCAATTATTTCGATATATATAGGAAGTGGATATATTTTATGAGACGTTAAATATGATAGTATCTTAAAAGTTCTTGGAAGGAGAAGAGGGGAAAAGCACATTCTCTATTCTTGTGGTTGGTTATATGCGCGCAACGGTGTGATTACTCGAATATCATGACAAGTGAAGGAGCATAATTGAATATAGTCTTTGTAAAGGATCTTTTGTAAAGATTTTCAACATTGCGTGCGTGATAGTGTTTGCCCACGCACATTTACCAAGCGCGCACCTACGCAATCTTAAACTTAATACAGAGACGCAGCGTTCAGCTGCGTAAAGAGTTGTGTTATACAAGTTCACTGAAGATACTGGGTGATTCTTAATGAAACAAAATAACAGACTCCATGAAGTGCTGCATTCATTGTTCCATTCAGTGCTGCAAGTAGCACACAATTTTATAAAGAAAATTTTTAGATTAAAAGCTCCATGGTTATAGTTTTAGAACCAACTAAAATGTGGTACTGCGTTCGATTAGGTAGCCTATGGTTAACCCAATAATTTTTTTTGGGTTTAGCTAGAAAGTCTGGTTTCATTTAAATAATTCCCTTAGTGAAGGAAATGAATGATGCTATATCGGTTGTCATCAAAATTTCATGCTATCCATTACAATCAAGACAATCTGAATTAAAACTGTTATCATCTAACATAGAAGATAGTAGAAAATCAAGATAATCTGAGTTGAAACTGTTATCTAACATAGAAGATAGTAGAAAATCAAGATAATCTGAATTAAACCTCTGTTATCATCCAACCTACAGGATAGTAGAAAATTGAATGATTCAGATGTTGCTCCAAACAACCTGGATTAATAACTAATGACAACTACCATCCAAAACGGTACAAAAATTTACTGATGCTACAGATTCTATATACTTTGGATTATAACTGATATTTGAAACATTCGTGTCCTGTCTGACAGATCCAAAAAAGTAAATCATAATTGCCAAGCAACCTGGAAATGCAGGAAATTTTATAAACCTTAAAAAATTTTATAAACCTCGAAAAGTCAGGAAAATTTGATCGGAATCCTGAAAAATTGTTCTTTTTCTAAAAACTCCGACTAAAGTTAGGGGCCGTTCATAAACTACGTCACACTATTTTGCATAATTTTTCCACCCCCCCCCCTCCCCACGTCACAAATTTTTACATGCTTTGGCGCCATTTTTTCTACAGAACGGCACAAAAAATTAATTCACCCCCCCCCCCCTCTCTAAGGCGTGACGTAGTTTATGAACGGCCCCTTATTATGATTATTCTTAAAATATCATTAATTTTTAGAATTCATAAAAAATTTTGAATTTTGATATTTTTTATGTTAAAACTACATAAAATACAATTTTAATCAAATTCAATAAATTACATATTATGAATAAAAATAAATTTAAATATAAATTTTAGTTAAAAACACAAAAATAATTAAATTTTTTTACAAAAGTTAGAAACAATAGCAGAAGTTCAATTATTTTCAAAAATAATAAACTTCTTCACAAAAATTCAATTATTTTCAAAAATTTCAATTACCCAAAAATATTCCTCAATTTCATGATTTTCAATATTAATTATTTTATTTATTTTCATAAATATAATAAAAATTCCACTGGAATTCAATTATTTACAATTTTTTTTTATAAATTTCTTCGCAATAATTCAATTGAAGGGCTACATAAAATAAGGGGACGAACGCGAGACTTGGAAGGGATAGTACCAGTCGGGTAGCAGGACAAGCCTTGAGCCGCTCGCTGCTACCTGACTGATATTATCCCTTTCAACCACGCGTTCGTCCCCTTATTTTATGTAGCCCTTCAATTATTTCCATAAATAATAAAATTCTTTTGAGAAATTTCATTATTTTCACAAATAATAAAATTATTTTTAGGAAATCAATTATTTTCATAAATAATTCAATTGTTTACATAAATAATTCTTTGAAAGAATTCAATTATGTTGATAAATAACAAAATTATTCCCGAAAATTCAATTATTTTTTAAAGTAAAAAATTCTTCTTAGAAATTCAATTATTTTGATGCATTTTAATAAAATTCTTTGCAAAATTCAATTATTTTCATAAATAACAGTATTTATTACAAGAATTCATTTATTTTTAAAAGTAAAAAATTTTATCATGAAAATTCAATTTTTTAAAAAAATTCTAACAAAATTGTTCACAAGAATACAATTATTCCATAAATAATAAAATGTTTTTTAAGAATTTAATTATTATTGAAAGTTTTAATAAAATTCTTAGAGACTATTCAATTATTTTCATAAATAATAAAACTCATCGCAGGATTTCAATTATTTTTAATATATTTTAAAATTAATTCCGTTAAAAACGCAATTCTTCTTAAAAACTTGAATAAAATTTTTCGAAAAATTCAAATATTTAAACAAATTTGATATAATTTGTTTCTTAGAGTGTAATAATTATTTTCAATTCATTTTCAATTATATTTCTTGAATGAATTTAATTATTATCAAAAATTGTAATGCAACTCTTCTTAAAAATTGAATTTTTAAAAAAAATCTTGATAAAGTTCTTTATAAGAACTCAAATTTAAGAAATATTCAATTATTCAATAAATTATTTATTTTTGTATTTAAATAATTGAATTCTAGTAGAATTTTCTAATAAAAATTGATTTTCATTTCATAAAAATGAATTTCAGTTAAAATTTTAGATAATGGAATATTAAAAGCAATATAACGTGAATTTTTAAAAAATAATTGAATTTTGAAATTGATTTTTTTGTCAAAGTTTAATATTGAATATTTTGAAAATGTTTTGAAGTTTTTATTTTCTAATATTTATTGATTTGAAGAATTTACGAATAATTGAAATTTCATAAAATTGAATATTGTAGAGAAATAGATTTGAAAATTGTCAAAGAACTTTTTCGAAAATTATTAAAAATTAATATAGATAATCGATTTAAAGAAGAATTTTAGTTCAAAATTCTTGTAAATATAATAATTGAATTGTAAATGATTTTATCACTCGGTCATCTTTATAATTATTATAAAACAAGAAGAAGTAGATCACTCCGAGTTGAAGACTCGGAGTGATCCAATTCTTCTTGTTTTTTAATAATATTCTTTTAGGTTATTAAATTTCAAAAGGTTTGAATGTGAAATTTTTGAAAATTTTAATTCCCATGGAAAAATAATGGATATAATAATTGATGTTTTCGATTAATTTTTAATTACAGAAATTCTTAAATAAATATATGTAATAGATTTAATCTGCTACCATTCAATTACTTTCAAAATTTACTAATGCTAAAGATAATCATCCATACAATCTGGATTGTAACTGACACTATTTACCACCAAAAATGGTCCACTTTGCTGATACTAAAAAACCATCCAAAGTAGTAAAAAAAAATTGTCTGATGCTACACCGTCTAAACTATTATTAAATACTTTCACAACTTACTATTGCTAAAGATAATTCTGCATACAATCTGGATTGTAACTGACACTATTTACCTCCAAAAATGGTCCACTTTGCTGATACTACCGATAAGCATCCAAAGTGGTAAAAAAAAGTGGTTGATGCCACCATCTAAATCATACTTATTGTAATAATTTTAATTGTTCAAAAAAAACCTTTATTCAAAACTAGAAGTCCTGGTAGTTATGCCTGTTAAGGCACTGAAGGACCATGTCCATTGAACATTGATCTGTTATTCAAGAACACACAGTATATATTCACAATGGTGTAGATCCACCCCCGTAGCTTTTGTTCGGCATACGATAATTGTCCACGAGCCTATCAGGACCATTATGAAATGATATTGGTACTGGGCATAACACTACCACACCTTACTCCCATTGTAAATCAATCCACGGTCACGATAAACAATTTAAGCAAACCCAAACTGTATCATTACGTACAATTTTTTTACCCATGCTTCTAATGGCAACAATCCTTTCGCTTATAGGTTCAACTTTAAATTTAATTGAGAGATGAGATATTATCAAGTTTAAATTCTTATAAATATTCTTCTTTTTCTTCAAAGGAACAATACGAAGTACGTTATGCTTTATGTTTCCCCGGGCAAGTTCAAGTGGTAATGAGATTGTAAATATCCAGTAATCATCAGACTAGTCTCTAAAATAGTATCATGTGACGACAACAAACCATAGTCACTCGTCATCATAGCTCAAAGTTGCGGCAGATTTATATTCGCCTCTCTTTCGTCATGCCTCTGCATAGTGTTGAAAATTACACAGCTATAAAATTCTTTGAATAAGACGGAACCAATCGCAATGCCCACGTCTGACATTTTCTGCGCAAGATGCACGTGAAACAATTTAGAGAGAAAATAAAACGAAACCTAATAATTCCACTCTCAATATATATATTATGCGTTATAACGCATAGAAAAGATTTTCAAAGGATCAACACTAAAAAGAAACATCTTAAAATTGGTTTCAACATCAATTTGAAAATTGGCTCAAAATCTGTCCAAAAAGAAGCTAAAAAATAATCCTAGATCGAAAATGAATTTTTTGGCATTATTACCATTATCTAATCGTTTTTTCCACAAACAAAACATTGGATCAATAAAATTTAGCTCAAACTTAAAAATTTCCCTCTTAAGATCACAGAGCCTGAAACTCCTTCATGAAGGATAGTTCAAAACTATTTGAAGGTGTATAACATTGGATAACATTGTGTATACATTGGATCAATAAAATTTAGCTCAAACTTAAAAATTTCCCTCTTAAGATCACAGAGCCTGAAACTCCTTCATGAAGGATAGTTCAAAACTATTTGAAGGTGTATAAATATATATGCAATTTCTAGAGAGTCAAGATGCAGTCAAGATGCAGTAACTTGGCAGTAACATTCAAGAGTCAAAGGGCTGACAGCAACTTGCATAAGTAATATCTTTTATATTCCGATCAGAGTTGAAATAATTTTACCGTATACATTAATTTACCGCAGACAAAAAGTAACGAAAAAGAAAAAATTATTAGAAACATGGAAAACTTTGACAGGTGCATAGTTCAGAAGCGTCGTATTATCACTTTTTATGACTAATAATACATACAATATTACATAAATTTGCTCTCTAATGACTTCAGGAAATAATAATTTTTTATCAACTCTACATGCGATTTTAAAGTATAAACAAAATGTCAAAAAATGAAAATTCATTTTGCATTTTGTAAAAATCTTCTTTTTCTTTTATAAAAACTATTTACGATTTTATTGCCATTCCTACATGTTTTTTGCAAATTTTAAAAATCATTATTTGAATTTCGATGAAAATTCCAAAAATAATTATTAACCGAAAAATTAATAAATTTTTGTTAAAATTACTTTTTTTGGATTGCAATTTCATAAATAGTGTAGATGAAATGAGGGAGCCACTTTACGACCATCTGCAGAATTCTGCAAGTCGATAATCTCACCTCTAGTTACAGAAAACCTTAATAGATGTCTTTGTTACAAATTTAAAATTAAAACAAAAAAAAAAACTTACATGAAAATAATGAAAATTTTACACTAAAATCAATTTCTCTTTATTTTAAAAACGAAAAACAAATTTTTCCTATTTTTATACTTTGTAAAAAATAAAATGCTAATTTTAACATTAATTCATAATTTTTAAAATTAACATTTAAAATTAAAACTAATTTTTAAATCCTTTAAAAGAAATGTCGAAAAATTGTTCTCCAACTTTTTCTGACATTAAAAAGAAAATATGAGAAAATATGACAAAAATACGATCAAATATTCACTGTCTAAAAATTTTGATGAGTAAAAATAGTAAAATTATAACTAAAAAATTACGAAATTAACAGATCGTAAAAAGCGAGACAATTAATTGTTTATCTATAATATATTCGCAAAGTGGAAACATACAAGATACTCGGGTATTCCCCAGCTCTCCCACCCCTCTCTTTCTCTCTTTTTTTTCTATCAAACGAAAACGACAAGCTTTATCCTGTAAACGTCACTCTTTCACCAAGTTAAATAATATTATTTAATCTTTTTTCAGTTAGCAGTGTTGACAGAAAATCTGTTCTTTCCCTTTAACAACAATTTACAAATTATCAAAATCAAATACTAATGAAACAAAATCTAATTTAATATTTTAATTATACGTAATATGAAATAAATTAATAAAAAAAAAAAAAAAAAAAAAAAAAAAACCAATTAATAAAAAAGATAATTTAATAATGATAACTGACATAATAGGACAGTGTCGAATTTGCAATCAAAAGCACTTTCTTCATGTAAGTGAAACATCAGAACATAAGGAGGAAAATTTAAAAATTTCTGTAAGTAGAATAAGAAAAATATTTTGATTTGAATTTGAAAGATTTTCAAAATCCAATTATTTTTTAAAAATTCACGCTCTATAATGCTTTTAATATTCAATTATTATCTCAAATTTTAACCAAAATTCATTTCTAAATAAATTTTTATTCAAAAATTCTACGAGAATTCAATTATTTAAATACAAAAATAAATAATTTACTCATGAATTGAATGTTTAAAATTTAATTTTTACGAAAAATGTTATTAACAACTTTTTTAAAATATTTAATTTCTTTTAAGGAATTTAATTAAAATTTAACTGAAATTTTTTGAGGAATTTTATTAAAACTTTTAAAAATAATTGAATCCCTGCGAGAAGAATTTAAATAATAATTTATGAAAATAATTGAATTCATGCGAAGAATTTTGATATTTATCGCAAAATAATTGAATTTTGGAAAAAGAATTTTATTAAAATTCCTTAAAATAATTGATTTTATAGTTAGTATTTTGTTGATTATCAAGATAATTGAATTTTATTTGCAGAATTACTTAAAAAATTTTATGAAAATAATTGATTTTCTGCGATGAATTAAAAGTCATTTATGAAAATATTTGAATTATTGCAACGAATTTTATTATTTTATTGAATAATTGAATGTTTCTTAAAATTGAATTCTTTCTTCAAGTTTTAATAAAATTTTTAAGAATAATTGAATTTTTGGCGAAAAATTGTGCTATTTGTAAAGATAATTGAATTCTTAACGCGAGATATTCGTTAAAAATTTTAAAAATAATTAAATTTATTCCAAGAATTTTATTATTTTCGAAAATAATTGAATTCTTGTGATGAATATTGTTAATTCGTTATCAACAAATTTTCAAATAATTGAATTCTATCAACGAAGTTTAATCAAATTTGTAAGAGTAATTACAATTTTCGAGAAATTCGATTAAAATTGTATTAAAAATAATTGAAATTCTTCAATGAGTTTTATTTATGAAAATAATTGAACTCCTAAAAAGAATTTTATTATTTATGAAAATAATTGAATTCTTGCGAACAATTTTGTTAGAATTTTTTTAAATAATTGAATATCCAAGAAAAAATGTATTACTTTTAAAAATAATTGAATTCTTGTGATGAATATTGTTAATTCGTTATCAACAAATTTTCAAATAATTGAATTCTATCAACGAAGTTTAATCAAATTTGTAAGAGTAATTACAATTTTCGAGAAATTCGATTAAAATTGTATTAAAAATAATTGAAATTCTTCAATGAGTTTTATTTATGAAAATAATTGAACTCCTAAAAAGAATTTTATTATTTATGAAAATAATTGAATTCTTGCGAACAATTTTGTTAGAATTTTTTTAAATAATTGAATATCCAAGAAAAAATGTATTACTTTTAAAAATAATTGAATTCTTGTGATGAATATTGTTATTTATGAAAATAATAGAATTTTGAAAGAATTTTATTTAAATTTTTGAAAATAATTTAATTTTTGACGAAAAATTTTGCTATTTGTAAAAATAATTGAAATTGTTCAATGAGTTTTATTTACGAAAATAATTGAACTCCGCTAAAAAGAATGTTATTATTTATGAAAATAATTGAATTCCCAAAATGCATATTATGATTTATATAAATAAACAGAATAAATAGTTTGCATAGAATTTTATCAATATTTTTGAAAATAATTAAAATTTTGCCAGGAATGTTATTGAAATTTTAGAAAATAATTGAATTTCAGAGAAGAATTTTATTGCTTGCAAAAAAATTAATTGAAATTTTGACGAGAATTTTATTAAAATTTTAAAAAATAATTGAATTTCTGTGAAGAATTTTATTACTTTTTGAAAATAATTGAAATTCTGCAATCATTTGTAACTTTTTTTTAAAATTCAATTTTTTTTAGTGATTTTAACTGAAATTTATTTTTAAATCAATTTTTATTAGAAAATTCTACTATAATTCAATTATTTAAATACAAAAATTATAATTAAATTCATTCAAGAAATGTAATTAAAAATGAATTGAAAATAATTATTGCACTTTAAGAAATAAATTATATCAAATTTTTTATATAATTGAATTTTTTCGAAGAATTTTATTCAAATTTTTAAAAATAATTGCATTTTTAGTTGAATGAAGTTAAAATTATATTTAAAATAATTGAAATCCTGCTATGAGTTTTATTATTTATGAAAATAATTGAATAGTCTCTAAGAATTTTATTAAAACATTAAAAAATAATTGAATTCCTTAACAGCATTTTATTATTTATGAAAATAATTGAATTCTTGCGAACAATTTTGTTAGAATTTTTTTAAATAATTGAATATCCAAGCAAAAAATTTATTACTTTTAAAAACAATAGAATTCTTGTGATGAATATTGTTGTTTATGAAAATAATTGAATTTTGAAAGAATTTTATTTCAATTTTTGAAAATAATTGAATTTTTGCCGAAAATGTTTGCAATTTGTAAAGATAATTGAATTCTTGACGAGATATTCGTTAAAATTTTTAAAAATAATTGAATTTCTTCGGAGAATTTAATTATTTTTGAAAATAATTGAATTCTTGTGATGAATATTCGTTATTTATGAAAATAATTGAATTTTGGAAAAGAATTTTTTAAAAATTCCTAAAAATAATTGAATTTCTGTGAAGAAGTTTGTTATTTATTAAGAGAATTAAAAACTTTTGAAATTATTAAATAATTTTTAAAAATTAATTCTTGTGAAAAAATTCATTCTCGCTTTTAAAGACTAATTGCAATTCTTTAAGTAATTTTTTTTTCAAAATACACACAAAAAATTCTACCTCCAGTATAAAAACAATTGATGCTCATTATAATAGACAAACTCACAAGGAGAAATTCTGCCGACAAAATTTTCCCATACCCTCACCCTTGACATTTCATATTAGTTAAGTTTTATTGTATGGCAAAATATTAAAAAAAAAGGGGGAAAAAATGAAAAAGATTTATCTTCAATTAACTATTGCTTTAGGCCATCTAAAATCTACAGAGCTAATTTTCTACAGCTTGCGTAGGTAATACATTCAAGTCGCAAGTATCAAGTAGATACATGCAACAGGTGCACGAACGCAGGATAATATAGTATAATGAAGTACCTAAAGGAAATTAAGTGCATAATTAGAATTATGGGCTTGTAATAAAATATTGCTTTAAAAGATTAATTTTCCTCAATGCATCACATTCTTCTATATATTATAATAAATTTTCTTAATGAGAAGAAGAAAAAATTCTCAATCTATTATAATTACCTATTATATTGCATATTTTCTATTATATTCTATTCTATTTTATTCAATTCTGTTTTATTCTACTATTGATTGTTAATTTGATATCATTTTAATTGTTTCAGCAGGTATACAACACAATATGCAATTCGTGTATGGCAAAAGTTGGATTTCTCCCCTTGAAACAATTAATTTCCAATATTTCTAAGAAGAACAATTTTCTAATCTTCCCTGAAAAAAGAAAAATTATTCTCGTCGATGCCTCAACAAATACGGAAACAAATATCGACGATGAAAATCAAAAATCAACTTTAGCAAATGTGTAAGTTTTTCAAATAATAAAAAAACTTTTTTTCAGGGTTGTCACAAAAAAATAATTTTCTTTTTCCCTGACTTTTCCCTGATTACCAGAATTTTTCCTGACTGATTTTGACTTTTTCCCTGAAAAATAGTTGAAATTTATCGAAAACTTTTGCTATTTATTTATAAAGATAATTGAAATGTCAATCTCCTAAAAAGAATTTTATTATTTATAAAAATAATTCAATTCCCAAAAAGAATTTTATGATTTTTAAAAGTAATTAAATGTTTGCATAGAATTTTATCAATATTTTTGAAAATAATTGAATTTCAGAGAAGAATGTTATTGCTTGCAAAAAAAATAATTGAAATTTTGACGAGAATTTTATTAAAATTTTAAAAAATAATTGAATTTCTGCGAAGACTTTTATTACTTTTTGAAAATACATAATTGAAATTCTGCAATCATTTGTAACTTTTTTCTAAAATTCAATTTTTTTATTGATTTTAACTGAAATTCATTTTTAAATCAATTTTTATTAGAAAATTCTACTAGAATTCAATTATTTAAATACAAAAATAAATGATTTATTGAATAATTAATTGTTTCTTAAAATTCAATTCTAATAAAGATTCGTTATCAACAAATTTTCAAATAATTGAATTCTATCAACGAATTTTATTAAAATTTTTAAGAATAATTACAATTTTCGAGAAATTCGATTAAAATTGTATTAAAAATAATTGAAATTCTTCAATGAGTTTTATTATTTGTTCAAAATAATTGAATCCGTAAGAAGAATTTTATTACTTTTGAACAATATTTAATTTTTGCGAAGAATATTATTACTCTTGAAAATAATTGAATTTCTGCAATAATAAAAACTAGTTATGAAAACTATAATGATGAATCCTGCAAATTTAATTTTTTCCAGAACTATAATAAAAATCCCTGACTTTTGCCTGATTTCTCTGACTTGTGGCAACCCTGTTTTTGTTAATTTCAATAATATAATAAACATAAATAGTAATAATATAATAAATACCTCAACTTTGTTAATTTATAACTTATTTTCTTTGATACCGCAAATTCACAATTTTTTTTACTTTCAGATCGAAAAAAGAGGAAAACAATAAAAAACTCCCAACTATTAATAATTATTGTGTGGGAAAAACCGAACGTTCGTTAAATTGCGAATTTTGTAAGAAAGAATTTACACACACAGGCGATTTAAATAAACACAGAAGAAAACATACGGGGGAAAAACCTTATGATTGTTCAATTTGTAAAAGAAAATTTTCCCACGCATCTAATTTAGTGAGACATCAACGAATTCATTCGGGAGAAAAACCTTTTTCTTGTCCATTAAAATGTGGCAGAAATTTTACCAGGAAAGATAAACTTTCTGAACATGTTTCGAAATATCATTCGAGTACGAAAATAAAGCATTAAAAATAGAGAAGAAAGAGTAAAATATTAATTAATAAAAAAACAAAATCAATAATTATCGTATAATTTTAATTATACTTTGGTTGCCACAGAAAATTAATTAATTTCTTTTTTTCTTAACCCAAAACTATTTTCTCTTGCATTTATTTAAAAAATTTCTTTAAATTTTAATTTTCTTTCATTCTTTTGGAAAATTTTATTAAAATGGTAGATATTGAAAATTTTGAAAATCATTGAATTGAGGTTATATTATTTATACGAAAATATTTCGGAAAAAAAATTCAAAAATGGTTAAATAAACATTAGAGAAAAATTGCAATAAAAATATTGTACGAAATTAATCAAAATTACTTACAAACGACATCATTTGCGTTAAACACGTGGAAATTCTGACAGGCGAACAATTATATCCTCCTTACAATATAAATCTCCAAGAAAAATTCATCGATTGAACATCATTTTTCTGAAAGAAGACAAAAACACAATTAATAAGCAATTTTTTTCACAAAATGTTACAAATCAAAGCCACGTGCCAAATATATTAATAACATTAATAACAAAAATGTAAAAACTGTCTTTAACAGTTGAAAATTTGCCGCACGCACTTTTAGAATATTTCCATTGTCTTAAATCTTTTTACCCCTTTTCATTTGAAGACCATATTAAAGACAAGTTTTCTGCAAATTTTACAATTGTAGAAGATAGAAATAAACAATTTTTATAATTTATAATTCAAAAAGTTCTACTTTCACTACGTAAATAATCATTTTTTGAACGTATTGGATTGGCAGTGACAGTTTGTCTTTTGGCCACCTACCAAATAAAAATGGCGGCTGGATAAAGTAGAGTACCTGTCTCTGCATTACCGACACTAGATAATAAAAAAAAATAAATCTCTACATTGCCAATAGAACTTATTTCATTTTCGTTCCTATTTTTTCCGCAGCGCTTGTGGCGGTAGTGTTAATCAATTCCCGTTTTTTTATGCATTTTGTATTTAAATAAATACACACTGTAAATTAAAAAAAAAATAATTACAAGAAACTGGACTCAAAATTATTATCAATAGACATTAAAATCAAATTAAGTAATTTGAATTATTCCTAAAGTTTTTAACGTTTTCAACGTAAAAGTTTTTCAAAAAGTGAGGTTATAACACTTTCTTGTTTAGTTTAGTATTAGTTACATTAATTAAACCATTAAATAACTGTGTTTTTAATATCAGTATTGCATGTTTACAATGTAATGTTTACTATTAGTTACATTAATTAAACCATTAAATAACTGTGTTTTTAATATCAGTATTGCATGTTTACAATGTAATCTATCTATAATTCAAAGAAAATATTATTCTACTTTTCAGGAAATTTAAGAATTCTTTATAATTGAAGCTCCACTTTTAATGGTAAAGACAAAAACGAAATCGTGTTTTTGACACATTACAAAATAGAAAATAGATCTCAGAGAAATAAGACTTTTACGTTAATTTGAAAATTCAATAATGTCGTTAAAAAGAGCTGGTTCCGTAAAAACATTGAAGAACTTAAAACGCACCAGAAATGAGGATTCATGGGAAAGAAATCGAGTCAAAACAGCTCGGAATTTGGTAAATTTTCAAATAATTATTATCAAATTAAAAATTCAATTTCTAGGTAAATAATTAATTAATTTAAACAGAAAAAATTGCTTTTTAGAACAATATTTTTTTCTGGAATTAAAATTACAAACACAGAGTGGCCCCATGTCAGGAAAACAACATTTGTTGTTGTTCAGAGAAATCATGTTCATAATTATAATTAAAATTCCTCAAAAATTTGATTATTTTTTTTATATTCTTTAAAAACTCAATTATTTTTAAAAAGAATTTATCTAATTTCAATTATTTTTAAAAAGATTTTATCAAATTTCAATTATTTTTCAAAGATTTTATCAAATTTCAATTATTTCTCGAATATTTTACAAAAAATTTCAATTATTTTTTAAAAGATTTTACTAAATTTAAAGTATTTTTTAAAAGATTTGACCAAATTTCAATTATTTTTCAAAGATTATATCGAATTTCAATTATTTCTCGAAGATTTGACTAAATTTCAATTATTTTTTAAAAGATTTTACCAAATTTCAATTATTTTTTAAAAGATTTTATCAAATTTCAATTATTCTTCAAAGATTCTAAGAAAAATTTCAATTATTTCTTGAAGATTTTACTAAGTTTCAATTATTTTTTTTAAGATTTCAACAAATTTTAATTATTTTTCAAAGATTTTACTAAATTTCAATTATTTCTCGAAGATTTTACTGAATTTCAATTATTTTTTAAAAAGTTTTTACTAAATTTCAATTATTCTTTAAATGGTTTGATCAAATTTCAATTATTTTTTAAAAGATTTTATCAAATTTCAATTATTCTTCAAAAATTTTAAGAAAAATTTCAATTATTTCTCGAAGATTTTACTAAGTTTCAATTATTTTTTTTAAGATTTCAACAAATTTCAATTATTTTTCAAAGATTTTACTAAATTTCAATTATTTCTCGAAGATTTTACTGAATTTCAATTATTTTTTAAAAAGTTTTTACTAAATTTCAATTATTCTTTAAATGGTTTGATCAAATTTCAATTATTTTTTAAAAGATTTTACCAAGTTTCAATTATTTGGAAATTTTTCAACTGTAAATAATTAATTAAAAATCTTTATTTTTCAAAAATTATTTTAAAATATTAAAAAAAAAGTTAATTGTAAGAATTTCTTTATTGTAATTATTCGGAAATATTATTCCTTAATAACTTAAGAAAAAACATGGACAGTTACCTACAATTCTTATAAAAAATTGAGTTTTTGTATTTGAATAATTGAATTCTAGAAGAACTTTCGAAAAAATAATTAAAATAATTGATTTAGTGATGAAGTTTAGTTAAAAATTGTAGGAAATAATTGAATTCATGAAGAGTTATAATTGTAATTTTTAAAATTTATTAAATTTTTATAAATTTTATTCAATTTCGGTAAATTTTAATATTTTCCTGTAAAAAGAATTTTGTCACGGAAAATATTTTAACGTCAGTAAATATTGTCAGGGAAATTGATAAACCGAAATTTCTGACTACCCTGAAAAAGTATTTTAATCATAGAATTTTGTTTTAGTTTCCTTTTTTTATAAATTTCCAGCTTTTTCTTTTTTTTTCTCTCTAGTTTATCGATAAATATCAGTTTTCTCGAAATTTAAAAATAATTTTTTCAGGGACAAGCGTACACATCAAAATCGGGTGCAAGTGTTCCGGAAAAGAAATTTGTCCCCGTCGAGGATGCGTGCTGTAAAAAGGAATGTTTTCGTTTTGTCGACGGTGACAGTCAACGTGCATTGTTTGAAGTATTTTGGCAAAGCGGCGACTATGTCACGCAAAATACAATTATTGCCACTGGATTAATGAAGAAAAAACGTCAAGACCCACTAACAACGGACACAAAACGTGACGATTGGAATTATTATTTCAATCATCCACTCTACGATGAGCGTGTTGCCGTTTGTCGTAAATTTCTCCTCAATTTATTGAATCTCAGTCAGGGAAGATTTTACACCGTTCAACAAAAAATGATTGCCGGCGAGATATTAACTGACAAACGTGGAAAACATAAAAAGCACGTTGTCAAATTAACCGATATGGTGAAAGATTTAATTCTCAAACATTGCGAGAGTATGCCACATTCTTCCGTTTGTTATAAGAACGGTGAGGTTAAATTAAATTATTTCAACAGTGCCGAATTAAATTTAAAACGATTGTACGAATCATTTCTCGATTATTATGCGGCAATAACGGAGGAAGCTGAAATTCCTCTCAATTTAAGTACCTACAGTTATTATTTCAATCACAATATTAATTATACTTTTAGATCAGCAATCAAAACGGAACATGCCGTTTAAAAGTTAGTAATCTAGCGTCACTTTTTTATAAAATATTTTTTTGTAAACAAAATTTTCTTCTTATAATGAAAATGTACTTTCAAATTTTCTTCTTTGTGTAAAAAAAAACGTTCAGTTCAAACTAATATATTGTAAAATTAATATGACAAGCAAATAAATTATCTCCTTCATAAATTTTAATTTCTCAATAATTTTCCCATTCATTAATTGTATTTACATGAAAATATGAAAGTTTGTCAAATTGAAAATGAAAATGAGTCAAATTTATGAATGTTACAAATTTTTAAATATTACAATTATTAACCCTACCTGAATTCAATTATTTTATACAATTTTCAACTAAACTTCATCTCTAAATCAATTATTTTAATTATTTTTTCGAAAGTTCTTCTAGAATTCAATTATTCAAATACAAAAACTCAATTTTTTATAAGAATTGTAGGTAACTGTCCATGTTTTTATCTTAAGTTATTAAGGAATAATATATTTTCGAAAAATTATAATAAAGAAATTTTTACAATTTATTTTTTTTTAAATATTCTAAACTAATTTTTAAAAGATAAAATTTTTAAATTAATTATTTACAATTAAATAATTTCCTAATAATTGAAATTTGGTAAATTCTTTTAAAAATAATTGAATGGAAAAAAAGTCGAAATAGTCGTTTATTTAATTCAGTGCAGACAAAAAAATTTTATTTTGTATTTCCCTGATTTGTAAATTCAATTAATCAAAACTTTACTAATTTTGCCAAATAAATATTTAAATACATACTTCTTTTTTCTTTTTTCACGGAAATTAAAATTTAAAATATTTCAATTATTTTTCGAAGTTTTAATCAAATTTCAATTATTTCTCGAAAATTGTACCAAATTTAAATTATTTTTTAAAAAATTTTATCAAATTTCAATTATTTCTCGAAAATTTTACCAAATTTGAATTATTTTTTAAAAGATTTTATCAAATTTCAATTATTTTTCAAAGATTTTATCAAATGTCAATTATTATTTTTAAAAGATTTTATCAAATTCCAATTATTTTTCAAAGATTTTACCAAATTTCAATTATTTCGGGAAGATTTTTAATCAAGTTTCAATTATTTCTCGAAAATTTTACCAAATTTCAACTATTTTTTTAAAGATTTTATCAAATTTCAATTATTTTTAAAAGATTTTATCAATTTTCAATTATTTCTCGAAGATTTTACCAAATTTCAATTATTTTTTAAAAGATTATGATAAAACAATTCCAAGAATTAGTTTTTAAAAATATTTTAATGTAATTTTTCGAAAATAATTGAATTTCTTAATAGAATTTCTCTATAATTTAAAAAAAAACTAATTAATTTTTTTAAGAATTTTAATTAAAAATTTTTGAACATGATTTTTTTTCTCTCTCTTATTTCTTTTTACACGGGAAATTAAATTAAAAATATTACAAGTTCTGAAATTTAATAATTTACTCGAAAGTTCTTCAAGAATTTAATTATTTAAATACAAAAATTAAATTTTTTATAATTGAAATTGTCCATTTTCCTTTTTAAAGATAGTAAGGTAGAATATTTTCAAAAATTTTAATAAAGAAATTCTTAAAATTAATTTTTTTTAAATATTTCTAATTAATTTCTGAAAGACAATAGACAAAATTAAAATTTAGTAAAATGTTTTAAAAAATAATTGAAATTTGGTAAAATCTTTGAAAAATAATTGAAATTTAATAAAATCTTTCAAAAAATAATTGAGTTTTTAAATAATATAATAAAAAATCAATTTTTTGATGAATTTTAATTTAAAAATTTTTAACATGATTTTTTTCTTCTCCAAAATGTTAAAAAGAATTTTAAATTGTTATTATTTTTTGTATGTATTTCAATTTTCGAAAATATGTAATTGGAAATACTGAAAATATTGAATTTTTAAAAATTAGAATCTAATTTTAATTATTTTTCATTTTTAAATTTACATTTAAAGACTTTTCATTAAAATTTTTGATAATTCATTTATTTCAAATATTTTCAAAAGTTGATTTTCAAAAATTGTAACAAAATACTTGCAAAAAAAATTAATTATTTACAATTATTAAATTTCACAAAGTTTCAATATTATTCAAAACTATTTTTATTATATTTTTGAAAAATTTAATTTTCTGAAAAAATGATTGGAAAATAACTGAAAGATTTGTTTATAGTTATTTTTCGCACTATAAAAATTGAAATAAATTGCATTTTATAATAAAAAATATGGTATTTTGTTGCAATATTTGGAAAAAAATTGAAAAAGTTGCAAATATTTGATAAGTCGAAAAAAGTCTCAATCTTCTTAATTTCCTTGACAAAAATTTTCTTTTCCTAACATTTCCCTGATTTCACTGACTTTACTGACATGTGGACACATTGGTATAGAATTAAAAAACTTCAATTATCCATAAATAAAGACTTTATTTTTAATTTTCTTTTTTTTTTCCTTGTTATTTTTTCGATCACAGAAACTATTAACTTAACAAACAGTAGAAATAGTCTTTCAATTGTTTTGCGAAGAAACCGAAAATAATTATTTCTAACCAAAAGAAAAATTAAACGAAAAACGAATGAATTGATAATTTCAAATATTCAACGAAAGCGAATGAACACATTTTTTCCTTTATGAACTTTTTTCTTTTTTTCTGCAAGAATATAAAATTCTGAACAAGTTTTTCAAAATTTACAAAAAGCACTTTTTTGAACAGAATTTAATTTCAACTCTGGTTTTTGTATTGAAATCTACATTTGAAAATTGTTTTAATCGTTTTAATCATTTTAATAAATGAAAGAAAAACGAAATTTTCAATCATTTCGTTGACATTATTTGAATATTTAAAACAATGAGTTCATTCTATGAAAATAAACAGAATACAAGTTTCAAATAAAAAACATTTTGCCTTTAACACATTAATTTGACGAATTTAGTTATTTTTCGTGAATTTATAACTAAGTGTCCATAATCTTCTCTTCTTTAAATTAAACATTTTTAAAGTAAACTTTTTAATATTCTTCTTTTAACATAAAAACACTTTTTCGCTAGAAGAATTCTTAAAGTTCAATGATCACACATTTGTATGCGGTTCCTTTTGCGAAAATGCCAAATGATTTTGCAGCGAGTAATGTGCATCCCTTTGTAGTGGTCTTTGAAATGGATGTGCCACTAATTTCACCATATGATCGTGAAGTCTCGTTGCATTTCTTCCGACTTCAAAAATATACGCAGAACTTTTCACATCCAATGCATTTAATGATGCATAAATCGTATCACATTTATTTTGTTCACTCGGATGTTCGTGTATATAAAGAATATCTAAAAAGAAATGCTGCTTCTTCATCAGTCCTTCGAAACTTGTCCTTATTGAAAATTTTGGAACAGCATGCGAACGACAGTAAATCAATATAACACGTGTAACACAATTTACACTCGTCTTAAATGCATCGTCAACGCAATTAAACAAATTACTCAAATCAAAGGACGGCGAATCCTCGGGAAATTCCTCGATATCATCAATAAGATGTAAAAAGTCAATGGTATTATTTGTAAATCCATTAACGCGATGAATTGTATTGCCATTTAATATAAATAAACTGTACTCGTGATGTCGATTAATTGATGATTTTATATTTATGAATATCTCGACAATTCGTTTAATCATAAATAATGGTGGGAATCTATCGCCACGACCTAATTCAAATTGTGTTGCTTGCTGTTCAATTGTTGCATCGATAATAAAGATTATTTTCTCCGGCATATTTATTGGTTTTATATTGTTTGTTTGCAATTTTCGAATATCAAATTTTCTCTTATTCTCTATAACACGTGAATCAATTGATGATTCTGTGTTAAGATTAGAATCACTCGTGGAACACATTTGCATTTGTTCTGATAAACACGAAACTTCCTCTTCACATCCGTCCATGATCAATTTATTGACATTCGTTTACTTTTTTATTAAAACACACAATATTTATTTGTCCCTTTTTGATTCACGAAACGAAACAATGTAATTTTGTTTATTTAGTTTTTTGATTTGGGGAAAAAAGTAAAAATTGTTCAGGGAAACAAAACAGCTGATTGAGAAACTTGTCGCGCTTGTCGCCAGAGGACGTTAATAGTTTCCGCAATTTTGAAAATTTTGCAATTGCAAAGATTTTTTATTTGCAATTGAATTAATTAAATAACGAAATTATCAATTTAATGTTAAATTTACTTCTTTCGCAAATGTTTAAAATAAATTCTTCGCTAATTTAATTATTTAAATACAAAAATTCAGTTTTTTATAATAATTGAAATTTAATCAAATCTTTGAAAAAAAATTGAAATTTGAGAACATCTTTTTAAAAAAAATAATTGAAATTTGGTAAAATCTTCGAGAAATAATTAAAATGTAATAAAATCTTTAAAAAATAATTTTTTAAAATTAAAAAAAAATTTTTACGACTTACCATTTGCTGAATCTGTCAATCTCTAGCATCTCTGGCCTCTTGGTCTTGATTAAGTCCTTTAGATCCTGTAAAAAAAAATTACACATAAAAATTACAATTGAAAATAGAATAAAAATTTTGTATTTATAAAAACTAACTCTTTTTAGTTTAAAAATTAAAAAGTTTCAACATTTTTTTTCAATGTGAACATGTTATCTAGCGAAAAAATGATAAAACTAAATAGTAGTTGAATATTTCACCGCCAGATGGCTCTTAAGCAATGTTTCAGGTTAGGTTATTTCGATGTCAAATTTTGATTTGAATTTTCGAAATTTTCATAATTATTTAACAATTCTTTTACAAAATAATTAATTATTTATGCAAGAATCAAAATTCTAAGAGAAAATATTAGATATTTAGAGTATATACCAGATTATAAATAATAACTGTTTTGCCAATGACGCCATGCACTGACTTTGACAATTGTTGACTATTGTTACGATTGATTATTTTTTCATCGAAATTTTAGAAAAAACTTGTTATTTGGACGAAATAATACTAAATTAATGCAAATTTTGTATAATTAACGTTAAGATGCACACTAAATGAGCAGATTTAAAGTTATCCTTTACAACATTCTGCCTCTCGTCGTTTATACGCTGTGAACAGTGACGCAGAAGTGTTGCCAACCTTGTCGAAAAAAAAAATGGCGCCCAACCTCCGAATTCCGACACAATGAATGACACCTAAATGTTAAGCTCTTTTCATATTTCTCCGCGAAGACCGGAAAATAAATTTATTTACTGATTTAAAATTAGAAAATCAAATAATTGCAATAATTGTTAAACTTGTTTTGTTTCAATTCTATAAATATATAGTGATAAAAAAAAGTGTTTTAATCTGAAAAAAGTAATATTAAAAACATGTCAAACCCGATTAAATTGACTCTTTCGAATGATAATAACATTCTCGTCTGGAATGCAAAAGGTAAATAATAATTTAAACAAAATGTGTAAAATTTGAAATTATATTCGAATTAATTATATTCCGAATGTTCTTTTTATTTACTAATTTAATAATTTATTCAAACGTAAAATAATAACTTATTCAGACTTTTATAAAGTTTAGAAAAAATTTTTAGGTTAAGTTTCAATTGTCAAAATATTGTATTGTCAATATTGTCAAAATCGGATTGAAAATAGATATAAATAAAAAAAATTCTTTCTGCAGATTGGCTAAAATTACGACAAGAACATAGAATAATTGGTGATTTAATTGGTTGTTTACCAAAATTACCAAGACAAAGTATTCTATCCGGTCTTCCTCTCTCTCTACTTGCCGAGGAAGCAAAATTATTAATTGACAAAGGAATTGCACGTTTAGTTCATTATCCATTAATGGAAGAAAAACCAAGTGAAGATATAGAGAAATTATTTCTCGAATTTAGGGAAAAATTGTTTTTAGAACAGGAAGTTTGCCTTAGGAAGGAAAAAGAAAAACAGGTTTTTTTTCTCTAAAATATAAATTAAAAAAAACATTTTTGTTTCATCTTTTGAAAAAAAATTACTAATTTTTTCTCTGTCAAAAAATAGGTCACATGTATGATGGACAAAATTGTTGACGGTAAAAGACGTAAAATTTTAGGATTAGAAACGTCAAAGAAGAAATTAAGAAAACCATTGGATAATGAAACGAGAAAAAAATTAGAAAACATTGAAATTGATAGGCAAAAATTATTTGACGAAGAAATGTCAAAATTATCGAAATTAAAAAAAGAGGAGGCGCTTATTCAAACAAATACAGGTAAAAGTATTTTAAAGAATATCGAAAAAATAAACAGGGTTGCCAGAAAAAATTAAATTTTTTATGTTTATTTTAGCATATCCATGGGCAACAGAGGAAGACGCTAAAGATATCGATTGGAATTATCCAAATACAGAGGAAGAAAAACTTCGTTATTGTGTATTTAAAGATTTATGGGAAAAGGAATTTTTCATTACCAATGGTATTAAATATGGAGGTGATTTTCTCGCATATCCAGGTATTGTAAAATTTCCATTACCTTTTTTTCCCCTTTTTGAAATTTATATACATTTTTTCAAAAATTTAATTTCAGGTGATCCAATTATGTTTCATTCGCAATTTATAATTCACTGTAAAGAAAAAACTGACGTATTTTCCGTTAATGAATTCGTCAGTGTTTGTCGAATTGGATCGAGCGTAAGAAAAACACAAGTTTTCGCCAGTTTTTCTCAAGATGATAGCGAGAAAATTGAATATCAATCATTTCAATGGGCAGATTCGAATGCATTTTAGATATAGATTTTGTATCTAATGTTAATTTTCTTTTTTGTATTAATTTATTAAAACAAAAATCTTTGTTTATTTTATGTATGTTGAAGCTGATTAATTTGAAGATAGTAGCTCAAAAATAATTCTTTCTTTCCTTTTTGAAGTAAATTCTAAATTTTATTCTTTATATAAAAATTAAACGACATCTTTGAGAATAAAACGATCGTGTTGTTCAAAGGGAATAATGTTAAAATGTTTTTTATAAATAACTTGACCCTCACGACCTTCGTAATTTTTTCTAACCCAAAAATGTGTAAAATTTGGATCAATTATTTCGGATGTTATTACCACTTTTCCAGGATTCATTGCAAATAGAGTTCCATTTCTACCCATTCCAACCTTAAACAAAAATTTTCACCTTGAACAAATTTCCCTGATAGTAGACTATTAAATAAAATTAAAAATTCTCGTTTTTCACTATAAAGAGATAAATAAGAAAATTTATTACGTTTAGACCGGGATGAAATCTAGTTTTTCTTTGAGTTGCTAATATCGTTCCAGCATAAACATAAGTTCCTTCGTGTCTTTTAATTCCTCTATGCTTCGCAATACAATTTCCTCCACTTTTTACACTTGCGAGTACTTTTCTTGCTTTATTTCTCACCGTAACTGTAAAAAATTTTTATATTTTATTCTTTAAGGGGATTTGAACCTTGATGACGTCACAGTTTGTGCAAAGCATTAGTTTTAAATCTGTGACGTCATCATGGTTCAAATGCCCTTAACTAACAACAATTCGCGGGCGAACTTTCTACTTCATTTTTTAAATAAAATTATCAATTTTAAAAATAATAGAATTTAAAAATTTTAAATTCAAAATTTTTGTTGACAACACTAAAGTAATTCAATTTTGGAGAAATTGCAAATAATTTATTGCAGAAATTCAATTATTTTCAAAAATAATAAAATTCAATTTATGTTTAAAATTGAAAAAAAAATTCTCGTCAAAATCACAATTATCTTTGTAAATAACAAAATTTTTTCCCAAAGTTCAATTATTTTTAATATCTACTATTTTAATAAAATTTTCCGAGAAAAATTTAATTATTTAAAAAAAAATTTAATAATATCGTACACAAACATTTAATTAATAATAATAACTTTACATAACCTCAAAATCGAACACAAACCTTCAAGACAAGATTTTGTTGGTTTTATAAAATTTGCAACTTCTTGAAAAGCTGTCTTCACTAACCACGACATAATTATAATTCAAAAAAACATTAACTTTTTCCTTAAATATTAATTAATTGAATAATAAGTTTCTACGTGAACTTTGTTGACCTTCTCATGCGCCTGTATTGCAACATGTGTGGCTTTTAAAAAAATATTCCCGACAATTACCCCATTGGCTGTAGCGAATAAATTCCACAATGTTAACCAATCACTTTTCGTTATCGATTATCAACTGACTTCACTCTATTCGTTTCATTGGCCAAGTCGCCATTTTGAAAAGCAATTACATGTAATTTATTCATTTAATATAAACAATAATATGTATATGTAAATGGGGGAAAAAATCGTTCGTATATAAACGTAGCGCGTTCAGCAAATAATGACAGTTGCATAAAATTAATCCTCATTTTTTTATTTAAAGTATTTCAATTGTTGTGTTCTTCACAAATTGTAAGTTTTATAACCTAGAAATCATGTTTACTGTGTTTACTAATATCCTAATATGTCAAAATGAATTTATATTTTGAATATATTTATTCCTGTATTAGGAATTTATAAAAAAAATTATATAATGTCAAAGTGACAATGTTTATTTGTACTTTGCACTTCGATCAAAATGTTTTTCTAAGGTAACTAAAAGGAACAAAAAAGAGAGAAAATATTAAATTGAACAAGTAAACTTCAAAATTCTACAAGTGAAGAAGAAGAATACGTGAAATTGTTTTGCTTTTTTTGTAACGTCAATTATCATTTTGAAAAAAAGGGAGAAAAATGCCTGCAAAGTTGAGTAAATTTAATGTCACAGCTTCTTGTAAAGATTATGTGCATCCTTGGCAAGATTCATGTATAAGTGCAACAGCTGGTCTAGGTCTTCACGCTCTTCAAGAAAGTTTTCGGATATACTCAACTGTTTATTTTGTAAATATTCTTTTTGATTATTTTCCCATTATCGTATCAAGCAAATATAATTATTTATTTAAGAAAATATTAATTCAAAATTATCTTCTTAGATTACACTCTTATTGAGGGGAAAAATACCATCGAGAAATGATATTAAAATTACATTGAAGAGTATTTTACAATCAACCGCATTTTTGTCATGTAGTGCATTTACATTTTCAATGTTTATTTGTAGTCTGAGGTAAATATTCATCTTTTTATTAAATTTACTATATAATTATTACTATTTTTAATTTAATTTCAAGACCAATAAATTACGATTCAATTTTTAAATCATAAATATTCCAACAATATATTTATTTTTCTTTTTATTAATTTCGTATTTTTCATTTTGAATTTTGTCTTTTTTCTCAACTTTTAGTACACTTTTAGTTTCAATATTAAAAAGTCGCTTGTAAAATTTTTCTCAAAATTCCAGAATATTCAGAAATTCAATTTATTTTTAAATTTATAATAAGATGTAAATTAATTTAATGATTTGGCAAAAAAAATGAAGAAAACGAAAAAATGCAATAGTATTATAAATGTTAATTCTTTTCAGAATACAATTATTTATATTCAATTTAGAAAAAGTAATTCTGTTTTTACTTTGCTTTAATTTAAATTTAATTTTAAATTGAAATAAACGATTTTTTGCACAATTACTACTTTTTGTTGAAATTTTGTTTAAAAATAAAAGAAATATTTCTCAGGAAAAAATTGATAATTATTTAAAATTATGTATTGAGGTTTATAAAGAGATTAGATAAATGAAAATTTATGATAATTGATGTATGCAAGTATCTAGAGTAATGAGAATTTTAAAAATGTAAAATTTGTATGAAATATAAAAATAAGTGAAAAAGTAAAGTAAATGATTAAAAGTTAATTTATTTATAAAAATCCATGTATTAATATAGATTTTTAATTAATTTAACATTTTTAATAATTTTTCTTTTAAATACTTTCAATTTTAAAATTGAATTTTCAATTCAAAGTCATCGAATTGTTGCAAAGAATTTTATCAAAAAATTTGATAATAATAGAATTCCTTCGAAGAATTTTATTATTTAGGAAAATAATTGAATTCTCGTGAAGAATTTTGTTAAAACTTTTGAAAATTCCAATTAAATTCGTATTTTGAAGAATTTAATTGAATTTTTTTTAATAATAGAGTTTCTTTAATAATTTTAGATAATTGAAAATTTTTAAAATAATTGAATTTTGTAAACAATTTCTTTCAAGAAAAAGAAATTAATCGTGTTTGTTAATAATTGAAATTAAACATTTAATTATTGAATTTTATTTAAATAGTTAGAAAATAATTGAATTCTTTTAAAAAATTTTATAACGAATTAAAAAAAATTGAATTCTTTCATGAAAATTTTTTGAAAATAATTGAATTTTTGCAAAGAATTTTACTACTTATAAATATAATTGACTTGTTTCGATAGATTTATTAAAATTGTAGAAAATAATTAAATTTTTTCAAAAAATATTATTAAAAATTTTTAAAAATTGAATTCTTTTATGAAATTTTATTAAAATTGTATTAAAAATAATTGAATTTTTGTAAAGAATTTTACTATTTACAAATATAATTGAATTTTTTTTGCAGAATTTATTAAAATTTTAGAAAATAATTGAGTTTTATTGAAATTTTTTATAATGAATTAAGAAAAAAATTGAATTCTTTCGTGAAATATTGTTGAATATAATTGAATTTTTGCAAATTATTTTGACTATTTATAAATATAATTGAATTTTTCGAAGAATTTATTATAATTTCAGAAAATAATTGAATTTTATTGAAATTTTTTATAACGCATTAATAAAAAAATTGAATTCTTTCTTGAAATTTTTTTGAAAATAATTGAATTTTCTCAAAAATTTTACTATTTAAAAAAATACTTGTTTCTAAGGATTTATTAAATTTTTTTTTTAAATAATTGTATTTGTTCATGAAATGTTATTAAAATTTTGTTTAAAAATAATTTAATTTCTGCAAAGAATTTTACAATTTATAAATTTAAATTCACATTTTTTCAAAGAATTTATTCAAATTTTAGAAAATAATTGAATTCTTTTAAAATATTTTATAACGAATTAAGAAAAAAAAATTGAATTCTGTCGTAAAATTTTGTTTGGAAATAATTGAATGTTTTCAAGGATTGTACTATTTAAAAAAATATTTGTTTCGAAGGATTTATTAAAATTTTAGAAAATAATTGAATTTTTTCGAAAAATATTATTAAAATTTTGTTTAAAAATAATTGAATTTTAGCAAAAAATTTTACTATATTTATGAAAATAATTGAATTCTTGCGAAGAATTTAATTGAAATTTTCTAAATTAAGAAACAAGAATAATTAATAAGTTAAGTAGTTAATAATTAAAATTTTCTAAAGTTTGAATTGGAAATTATTTAAAACTTCATATTTGAAAATAAAAAATTTTCTAATTTGCCTAATAACGTTTTCTTAAATTTTCAGACGGATTCTAGGCGATTTCAACGTATTGACAGTGTCATTTGTTCCATCATTTTTATCTAGTTTTGCGGCAATTATTTTAGAGCGTCCTTCTAGGCGACCATTATTGAGCCTTTATGTTTCAAATATTGTAAGTTTTTTTTTATTTTACTTTAAAAAAACTTTTTTTTTTAATTACAAACATTGTTTTTAATTGCAAAAGAAAATTTGCAAAAACAAGTTTTTAACTGAAAGATAATATTGATATTGTTATTTTTTTATCTTTTTAAGTAACAGAAAAATAAAAAATAATTATTTTTTATATTTTAAATGTTTCAAAAAAGAATAATTGTTTCTATTTAGAATTTAAGAATAAAATATCAAGAGTTAATTATTTAATAATTATTTTTTAATAATTATTTTTTAGGCTACAGAGACATTATTTCGAATGGCTGTTTGGAGAGGATACGTTTCACCAATTCCTTATGGTCAAATTTATATTTTTGCCATGAGTATGTCAGTTCTACTCTATTACTATCGAAGCAAGGAGATCAAACACGACTCAATATTTAGAATACTTAGGTAAATTAATTACTATTTTAATTTTATCTCAAATATCAATTTTCTACTAATTTTGACAAATTTTTTTTTTCTCAAACAGAATTTTAGTGGGACAATACGAGGATGAAAAATATTTGAATGAAAGACCAAAAATTTCAGAAAGTAGTAGTAGAAGTAGTAGTAGTAGTGATAGTAGACAAATTGAAGTGAAAAAAAGCACGTGTGATGAAAAGAAGATGAAAAAAATATCTAGAGTAAAAAATAATGCTTTCTTCAATCTTCTTTGGAAAGCTCTTAATGTATATAAATGTCTAATAGAAAAAATTAAATCACAAAGTAAGCATATGTCCTGTCCACATTCCAACAGTTGTGTACATTATATTCTAACGGTTTGTAATATAACTTTGGAAATATTTGTAATATTTTTATTAATTTTTTTCATCTACAGTTCTTAAATAATTTTATTGTATTTACAGGGGAGTTTGAAATTATTCACCTACGGATTAGGCGCTCAATTAGCACTTAAATTAGTCTTCAAAATTGGACAATTAATGCAAAGGCCAAAATTATTGAGGAATATTGTTTTCAAGAGGGAAAATTTGAAATTACCAATTTTTCTCGGCGGATTCTCGGGAATTTTTAGAGTGTGTATTTTCTATTTATCATTTTAATCAAGAAATTATTTCTATTCCTGAGTTTTTAAATGTAAAAAAAAGTCTTTTCTTTTTAAATTAAAACAGTTTTTTGTTAATTTGATAAACGCTACTGAATTGAAAACGAAAAATAATTTTTTTCGTTTAAAAAGAAATTAGGATTTCTTTTCCTGAGTTTTTAATTTAAAAAAGTATTTTTTTTAATTAAAACAGTTTTTGTTAATTTGATAAACGCTACTGAATTAAAAATGAAAAATAATTCCAGCTGACGTCATGTTTATTGAGACGATCTTTTGGTTACGATTCATCGAGTCATGCAATTCCTGCAGCATTAATTGCGAGTCTTAGTTTTTTCATTTACCCAGACATAACGGCCTCTCTCTATGTTATGTGGAAAGCTTTACAGGTAAATATATTTTTCATTTACAAAAAGATATAAATTAAAAACATTTATTTAAATATTAAAGTTTAATTTTCAACCGGGATTTTTAATATTATTTCTGTTCTTTTCAGATTCTATGGAACGATGGAGTTGAGAAGGGAAAAGTACCTGAAGTAAAGTGGTTCCCGATATTTTTGTACTGTTTTAGCACTGCTGTTCTCTTTCACGCAGCAATTGTCGAGCCTCAAAATTTAAGGGCTTCGTATTGGAAATTTTTAATTAACATATCAGGAGGAAGGTAAATTTAAAAAAAAAGATTATTTTTAAAATAATTTTGTCGAAATAGACCGTAAGAAAAAACAGATTAATTGTGAATTACAGTCTTCACACTCATCTACTAAAACCTACTATTTACTACTTTTTTTAGATTTCAGCCATTAGAAGCTATTATTTCTGTTTCTTTTAGAATTTACACTACTTTAAATTTCCTAATACTAGAAATCAAAAACTATTCTCAAAAATTGTAATCAAATTCTTTAAAACGATTCAATTATTTTCAAAAAATATTCGAAATTCAATTGTTTTCTTAAAATATTCGAAAGTCAATTATTATAAAAAAATATTCTAAATTCAATTATTTTCACTAATAATAACATTTTTCATGAAAATTAAATTTTTGATAAAATTCTAATCAAGAATTCAATTATTTTCATAAATAATAAAACTCATTGAAGAATTTCAATTATTTTTAATACTATTTTAAATTAATTAATAGAGAAATTCAATTATTTAAAATAAAATTTTCATAACATTTATTTTATTTCGAAAAAATCAATTATTAAAAAAATTTTTTTTTTAAATTCTTATGAAGGATTCAATTATTTTCAAAAATAATAAAATTTTTCACAGAAATTCAATTCTTTTTAACCATTTTAATAAAATTTTTCACAATAATTAAATTATTTTTATAAATAATAAAATTCTTTTCAGGAATTCAATTATTTTTAACAATTTTAATAAAGTTCTTATATAATTGAATTCTCCTAGAATTTTTTAATAAAAATTGATTTAAATATGAATATCATTTAAAATTAAAAATACATATTAAAATTTTTCACAGAAATTTAATTCATTTTAAACATTTTAATAAAATTTTTCTGAATAATACAATTATTTTCATAGATAATGAAACTCATCAAAGAATTTCAATTATTTTTAATAGCATTTTAAATAAATTAATAGAGAAATTCAATTATTTAAAATAAAATTTTCATAACATTTAAATTTTATTTCGAAAAAATCAATTATTTAAAAAATTTTTTTTTAAATTCTTTGGAAGAATTCATTATTTACAAAAATATTAAAATTTTTCACAGGAAATCAATTATTTTCAAATATTTTAATAAAATTATTCGAAAGAAATCAATTATTTAAATACAAATTTTAATGAAATTTTTTTGAAATAATTCTTCGCAGGAATTCAATTATTTTCATAAATAATTGAATTACTACTTTTTTGTACTTTTAAAGGTACGTTTTTAAAAATAATTATTGAGTGCGAAGTCTGGAATTATTAAATTATAATCAACTACCAAATTAATAATTACTAATCGAATATTAAATTACTAATTTCGAATAATTATTCGTTTATAATTAATAATAAAATATAAAATTATTTATAGAATAGCAGCAATGTCTCGATTGCCTCTCGACGAGTTTGGATTGGAAACTAGTCAATTTCTTCAACAAGTCCTCAAGAAAACGAATACAACTGATAAATACAACTATTCATTCTAAATTTTTCTAGATTTATTCCCGTAGACGCTTATTGTTGCAAAATTAATAATTATTCATTTGGCAAATTTTCTATTTTTTTATTTTTTATTTATTTCTTTTAAATATAGTCATTTTTCAATCTATTTTAGCAACAATTTGTCGCAACAAAATGAAGAGAGCATAAAAATTACATTCATATTTATTGACCATTTTTTTTAATATATATAATATAACGAGGGAAACAATTATATGAACAAATTTACATTGTTATGGTAATTTTAGTAATCTTTTAATAATTATAATGATTATTAATATATAAAAATATATTTATTGTTGGAAGCGTAGTTGGTAGTTGGTGCTAATTAAATAAAGAAATAAAAATAATTTTCAATATGTCAATTATTTACTCTATTTAAATAATCTTTTATTTTAAATTTTTGGAAAATTTTATTTTCAAATTTTCCGCCAAATGGTAACTTTTAGAAAATTTCCCCCAAGGTAATATTTTCATATTTTCGTAATTTTTCTAATTCGACAATGAAACGCATTAAATGCAAAGTTGATAATTACGATTATTTTAAATAATAAAATAATGTATTATTGTCAGGAAAAATTTAGTTTTATTTTTTCCTTACTAATAATGTTTATAAATTATTAAAAGTTGGACTAATTTACATTATCACGTTTTTTATGATGACTCACGTGATTTGGGTTTTTGCTCCCTTTTTTCCTCGAATAAGTTTTGAGAAAATGATGGGATAATTTATAACTATTTGTTTTTTGTCATTAAATTAAATAGTTAAAAATATATGTTTAATTTGTAAAAATAGGGAAAATATCGAAAATATTATTGATATTATTAAAATTATTTGAGGTTATGTTTACCGTTTAGGGAAATATTCTCAAAACTGACCTCCTCGTAATTGGTAAATTCTCACTTCGGTTCTAATCGTTAGCTTCCGTGTGTGTTCGTTGATCTTCGGTTGTGACGACATTTCCGGTTTCAGTCAATCTTCCTCCTTCAACCATAGGCTCTGATACATTTATAACCATAGCGTTTTTCTCCTTCATCGCAACTTATTGGATTTAATTCCAAAAGTCCGTCATTCATAAATTCCAAGGTCTTGGAATTTTTTTATAATTATTACAAATAAACTTAAAAAGTTTGTTTTTAAATTACATCAATTTTAAACACTCGTGTGTTTAATTTTATCGTAAAAACAAAAATAAAGTGAAATTTTCGCTTCCACAAAACTGTGTCTACACTTGAATTGAAAATGTACACAAGAAGCAGACAAAGCAATTCAAATTTCTCTAATGGTAAGAATTTCTTGCATTTATTGTTCTATTTGTTTATATTTCGATTATTTGTGTAACAACAATTGGCTTTTGATATTTATTAAGTGATTGAAATTTTGTTTGAAAATTTTCACTGAGAGGAAAAAAAATCAATAACGCCGGCAATGCAAAATGGCGGAGTTAAAAATTACTTATTCTCTTAAAAATTCTCAAATAATTCTCGAATTTTTAATTATTGGGTTTTAAAGTAAAGCATTTTTTTTTTGGAGTTTTAGCAAATTTTTAATTTTCTGATGTAATATTTTCTTTTATTTCGGGAATTTTAATTTTAGCGTTGAAATTTGTTTTCCATATATTCGATCACTAAACGACGCTATTATCAAATTGGGGTAAAAAAAAGGTGTTTTTTTTTTAAAATAGTTTTCTATTTTTTTGCTTTCTTTCTGAAAATTTTTTAAAAATGGGGTTCGAATGGAGAAAGAAAATTGTGAAAAATGGGAAAAATCAATAAAGTTGCATACCAGTTTTTCGAGACACGCCAATTAAGAGGGGATGCCGAATATTGATTGAACGCTAGTCACATTAAATAACCAGTGAATTTTTTCTCTCTAAAGATTAATTAAACATTTCCAGATAATTAAAAATTTAATATTGAAATAAAAAATTTAATGATATTGAACAGAAATTTAATTTTATAAATGAAAATTTTAATTTAACTTCAAAACTTCTTAGGGTTGCCACGCAACCTGGAAAACCTGAAAATGTCAGGGAATTTTATAAACGTTGAAAAAACTTGAAAAAGTCAGGGAATTTTGATCGGAATCCTGGAAAATTATTGTTTTCTAAAGTTATTGTAATTATTCTTAAAATCTAATTTTTCTTAAATATTTCAAAATTAATTGAATTTTAAAAGAGTTGCGTTTACAATTTTCATAAATAGAAAAACTTCAAAAAGGTTTTAATTTGCAATTTTGTAAAATTTCAATTTTGAATGAATTAATTAAAATAATAAATATTTCACAGGAATTCTATTATTTACAAATTCTTTATAAATTTCTTCGCAATAATTCAATTATTTTTATAAGTAATAAAACTCATCGCAGGATTTCAATTTTTTTAATACAATTTTACAGGAATTGCTCCAAAAATGTAATTATTCTTAAAAATTTAATTTCGATTCTTCAAAAAAAAAAAAATCAATTATAATGCCTCATTTAAGTTTGTAATAATATAAATTTAGTTTTAAAAACCAGAAAAAATTCCATTTTTTAACTTGTTTCGGTTTTTTTTATTTAAAAAAAAATATGTCAGTCTTGACATTAAATTTTTTTTAGCAGGTCAGCAGCAGAGGCAAAATACTCCCAATTCGCAGGGAAATTTCCAAAATCAACAAAACCAAAACGCCAATTCGGTAAGAAATGGATTTTTTTTTTTGTTATTTTACTGAATATTTTTAATTTCTATTTATTTATATAAATATCTCTGTTTATATTTATATTTATATTTCGTAGAAAAAAAATAACTAATATTTAGTAGTGGGATTTATTCATAAATCCCACCATTAAATGTTTAAATCAAAATTTTCCAAAGAAAAAAATTTTGATTTAATGAGAACATAAAAAGTGATTGTTTGGTATCCCTGGAGTGTTCTAGAATCATTTCCACCCATCCAAATTTTTTCATAGTGCATTGCAAATTATGCTTTTTTCATAAAAAAAAGGGACGAAAATTACCCATTCAAAAAAAAAGAGAAAACGAAAACAAGCTCTTCGAAACCAAACAGTGTCGATGCTCAAAAGAAAGTAGTGGATTAATTTTAATTTACACTGTGTCTATTTCGCCCGCAAACGGGCGAAATAAGAGTGATGAATTATTTCGCCCGTCACTAAAAATACGTAGGTGGGGGACAACTGGCGAAATAAGAGAGATGAATTATTTCGCCCGTCATGAAAAATTAGTAAGTAGGGGGAAACGGGCGAAATAAAAATAGTAAATTATTTCGCCCATCATGAAAAATAAGTAAAAATATGTAAAACGGGCGAAGTAGCAATGACACATTGCTTCGCCCGTTTTTGGTTTTTTAATTAATTTTAATGGGAAAAAGGTTAGCTTGTCACTTGTATATTTTTGTGAAGATTGAATTAAAAACTTAAAAAGTTGTGAATTTTTATAATAATTCACAAAGTTTCTTTATTTATCAATATTTTTGGTGCTCATTAGTAATTTTCTACATAATATTTTATAAAATAAACTAGATTATGTATTTTAATATTTTTTCTACCTATCTATGTAGACTAAAAACATTAATTTTTAGAAAATTCTTATTATTTTTGTTCAAATCAGTTCAAAAGTATATTAACTCAGATTTGGAAAATAAGTTTTATGATACTATTTTTGAAAGAAAAATTTAGAAATAATTTTATTTTTTTTGATTTTGATTGACAAAAACATTTTTTTAAAAGAAAGTGTGAAAGTGTGAAATTCATTTTAAAACTTAAATAAAGAAACTGTACTTTTTTTAAAAATGAGCTACACAAAATTATTTGAATTTGGTGTGAAGGTTACTAACCTGACTTGAACACACTTCTTTTCATTTCTGTCATTCACCTTAAAAATTTAAAATTTTTCAATGGTATTATAGGAATAACTATATAACGGGCGAAATAATTCATTGCTCTTATTTCGCCCGTTGTCCCCCACCTACGTATTTTTAGTGACGGGCGAAATAATTCATCACTCTTATTTCGCCCGTTTGCGGGCGAAATAGACACAGCGTTTAATTTACTACTTTTTTTCTGAAAAAAAAACTTCTTAGTTTCTAAGTACATATAAATTAATCATTACGAAAAAAATACAATGGATTAAAAAAGCAACTATACAGGATAAGTAATATTCCAAAAAGAAAAGAAAAAAATTCGACACAACTTTGACAATATTATTGAATTCGCGTTTCATTTGTTTTTTGTGTGCAATAAAAATATTATTCCATTGTTTTTCAAATTTTGAAGGAAAAAAAAGTGTAATATGGCTCTAAATATTATATCTGCCTTTATGATAATGCACTGGGGAAATCTTTAAGTTTATTAGCAATGGGTAGGTCTATTTTTTCCAAAATTGAACTCTTATTTAAATTTTAATTGGCCTTTTTTCCCTTAAAAGTCCATTTGAAGAATTTCAGAAAAAAACGTATTCAAGGACTGCCATGATTTATGTCAAAAAAATTGATTTTAAATCATGAATTAGAAGAATCAAATAACTTCTCTTTAAATAATTTTTTTCGAAAAGTTTTACTTTTTAAATAAAAAAATAATTTTGGTGATAGAAAATAAATTCTTTTGATTATTGAATTAAATACCTATTTTATTTTTTCTCCAATTTTTTTTTTTTTTTTTTTAAATTAAATAGAAGAATATGATTTTTCCATAGCTCTTAACGTTTAGCGACAAAGATAAAGTTTAGCTTTGGTTTATAATACGCAAACCCATCGCTAATAGGCCTGAAAATTTTCTTCAGTGCTTTTTAAACCATTATAATTTTATGATTTTTATGTGTTTTTTTAAAAAGGGTATTTTTCCTAATTTTCGAATAAAAAAATCAAATTTCATTAATTTTCATAAATATTTATAAAGTTTGTGAATTGAATCTAATTTCTCAATAATAGTAAAATTTTACTTCTAATAAATAATTTTGTTATTTTCTTTTTTTTAAGAAAAGAAGTAATATTTTTTTGAAATATAAATAAGTTGAAAAATAGTAAATAAAATTTATTTTAAATTATTTTAAATGAAAAGTCAGAATTTTTTTGTCTGTAAAAAGTAACACATGGAATAATTCTTCAAGCATAATTTTTAGAATTTCAGAAGTCATTCATAAAAGCTTCGACTGTTTGTACTGTTGCCGCAGAAACAGAAGCTCGTTATATTCCTACTTTTAAAAATTGAAAACCATTTTCAAAGTTTATTGGAATTTAAAGAAAATAGAATTTACTTCATTTTTACATATTTAAACAAAATAAATCGAAATCGTAACTTTTTGGTTTTTAAAAGTAATTGCAGGCCTCGCACTCATCTACTAAAACCTACTATTAATTACTTTTTTTACGATTTGCTACTATTTAGATACTTTTTTTATTTGTTTTTTCCATGTTTATTATTAATTTTATTTGTTATTTGTTTTTTCCAAAAAGCTACTTTTTTCCATGTTTGAGAATTTACACTACTTTAAATTCAAGTATTTTCATAAATAAAAAAATTTTCACAGGAATTCAATTATTTAAAACACAATTTTCATAACATTTTTTGAAAAAAATCAATTATTTAAATAGATTTTCATAAAATTCGTCGCAAGAATTCAATTATTTTTATCGATAATAAAATTCTTCTCAGGAATTTAATTTTTTGTTGTTGAAAATTTTAATAATAATTAATTAAATTGTGAGAATTCAATTATTTTCATAAATAATAAAACTCATCGCAGGATTTCAATTATTTTTAATATAATTTTAAATTAATTCCGTTAAAAACGCAATTATTCATAAAAATTTAAATAAAATTTTTCTCCAAAATTTAATTATGTTCAAAAATTAAAAAAAAATTTTTTGTAAAATACCAAATAATTTCAAAAATAATCAAATTCTTCTCCAAAATTCAATTATTTTCAAAAATATTATTCAAATTCTTTGCAAAATTTCAATTATCTTTATAAATAATCAAAGTCTTGTCCGAAATTCAATTATTTTCAAAAATTTTAATAGAAGTCTTAGCAAAGTTTCAATTGTTTGCAAAATGTTAAAAATTCTCGTCATTATTATAATTATCTTTATAAATATCAAAATTCTCCTCTGAAATTCAATTATTTTCACATTTTTAATAAAATTCTTGGCAAAATTTCAATTATCTTTATAAATAATAAAATTCTTCTCGAAATTCAATTATTTTTAAAAAAGAATTATCGAGTGCGAAGCCTGTAATTGAATGTGAAGTTGAATTTTGCAATTTTAAAAAAAATCACCTCCTAGTGACGAATTTTAATTGAATTTAAAAAAGAATTCTTTTTTTTAAATTTAATCCTTTAATGAGAGAAAAATTTGTTAAAGTTGCAAAATGGAGTTTCATTAGAAATTTAGACGCTGTTTTCTGATAGTAATGGTCAATGCAACTGTGAGTTGTCAAGGAAGACTCTTGAAATTTGTGTATCACTACATCTTTCGAAAGTACGTAGATGATACTATTTAGAGCCAACATTGGGAACAGAGGATTTTCCCAATTACTGTCGTTTCCAGTTTTGATTATGAAAAAAAAGAAAGATAATGAGAGAAAGGGAAAATTTCTATTTGCATGTACTAATTAGTGGTCCCTGTTTCCCTTACCTGCAATGCAGGCACTAGTAGCTATACAACAATACTGAGGAGGTGCGTACCGCCAGGGGCAAGTACGCCAGTTGCCCTCATAGAATTTTCAATGTGCCACAGGCCATTTCCTCGATAAATTTCGTCCCTAAACTCGTATCAATGAAAATCAGAATATAAGATAATATTTCTACACCTCCTTTTTATTTTCCTCTTATTTTCTCAATTTTCAAAGTAGAATTTCAATAATTATTATTATTCCATTTCAAAATGGAATTTCGTTTTGAAAAATTGAGAGAACTAGAAGATGAAAAGAATGATTTAATGAAAAGAAAAAAGAGAAGAAGGAAAAAGAGCTGATAATCAGTTACGAGTTGAGAAACGTAGGTGTTTTGATGAAAGGAAGTGAGTCTGGTGTAATCTATGGGGGCAGCGTTAAAATATTTGCCAAAAAGAAAGAAAAAAAAAAAAATTTTGCGCAAAGCGTGATGCTGGGCCTTGGTGGGATTGCACAACCGTCGAGGTTCCTTGTGTAGCGGCGTTCCCACCCTATGTTTTATAGTTCTCTCAGCAAGGGAATTACCAAACAAGTCAAACAACACGAGTCAATCAGCAGGGCAACTTCAAAGGCGGTAATGTCCAGCAGTTTAAGGGACAGCAACAACAGCAGCAGCAACAACAACAACAACCGTCAACGCCTCTGCAGCAGCAGGCTAATCAGGCTAGAATGCAACAACAACAGCAGCAGCAACAGCAGAAGCCTAATCAACCGCTTCAACATCAACAAATTCAGCAGCAGTTGAAGCAACAACAACAGCAGCAACAACAACAACCTGGCTCTGCTCCCGGAACACCTCAGGCTCAACGCTTGAAGCCAATTTTGAAACAATCGCCAGCTACTCCTGCTCCGGCTGTCGGGCAGACACCGCAAACACCTCAGGTTCAAGCTCAAGCGCCAAATCAACAAGCTCAACAACAACAGCAGCAGCAGCCGCCGATTCAAGCGCCTCCGGCTCCGCAGATTGGTGGCGATGCCAAGGACGAGGAGGGAGAAAGTGTCGAGGGAATGGAGACTTCTGATCAACCAAGATGGAGGCGCAAGACACCCGGTTGTAAGTATCATATTTATTGCTGTGATCTCCGTCTTCTTTTCCCTGTTAAATTATTAAAATTTCCTAAGGCACATAAAAATTATCATGTATTTTCCAGGCATCACAAATAGTCCCTTTTTCCTCTTTTCCCCCCTTTTTCAATTTTGTCCCCTTTTTCACCATTTGTAATGATTTATCACCTTCTCCCCCATTTTTTGTGATTTGTCCCCTTTTTCAACGTTTTTGATGAATTGTCAACTTCTCCCCCATTTTTTTTTTTAGTGATTTGTCCCCTTTTGCAACTTTTTCTAATAAAAAATAAAGAAGTTTTTCTATTAAAGAAATTCAATTATGTTCAAAAATAAAAAAAAAATTTCGTCAAAATTTCAATTATCTTCATAAACAATAAAATTCTTCCCCAAATAATTTTAAAAATAATAATCAAGGTCTTCTCTGATATTTAATTATTTTCAAAAATATTATTAAAATTCTTTGCAAAATTTCAATTGCCTTTATGCTTATAAATAATAAAATTGTTCAATTATTTTCAAAAAATTAAATAAAAAACTTGGCAAAGTTTCAATTATCTTCAAAATAAAAAAAAAATTCTTCGCAGAAATTCAATTATCTTTATAAATGAACAGCAAAATTCTTCGACAAAATTCAATTATATTCAGGAATTTTAATAAAATTCATTAAAAAATTCAATTATTTTCATAAATAATAATTATCTCTATAAGTAATACAATTCTTCTCTAAAATTTAATTATGTTAAAAAATAAGAAAAATTTTCGTCTAAATTTCAATTATTTTAATAAATAATAATATTTTTCTCCAAAATTCAATTATTTTCAAAAATTATAATAAAATTCTTTTCAAAATTCCAAATAATTTAAAAAAAAATTACATTCTTCTCCAATATTCAATTATTTAAAAAAAATTTAATAAAATTCTTTGCAAAGTTTCAATTATCTTTATAAATAATCAAATTCTTCTCCGAAATTCAATTATTTTCAAAAAGTTTTTTAAATTCTCGTCAATATTACAATTATTTTTATAAATAATCATATTTTTCTCCAAAATTTAATTATTTTCAAAAATTTTAATAAAATGCTTTTCAAAATTCCAAATAATTTCAAAAATAATAAAATTCTTCTCCGACATCCAATTATTTTCAAAAATTTTAATAAAACTGTTTGCAAAATTTCAATTATCTTTATAAATATCAAAATTCTTCTCTAAAATTCAATTATTTTCAAAAATAAAAAAAAAATTTCGTCAAAATTTCAATTATCCTTACAAATAATCAAATTCTTCTCTGAAATTCAATTATATTTAAATTTTTAATAAAATTCTTGGCAAAATTTCAATTATTTTCGAAAATTTTTGATAAAATTCTATGAAAACATTTAATTATTTTCATAAATACTAAAACTTTCACAGGAATTCAATTATTTACAATTTTTTTTTTTTTTTTTTGAAATTTCTTCGCAATAATTCAATTATTTTCACAAAAAATAATAAAACTCATCGCAGAATTTTAATTATTTTTATAATAAAATTTTAATCGAATTTTTTCGAAAAATGTAATTATTCTTAGAAATTTTATTAAAATTCGTGGAAAGAAAAAAAATTTATTATTTTTCTATTTAAATCATTGAATTCTCGTTGAATTTCCTAACAAAAGTTGATTTAAAAATAAATTTCAATTCAAATTTTAGATAATTAAATTAAAATCTTTGGAAGTTTTGAATTTTTCAATTGAATTGAAATGATGAAAATAATTTTGAAGAAGTACAATATTCTTATAATATTAAAAAAAAACCAAAAAATTGGATATTTGATCGAGATTCATTAAAATGTTTAATCACACACATTCAATGATGAAATTTCACTGCGCAAATTTGAAGACATTTTTGATATTGCAATGACAGCTCCGATAGAAATATTGTCGAGCGTCTAGCAATCGATAATGATCTATGTGAAAGTAAATGCTGAATGATAAAGAAACTGGAGTTTAAAATTAATTTCCTTTTCTCCCCACTAATTTTTACAATTATAAATATTAAAAATGTCTTTTTTTTCGATTGTTTCAGTGAAAGTCAATCGTAAATTGAAACGCCTTCGTATGAATCAACGTCTGCGACGAACAATTCAGCCAAAGAATGCAATCATGGTTCTCAATGAAATGAAAACTGGAGTTCAATTTATATTCCCTGAAACTCAATCATCGATGACTAGTTCATTGTTCCTTGCTCATGCTGAGGTAAATTCAATTTTCTCATTTAATTTGTTCTATTTCTTTATTTGTTTTATTTATTTATTAATTTTTCTCATTTAATTTGCTCTATTTCGTTATTTGTTTCATTTATTGATTTTTCCTTCTTTTTTAGATTGATGGAAAAACTTATGTCGGTCAAGGACTTTCAAAACCGCTTGCACGTCAAAATGCAGCTGAGAATGCACTCAAGTGTCTTCTTTTGGAGAAAATGTCAGCCGCTGCAATAAAAGCTAAAATTGATGCTGAATCTGATGGACAAACGACACTTGATTCTTCAATTATTAAAGACGAAAATAATGATAGCTCTGAAAAAATGGATGTCAATTCTGAGGAACCAGAAGAGGTGCCATGGAGTTGTTTGGCCAGCTTTGCTTTATATAAATTATTCGTCGAATGGCAAAATCAAGGCACTGTTGTGCCAGTTCCAAGGCCCGGTGTACCAGCTGGAAAAGTGAAGAAGGAGACAAAGCCAACTATTCAAAAGGAATTGCCAAATAATGCAACGAGTGTGCATCCAGTTATGCTATTGAATCAAATGAGACCTGGACTCACTTACGTTGAAGTTAACCGCGTGGGAAATCCTCCCAATACAATGTTCACATTGGGAGTGGAAATCGATGGCATTGAATATACAGGAACAGGTAAATCAAAATTTATAAATTAAATTCAAAATTTTTAAATGAAAAACAATATTCATCACAAAAGAATTCAATTATTTTCAAAATTAATAAAATTCTTCGCAGAAATTCAATTATTTTCAAAAAATCTAAAAAAAAAATTGTCAACATTTCAATTATTTTTGTAAGTGAATAGCAAAATTATTCGACAAAATTCAATTATTTTCAGGAATTTTAATGAAATTTATTGCAAAATTCATTTATTTTCATAAATATTAGTATTTAACATACAAGAATTCAATTATTTTCAAAAGTAATAAAATTCAATTATTTTCAATAATTTTTATAAATTCACTTATTTTCAATATTTTATTATTTTAATGAAATTTTCCAAAAGAATTCAAGTATTAAACAAAAATTTTAATAATATTCGACACAAACATTCAATTATTTTCCAAAAAAATGAAAATTTCACAGGAATTCAATTATTAAAAATAGAATTTACATAATTTCAATTATTTTTAATACAATTTAAATCGAATTCCGAATAATCGAAATTTCAATTAAAATTGAATTGTAAACAAATGGATTTAAAAATTCTCAACAGAAGTTTATCAAAAATTTATTAAAAATAATTGACTTGTAAAAGAATTTTTTAAAAGTATTTAAAGCATTTTTAAAAAGCACAAAAATATTGAAGCTAAATGCCTTAAAAGAGAAGAAAAAATGTTGAATTTTAAGAAATTCGGTTTTTCGAATTTTTGATAATTTTGAAAAATTTTAAATTTTTTATCAAAGGGTGCAGACTTTTAAATAAGTAAAGTATTTTTGAAAAGCACAAAAATATTGAAGCTAAATGCCTTAAAAGAGAAGATAAAATGTTGAATTTTATGAAATTCGGTTTTTCAAATTTTTGATAATTTTGAAAAATTTTAAATTTTTTACCAAAGGGTGGAGACTTTTAAATAAGTAAAGTATTTTTGAAAAGCACAAAAATATTGAAGCTAAATGCCTTAAAAAAGAAGATCAAATGTTGATTTTTAAAAAATTCGGTTTTTCGAATTTTTGATAATTTTTAATAATTTTTTATTTTTTACCAAAGGGTGAAGATAACAAATTAGGTAAAGTGTTTTTGAAGAGCCCAAAAATAATGAAGCTAAATGCTATAAAAAAGAAGAAAAAATGTTGAATTTTAAGAAATTCGGGTTTTTCAAATTTTTGATAATTTTTAATAATTTTTTATTTTTTACCAAAGGGTGGAGATAACAAATTAGGTAAAGTGTTTTTGAAGAGTTCAAAAATAATGAAGCTAAATGCTATAAAAAAAAAGAAAAAATGTTGAATTTTAAGAAATTCGGGTTTTTCAAATTTTTGATAATTTTAGATAATTTTAGATTATTTACCAAAGGGTAAAGAATTTACCAATAATTGAAATTTCGTAAAATTGAATATTGCAAACAAATGGATTTGAAAATTGTCAAAGAACTTTTTCGAAAATTATTAAAAATAATCGATTTAAAGAATAATTTTAGTTAAAAATTCTTGTAAATAATAATTGAATTTATTGTAAATGATTTTATCACTCGGTCATATATTTAATTATTATAAAACATGAAGAAATAGATCACTCCGAGTCGAATAACTCCGAACTCGGAGTAATCGATATCTTTATGTTTTATAGTTACGAAAAAATTTAATTTCTAGTTTTAAGTAAAATGTTCCTTGATTTGATTCGTCCTGAATATATTTTTGTCAGTTGGTCCGTAATTTTTCATTTTTGGTCCGTAAAGTCCGTATTTTTAAATACTTTCATTATTTCAAGCCCTGAAAATAATTAAAAATTAATTTTTGAGTTGAAGATTAATTCAAGTTTTTTATTTTTACAGCCAAAAACAAGAGGGATGCGAAGAAGATAACCGCGAAAGCTGCTTTGGAAGCTTTGTATGGCTTGACATACGAGGAGGAAGTCAAGGTTGATCACTCTGAAGACATTCAAATGTGTTAATTTATCCCTTTTTTTTATAATTCTCATCACTACTTTCCATTACTTTATTTCTCCTCCCCAATTTTACTCCTATGAGTCTAGTGCTCATAATAAACGTGAATATTTCACAGAAACAGACACACATACACAAACCCTTTTTCTCAATATTGAATGTGTAGGCTATTAATGTGCATATTACATAGATTTTAGATATTAATCTCTCAGTAAGATAATAACTGATTAAAAAAGAAAAAAAAACATTTTTTTTTGAAATAGTGATTTTTTCTAATTTTTAATATTCATTAGGAATGTATAATTTTTTTTTCTTTTTTGTCTTCTCTCTTATAACGTCATTTTATATTTAGACATTCTTTAAGGTCGACAAACTAATTAAAACAAAAAAAAAACAAAAGAAAATATAGGGACAAAAATTTAGACGTTATTTCATACATGCGAACAATTTGAAGATTGAGTTTTTTCTTTCTTTCTATATTTATTGTTGTAGAATAATAATTTGAATGTCAAAAGAGAATTTTTAGGAATGTAAATTCTTTAAAAGCAACCGACTTTCGATAGAAAAAAAAATGTATCCGTCGATCATGAAACAATTTATAAAGAATAATAATAATGAAACAAAAACAAAATTATTTCTGGAGCTTTCGACACGTTTACACGTTGCCTCTTGAATTTAGTGTATAATTAAAGTACACGTAACACTTGATATTTTTGTGTTTTCTTTAAACCTTGTCAAATTCAGTTATTTTCAAAATCTGGTATTTTCGTAAAATTTCGCAAAAAAAATTCAATTATTTAAAAAAAAATTGATGAAATTCATCGAAAAATTCAATTATTTTCACAAATAATAAAATTTGCACAGGAATTCAATTAATTTAGAATAGCATTTTCAAAAAAATTAATTATTAAACAAAATTTTTATACAATTCTTCACAATAATTTAATTACTTTCACTAATAATAAAATTTTTATGGAAATTTAATTATCTAAAAAAAATTTTAATAAAATTCTAAACCAGAATTCAATTATTTTCACAATAAAATTTTCCACAAGAATTCAAATATTTTAAATAAATTTTTCATATTATTTATTATATTTCGAAAAAATTAATTATTTAAAACAATGTTTATAAAAATTCTTATGAAGAATTCAATTATTTTCAAAAATAACAACTTTTCACAGACATTCAATTCTTTCAAACAATTTTAATTCAATTATTTTCATAAATATTAGAATTTTTCACAGCAATTCAATTATTTTCAAATAGTTTAATAAAATTGTTCGCAAGAAATCAATTATTTTAAATACAATTTTAATTAAATTTTATTGAAATAATTCAATTATTCTTTTAGATTTTAATAAAATTCTTCCCAAGAATTCAATTATTTACATAAATAAATAATTCTTCGTTAGAATTTAATTAATTTCATGAATAAAAAAAATTTCTCAGGAATTGAATTATTTAAATTAGAATTTACATAAAATTAGTCGAAAGAAATGAATTTATAGTTTTTAGAAATTGATATTAAAAAAAATATTTATAATAATTAGTTAGAAATTAAAATTGTTATCATTTCAACTGAAAATAAAAAATTAAGATCAATTTTTACTGCGTGAAATAAAAATTCAATAGTTCTGAAATGTTTTTAATTTCGTATTTTATTGCCATGACAACTTGAAGGCAAACAAAAAAAAACAGCTGACAAAGTGGAAACAATGAAAGTATTGAAGTTACTCGTCCTGGGTCCAATTGGAGTAAGTTTCTATTTTATTGTTAATTTTATTTTTCTTTACTTATTTAGATAAAAAATAATCTAAATCTATTTTAACCTGAATCAAATATAATATAAAATCTGTATAGAAATTAAATTTTTTTTTAGTCTGGTAAAAGTACAATATCAAATTTTCTTGCGGATGCGTCGGAAATTTTTGACTACCATCCAACGCAAGGTGTAAGAATTTTGGAATTTGAAATTAAAGACATTAATTTTAACAGTAAATCTGTAAAATCTGATGTCGAATTATGGGACTGCAGTGGCGATCTTAAGTAAATAGAAAATTAATTGATATTCTATACCATTTAAATAAAAATAATTTCTACTTTTTCTCCAAACGTAATATTGAGTTATTAGTTAAAATTAAAATTTTAAATAATATTAATCATCAAAAATGTTCATTTTTCTAATAAATAAATTTTAGATTCAAAAATTGTTGGCCAGCATTTCGAAGAAGTGCCCAAGGCATATTATTCGTTCACGGACCGAAATCAAAAGAAAAGTTAGAAGATTTAGAAGAATTTTACGAATATTTCGTTAATAAATCAAAATTAGGACCGAAAAATTGTCTCCTTTTGTATTATGATCCAGAGGGAAAATCCGAGATGCCGAAAAATTTATGTAAGTACATTATTTTCTTTTGTATTTTTAAAAATTGTTAACTTCATACGTTTAATTTTTTTTCATAGCGCCAAATTTCGCCAAAATGTCAGCAATCAATTGCAATTTAGAAGAAGAGGAGAATAAATTAAAAAAAGACTTTCAAGCATTTTTGAGTGCACTCCTGACGAAATTAAAAGAGACAACAGATCAGGAAGAAATAAATATGGTGAACAGTATTCTTACACAATAGAAAATAGCTATAAATATTTAAATTATTAAAAATGATTATTTAAATTATTAAAAATGATTATTTAAATTATTAAAAATTATTATTTAAATTAGTTTTAAGTAAATTCAATTTTAAGAAGTTTTATTATTTACATTATTGTACACAAATTGGAAGAAATTACACCTTTTTTTGTAAATTTAAAAAATAAATGGCTTGATATTTGAAACAAACGGAAATATTTTATGCTTGTTTTACTAAAAAGTAACTTTACGTAAAAAGTTTCTAAAAATTTCCATCAAAATAGTTTAAATGTAAAAGAATTAATGAATATTGTTCTTTTAGTCTTGAATTTATCTTCCTCGTGGGAATTTCTGTTTTTATTCACTAGCTATCAGGAATTTTTTTAAGATGATTCATTAATTCGTTCCATGCTTTTTGAACTTGTTTTTGTGTTACCTCGTGACTCCACAGTGTTGAAACGACGACATTCGCCTCATTTATTTGTTGAACATTACTCGGTTGAACGGTTATTCTTTGTTTTGCTTCTTCTTCGCTCAATGAATTTCGTTCCATAACACGCTTCACGGCCTTTGGAAAAATAATTCGACAATTTTAATTTACATAATTTAATTCAGCGAAAAGTCAGGGATTTTTATTAAAAGTACTTGGAAATTTCAATTATCTTTATAAATAATAAAATTCTTCTCCAAAATTGAATTATTTTCGAAAAATTTTTAAAAATTCTTGAAAAATATTTCAATTCAATTATTTTCAAAAATTTCCCTCATTTCAATTATTTTTTATTAAATTTTCTAAAAGAATTTAATTAAAAATTTCACAGGAATTCAATTACATGACAATTTTTTTTTATAAATTTCTTCGCACCAATTCAATTATTTTTAATTTTTTAACGAAGTTTCTCGAAAATATATTCGAATATATTCAGAGAATTTGAAAAAAATAGTTCTGACAAATTCAATTATTTGCAAAAAAATTTAAATAAAAATCTTAAAAAAAATTCTATTATTTAAAAAAATTTTGACAAAATTCTTTACAAGAAATCCTTTTTAAAAATATCATTATTTTCAAAATTTTTAATAAAATTCCTTCAAAAAATTCAACTATTTTCAAAAATTCAGATAAAATTCTTCGAAACAATTCAATTTTTTTAAGAATTGTAAAATCCTCCGCAAGAATACAATTATTTTCGTATAAATAAGAAAAATCTTCGCAAGAATTAAAATATATCCATATAAATAATTAAATTCTTCAAAGGAATTCAATTATTTTCATAAATAATAAAATGTTTCGGAGGAATTCAATTATTTTCAATACAATTTTAATAAAATTCCTCGAAAGAATATTAATATTTTTAAAAATATTATTTAAATTCAATTATTTTCAAGAGTTTTAATAAAAATTCAATTATTCTTAACAATTCTGATATAAAATTCTTCGAAACAGTTCAATTATTTTTATAACTTGTAAAATTCTTGTCAAGAATTCAATTATTTTGGTAAATAATAAAATTCTACTGAGAATTTCAATTCTTTTTAATGCAAATGATTTAGAAAAAAAAGAAGAAAAGTTTTTCAATATTTGTTTACCTCTTCCTCGGGTATTATGCAGGTCCAAATTTCGTGACAATAATTTTGCCAATTTGCTTGTATCAGAACTGCCGCTTCCATGACAATTATATCAACTCCTTTCTCGTGAAGGGAATTTATTTGACTTTTCGCTTCCTTCAAAATAGCCGGCCATACAAGTTTATTTAGTTTGTACAATTGCTCCTTTAAAAATTGAGATCAAATTAGTAACATTTTGTCTAGAAAATTTCCTAATTTGCATTTACATACCTTATTGTTAAAAACAATATTTCCCAAAGCTTTTCGATCGATGAATTGTTCAGAATTGAGAATTTTCGTGCCAAAGCTTTCCACTATCAATTTGTAACATTCTTTTCCCGGTTCATAAAGATCGTGAGCAATTTTATCACAATTCACATGTCCGGCGCCTAATTTTTCTAATTTCTCCGCAATTGACGATTTTCCACTGGCAATCCCTCCGGTCAATCCAATTATATATGGTCTCAGTATTTTGTCCTTTAAATTCTGTTCAGAAAAAAAATCAAATTTAACACGTAGCACAAATTAAATTAAATTAACAATTAAAGTTTCAAATTAAACTTACAGGTTGACGGAGTCTCGTTCCCAATAATCGTATTCTTTCATTACTGGAACTAATTTTTGGATCTTCATTTTCATCGCTTTGCTCATCGGACATTAATTTAACCACGTGAATATCCAATTTTGAAAGATTCCTCTCTCGGCGGAGTTGATTTACTTTTTCACCACCGCGAACAGTTTCCTCGCTCACCACAAGTAGATTTAGTTTTGGATCGTCTTTTGTCGGACCATAAATGTCCGATATTGGCACTAGATTGTAATTTAAACTCGAATCAACGTCTTCTAGAAAATCTTTCAACGCCATTATTCTCTGCTCGCATGGTTCAATCAATTCCCAAAGAATTTTGCCTAGAAAATATACGAAAATGCTCAATTTTTTTTTTTTAAATCAGGGTTGCCACAAAAATTAAATTTTATTTTTCTCTGATTTCTAGACAAAATTTTAATTTTTTTCCCGACCCTAAAGAATATTTTGATTCACTCTAAAAATTATTAGATGCTCAAAAAAATTATTATGTTAGATTTATTTACGAATTTCCAGAATTGCAAAATTATTCAAAAACACCAATAACTTTATTTTTGAATAAATAAAACTTCTCAAAATTATTTTCAACATTTCAATTCAATTATTATTTTATACAATTTTTACATAAAATTCTTCTTTACGTCAATTACTTTCAATAATTTTTGATAAAGTTCTTTTAAGAGTTTTCAAATTCATTTCTTTACCATTCAATTTTACGTGAAATTTCGATTATTCGGGAATAATTCTATCAACAAATTTTTAAATAATTGAATTCTTTCGATGAATTTTCATCAAATTTTTAAGTAATAATTAACTTTTTTCGAGGAATTCAATTAAAATTGTTTTAAAAATAATTTAATTTTTATAAAGATTTTACTATTTAAAAAAATAATTGACATTTGCTAGTTTTTCAATAAAATACTTGATTAAATGATTGTGTCAACTTTGAAAATTGAATGAAGAAAAAGTAATTAAATAAAAAATAGAGATACAAACTTTTCAGCATATTCTCATCGGTCACGCCAACAGTTAATCTCTCACTGCAATATAAAATAGCTTCGCTCAATAAAATTTTATGACCATTATGTAAACGATCGAATGTGCCACCAAGTATGACATTTTTGTAAAATTTCTCATCACAATTTTTCATTTCTCGACCATTATTGTCATCATCATTCTCCGATGTTGATGACGACGATCTATCTTGACCATTCTCGTCAATTGTGATAAAATTACAACCCATTGATGTATTTGAGAGATAATCCTGAATAAATGTGTCCGCCTCCTTTTTATTGTGTGCCTCATCGAAAATGACAAGTTCCACGGGACGTTTTGTGTGTATTATGGAAATATTGGAATTTTTTAAATTCGACAACAAAACACGTACATCTAAACGTGACGATATTGATGAGGCGAATTCATAAATATTTGCCAATGTTTGAGCATAACAATGACCCCTCCATTTTTGCGTTGACAATAAATTTGTACCGGAAATAAAAATATTCCTCTCGGGAAAATATTGTATGTAGAGTGTTTTTAAAACATGTTTCTTTATAACGGGTAATAATTTTTTTGCCCTCACTGGACTTGTCAGCACGAGTAATCCAGTGTTTACCATTTTCTTTCCCTTTTTTTAGTTTGTTCCTGAAAAATTTATAATTTTAAAAAATAACTTTATTGAAAAACAAATATAATAGAAAATTTGCTTTCAAAAAAATAATTCTAAAACAAAAATTATTATTAAAATATTAAATAGTTAAAAATAATAAATAATAAAAACATTCATTTTTTAATTATACGAAATAAGTAAAAAAAAAAAGACGAAAACACTTACCGAAAAAAATTTTCATTGGCTTTTGGTTAAAAAGCAAATATTTTGTTCTTTCACTTTATTAAATTGATCATTTTGAGAAATCAATGACTCGCAAAATTTTTTGCGAATGTATATATATATATAATTGTTCGCGAATAATTATTGATGACGATATAGACGATAACAACCTTTTTTATCACAATGATTTTCTTTACTTGCGTTTTGAGGTTATGTTGCAATATTTTCTTATTGTTGTCGTTGCCTCTGTTGTCTCTTCAACTACAGTGCAAAATAATTAATCATAAAATAATAATTGTAAACCAAAAACAAAAAAGTAATTATTGCTATTAACTTTTTTTCGAAAATTTAAATTTTCGGATCTTTTTTGGCTTCTTGAATTTTTATAAAATACGCAAAAATACTTTTAGAATCCTTTCAAATTATCGAAAAATCGTATGTAATTTTTTTTATCGCGCATGTAAATTAAATAATATTTTTTTTTTATTTACAAACTTCAAACTATTTTTAAAAATTGAATAAATTGACAAGATTGACAATTGTCAACAACTTGTCCATAATTGTTATTAAAATTCAGGGTGGGGCAGGTATAATTTTGTAAATAAGGATCCGAGAGGTTGTGATACCTCCTTTAAATATAACCTCACTTTTTGCCCACGTCAACAACTTTTACTTTATGAATTTAAATATATACGATTTTTATACTCCAATTCGCAATTTTTTTTATTGAAAATTTGCAATTTTATTATTATAACCGCTATACGTGTATATAAATAAGTAGGAACAGTGGCTCGGTAATACTTGGACAATGCAAAATTTTCGAAAATGTTTTTATTTCGGAGCAAACTTTTTATAAAGTACACAATTTGTATACTTTATGTGATTGTAATTTTATTAATTGCTCAACGCATTTTTAGAGTAAGTGATGACAATTATATTAATGCTATAAGTAATGAGAAGGCAGATGTTTCCTATATTAATGGAAAATTTATTGACGTTGAAAGTAAAACAAATGAGGAATATCGCAGGTAAGGGAAAAAAATTCTATTCTCTTCTCTTTTATAAATAAACAATAGCCAATGTTACGAGCGGAACGTGATATTTAATTTATTATTCTTATGCAAATTACAAAATTTTTTATCTTCAAATATAAAGTTTTTAAATAATTTCGTAATCAAAAATTTTTAAAATTCATTTATTAAGTACAAAATTCACTTATTAGTGCTCATTTTCAAAAAATTTTTGTAACTAAACTTATTTCTAAATCGACAGTACTTTTTATTGAATTTAATTTTCGTTTTTGAATTTCAGATACGAATCGTGGATATTGAATTACGAACGTAATGTTGTACCAGGAATGGGAGAATATGGAGAACCTTCTTTTTTATACGGGGACGAAAAGGTTAAAGGAGATTTAGCGCTTAAGAAAAAAGCATTAAATACTGTTCTTTCTGATAGAATTTCCTTGAAACGAAAATTAGCGGATCCACGAAATCCATTGTAAGAAATTTTCACTATTTCTGTAATTTTCTTCCCCGTTTACTTGCTACATTTATGAATTAAAATCCAATCGTTTCCGACAATTAATTACAGATGCAAAAATGTGACTTATGAAACTTCATTACCAAGTGCCAGTATAGTAATTATTTTTTATAATGAACCATGGAGTGTCCTTTTGAGAACTGTTCACAGTGTCCTTAGAAAATCCCCACCAAAATTATTGAAAGAAATTATTCTTGTTGATGATTGCAGCGATGAAGGTTTGAAAAGAAAATTATTTCTTCGCTAATTAAAGTGATTTAAATTATTTCTTCGCTAATTAAAGTGATTTAAATTATTTAATTTAATTAAAGTGTGTATTTTAAAGAAATTTATGTTTTTAGAGGGACTACAAAAAAGACTGAGTTATTATATAGCGACGAGATTTCCAAAGAAAGTGAAAATTATTCGATTAGAGGAAAGAATGGGTTTGATTCGAGCACGATTAAAAGGAGCGGAAATTGCAACAGGAGATGTTTTAATATTTTTGGACGCTCATTGTGAAGTGACAATTGAGTGGTGCGTCTTTCAAAATTTTATTTTCAACTAAAAACTGAGTAGAAAAATTTTCTATTTTTCTATATAATTTATATAATTTTCCTTTTTAAATGTTGAATTGTTTTAATGTTTTTAAAAATAATTATATTCTTTCGAGAAATTTGATTAAAATAGTATTGAAAATAATTGAATTGCTCTAAAAAAATTGCTAGTAGAATTATAAATTAAAAATGTTATCGGTTATAATTTTCAAAGTTTAATCTCTGTTTTTTATTTCTTTCTCCAGGCTCGAACCGTTACTGCAACGAATTAAGAAGAAGAGCAATGCAGTACTAACGCCTATAATCGATAACATATCGGAAGAAACTTTAGAGTATTTACACGATAACGATCCTTCATTTTTCCAAGTCGGAGGTTTCACCTGGTCCGGGCATTTTTCATGGATCGATATTCAAGACAAGGATGTGAAATCTCGTTCGTCGCCAATTTCGCCAACAAATTCGCCAACAATGGCCGGTGGACTGTTCGCCATTAATCGTAAATATTTCTGGAATATTGGAAGTTACGACGATCAAATGGATGGCTGGGGTGGTGAAAATTTAGAAATGTCCTTCAGGGTAGAGAACAATTTAATTATTTAATTATATTAATTTATTGAATTATTTCAATTATATTAATTTATTTAATTTAATTATTAATTTCAGGTATGGCAATGTGGAGGAACACTCGAGACAATTCCCTGCTCCCGAGTTGGACACATTTTTCGAAATTTTCATCCATACAAATTTCCAAAAAATAAAGATACTCATGGAATTAATACCGCGAGACTTGTTCACGTTTGGATGGACGATTATAAACGTTTATTTTATTTATATCGCGAGGAATTTAAGGTAAAAAGAACCAAAATTTGATTTATACAATTAACAATCATTTGAATTTTCGTCATTCTTGGTTTGTCTTTTTTTAAAAATAGGATAATTTGTCAGCCATTGGAAATATTAAGGAACGAATGAAATTACGTAGAAGACTCAAGTGTAAAGATTTCAAATGGTATCTCGATAATGTTTATCCGGAAAAGTCAATTCCAGATGAAAATGTTATTGCCTATGGAAGATTGAAAGTTAAAAGTAGAAATTTGTGCCTGGATAATTTACAACGTGAAAATGATGATAATTCTTATAATCTAGGAATGTATGGATGCCATGCTAAAATTTATCCCAGTCAGGTAGTTGGAATTACTTTTTTTATTAACAGTTTATTATTTATTTTTTTATTATCTTTACTTTATTAACGTTCTTTTCTTGCAATGTTTATATTTTTCTGGTTCTATTAACATTTATTATTTGTTTAAATAAAGCTTTTCTCGTTGAATAACGATGGGGAATTAAAGCAAGATGAAATTTGCGCTTCGGTCAATGAGGATTTCATGAGAAATAAAACTTCAAAAATAATAATGAAACGTTGCTCAAAAAGTGAAGGCAGTAGTGACTGGATGCTATCGGAGGTATTATCTTTTCTTTTTATTTTATAAAATCAGCAAATGAAAAAACATCAATTTTTGAATGACTACAGATTCAAACTTTAACAATTTAACAATTTTGATGAAATCCTTTTTAAAAATATTTATTTTCAAAATTTTTAATAAAATTTTCTTAAAAAATTCAATCATTTTCAAAAATTCAGATAAAATTATTCGAAACAATTCAATTATTTTTATGAATTGTAAAATCCTCGGCAAGAATTAAATTATTTTCAATACAATTTTAATAAAATTTCTCGAAAGAATACAATTATTTTTAAAAATATTATTTAAATTCAATTATTTTCAAGAGTTTTAATAAAAATTCAGTTATTTTCAATAATTCTGCTAAAATTCATTGAAACAATTCAATTATTTTTATAAATTAAAAAAAACTTCATTATTTTTAAGAATATTGAAATAAATTCTTCATTCTTCAAAGCAATTCAATTATTTTAAAGAATTTAAATAAAAATCTTATTTCAAGAATTAAATTATTTTCAATACAATTTTAATTTCATTTTCTCGAAAGAATGTAATTATTGTGAAAAAATGTTAATAAAATTCTTCGAAGAAATTCAATTATTTTCAGTACATTAATTTTAAAATTGAAAACATTTTAAAATGGAAAATTATTTGAAAAGTTGGGAAACAAAAAAGCAAACTACAAATAACTTCAAACTAGAACTGATTACTGGAATACAACGATTATTAATATAGAAGATTTATAATATAAAATAAAATTGTTTATTAAAATAAATATTAATAAATAAATGCGATTTTTTTTCAGGAAGGAAAAATTATTCACTTAGGAACTGGTCTTTGTCTCGACGCATCTGGCGTTCAAGCAGAACAAGATGTTTTTGCATCGGAATGCACCGATAAAAGGGACCAATTTTGGCAGTTTGATTTCTACGGTGACCATCCAATTCCTAGGTAATAAATAGAATCTATCTTCTTGTTGCTCAGGAATTCGTAACAAAAAAAAAGAGTCATTTTTTATGCCTCCCAAAATTGCTCTTGATAATTACTCAAATTTTTATATTCCATTAAATTAATTTTATTACATATTTTTTAAATTTAAACTAAATCTAAGAAATATCAAATATCTATGATAATTTTCGAAAAAAATTTATAATTCATTACTAATTTTAAAATTAGTAAAAATATCTTAGATATTTAAATAATATAAATATTCTCAGTATTTTAAATATATTTTCAAAACGAAAAAATAGTGACCTTTTAAAAATACTTTGAATTGAATAATTCTAATTCAATTAGAATTAAAAATAAAAAATTATGGAACTATTTAAAATACTTAGAATATTTCAAATGTTATTCCACTTCTTTTTATTTTTAAGATTTTTTTTATTGTACAAATTCTTAGTCAAACTATGGACTGATTAATTCAAATCAAAATTTTCTTTTATATGTAATATTTATGTTGTGTAAGTAGCAAGTGAATCGAACAAAAATTCTATTTCTAGTCTTCGATTAAAGCTTCCAGTTTTTTTTTTTTAATGGAAATTTTATAGTCTATTCTTTTTATCATTCATGACAAAAAAAAATGTGATGTCACGGAAATTGTCTTCCAATTTTTACAATTTTATAGAAACTTGTTAGGAAATAATTGAGAGAAAAAAAAATATCGAGTTAAGAAAATAAGGAAGAAATTATTGACTAATTTTTAAGAAAATTGTAAGAAAATGCTTTTTAAAATTTTTTTTTGTTAATTAATAATTATTGTAAAAAAAAGCATATCTTACATATTTGCTACTTGTTATTTATATACATTTGTTGAGGTGAATTTTTTTTATATTCAATTTACAAGCATTAAGTTTTTATATATTATTTATAATAATTTACGAAGAAACTTAAATATATTGTTAATATCTTATTTTTCGGAGATTAACCGAAAGTGTTAAGCAATTCAATGTGTAGTCTATTAAACATAGTCTTAAGATATTTTTATTTTCAATGCTCAATTTTTATATAAAGAAAAAAGTAATTTTATTTTTTATAATGAAAAAATTAGTAGACAAATTAGAGTAAATTTTCGAAAGGGTTAAATTTAAAAGCGTTTAGTTAAATTTTACCTATTATATTTGCCATTTAATTTATTCGTTTAAACCACGTTTTCCATTTGTACGATAATTTATTGTTAAAATAGAAAAAAATAGTTTTATTTAAAAGAATTGTTAGTTTTGAATAATAATTGAAATGTGTTAAATAAAAAATTGTCTGCTCATCTGTAGAAGAAGTTCCGTCCTTATTAATATAAATATTTGTTTTGTTATCTTTCTCACTTATTCTTTTGTTTTAAATAAAACAAAATACAATGAATTTTAAACTTAATTATTGTGTTTTTATTTAAAAAAAATCCCTCCTTTGATTAATCGTTTTCTTTGCAAATAAATTGTAAAAGTATTTTAATAAGAAAAATATTTCTACAGAGTGGAAACAAATTTCTTTTAATAAAAATTGTTAAATTTTATTTACATTAGTTAATTATTTAAGAAAATATAAAATAAAAATATGACGCGGAACTATAATAATGTGTCTTCTGATCTAATATATTCTCCAATGTCTGCTTGATGAAAGCAAACAGTTGACATTGGATCTGCATTTTTACAATCGGCTGTACTTTTCGCCACAACACCAAAACCCTAAAAGTAATTTAATTTATTTTTAATTTAATCATACTTTATTACTAATTATAATTTAATTTCAATTTGATTATAATTTACAATTACTATATTAATTTTTTTTAGATTTAAATTAATTAAAATTTTGTATTAAAATAAAAAGAAAAGCGTTTTTTTTAATTCTGTATTTACTTACAAGTGGTAAGTCGTGCATATTATAGATGACAACTCCTTGATATTTTTGTGTTCCCTCGGTTATTCTGCCTAATCCTGATTTATTTACATGATGGCCATATAAAAATTGTTGTTCGGCTGATGCTTTTAGCCAAACTTTGTACTGAAATTAGAAAACATTTTTTGAATATTTCAAGAAAAAGCGAGTATTTAATTTGAATGAAAAATATAAATGACAAAATTAAAATATACAGAGGAATATTAAATGAAAACTATACCTGAGCATAAGGCGCTAAATAATTAAGAGCTGTTATTTGTAATTTAAATTTTCCTGATTTTGTGAATTTTCCAAAACACGTTCCAACGCTCAATAAACGATCAGAACCCAAAGTCATTGCAATGGAAAAAATTTTCTCCGATGCATAATAAACACGATCCTTTTTCTCCCGAAAACAGTAAATTCCATCTGGACGATCAATCAAGTGCTTAACATTGTCCCCTATACTGAAAATTGTAATTGCTATTTTAATTTTTACTACGAGAGAACAAAATGTTTCAATTTTTCGGAAAATTCTGTTAAAATAGATTTTATAATTGTATAGTTTTTTATTACTAAAGTTAATAACTTTACTGTGTTGTATATACAATAATAAAAATAATCTTATTAAAACAACACTTGAAATTTAAGTATTTAAAGAAAAAATGACAATTTTCCAATAAAAACACGTGGTTTTTGTTTAAATACTAAAACCTAACCTAAAATAACAAATAATTGTAAAAGTTCAGTGTAAATTACTTACTATTTTGTTAATTTTTCGAATAGTAATTTTGTTCTTTCTTCAGACAAACGTTTCATTGTGTATTTGTTATTTATTTAAATAAATAGAAATTAATAAATAATGCGAGAAAATAAATTCAACTTGACTGTTTCCAGTCTGTCACAACATTGCGCACGCGTCACTTTATCGCCAGGGATGAGAAAGTAAAGAAAGTTTAGAAATTAAGTCTAAACCCCTCTTGTTTCAACATTTTACGAAGAAATTGCAAATTGCAAATCATGTGAAAGTGCCTTTACATAAGGGACTTTTTTTTGGTGAAAATTGTCCTTAATGTCGTTAATGTCCCAAAACATAAACATAACCTCAAATTTTTTACAAATATGGAGAAATCAGAATTGCAGTCCGAAGAGAAAAATACAATTTGTTTGTTTAAAAAAAGGAAAAGTAAAAATATATCAGTGCGAAAACGAAAAGGCAACGATTCTGAAAATGGTAAACCTAATTAATTGTTGTTTTTTATTGCATAATTTAAAAAATTGGGTAAACAATCTTAACAAGTTTGTTGTATGAGAAATTGCAGTGTTGTAATATTAATTCAATTACGTTCATAAACAATAAAACTCATCGAAGAATTTCAATTATTCTTAATACTATTTTAAATAAATTAATAGAAAAATTCAATTCTTTTCACAAATATTTTCCACGAGAATTCAATTATATAAAATAAAATTTTCATAAACATTTTAATAAAATTTTTCGACATTATTTTCATAAATAATAAAATTCTTCTAATCTTCTCATCAATTTAATTATTTTGGAAATATTTTAATAAAATTGTTCGAAAGAAATCAATTATTTTAAATACAGTTTCAATTACATTTTTTTGAAATAATTCAATTATTCTTTTAGATTCTAATTAAATCGTTCTCAAGAATTCAATTATTTTCATAAATACAATGCTTTTTAGGAATTCAATTATTTTCAACAAAATTAAATAAAATTCCACACAGACATTCAATTATTCTCAAAAATCTTAATAGAATTCTTTATAAAAAATTTAATTATTTTTAAAAACTTTTCGCAATTCAATGTTTTTTAATAAAATATGATTTTAATAATGATTTAATAATAATTTTTTTTTCAGATAGCAGTGAGGATGACACAACAGTTATTAAAAAGGAGAAAAAAGTCGATTCAAAAAATCCCTTGAGACAAAGTGTAAGAATTTATTTAAACACATTTATATTAAGAATTTATTTATTCCTTATACTTGAGTTTTTTAAAATTTTTATTTTCTAAAAAACTGGGTTTTTCAAGAAATTAAAATTTTATTGCTTTAATTTTTCCCATAGACAATGAAATATCGAAAGCAGAAGAAATCTGTCGATTCTTCAGACAGTGAGGAAGAGAAATCTGTTTCGGTTTCATATAAAAGTCTCGCGACACCAATGCCCGTTGGACCACAAGATCAAGGAGCAACTGCAACTTTGGAAATTGAGACAGAACTTGATAAAGATGCCCAAGCAATTTTCGAAAAAGCTCAGAAAATAAATGCGGTATTTATAGAATAATTTATGAAATTATAATTTAGAATGAAAATTCTCCTTTATTTCGAATTTTGAATTTTTATTTCGTTTAGGAACTTGAAGGTAAAGAGGATGACAAAATCTACCGAGGAATAAATAATTACGCGCAGTATTTTAAAAAGAAGGACTCGGCCGCTGGTAACGCGTCAAGTGGAATGGTTCGAAAGGGGCCAATTCGAGCGCCGGCCAATTTAAGAGCAACAGTTCGATGGGATTATCAGCCAGATATTTGCAAAGATTATAAAGAAACTGGATTTTGCGGCTTTGGAGGTCTTGAATTTTTGTATTTTAATTTTGTATTTAAAAATTAGAAAAATTGCGAATATTTGTTTGTTTTCTTTATTGCAGACAGTTGTAAATTTCTTCACGATCGATCGGATTACAAATTGGGTTGGCAGCTGGAACGTGAGGCAGCGGCGTCGGGAAACAAAAATGACAGTGACAATGATGACGATGATGGAAAATACGAAATCGACAGCGACGAAGAAACTTTGCCGTTTAAATGCTTTATTTGTCGGAACAGTTTCACTAGGCCCGTCGTCACCAAGTAGGTTTCCTCGAATTTTAATTTATTTTTTTTTTGTTCCTAAAATTTACTTTTATATAAAGAATTTACTTGAAAATTTACTTGTAAATTATTTTTTGTATTTATTGTAAACTAATTTACAGATGTAAGCATTATTTCTGTGAGCCTTGTGCTTTGGAGCATTACAAGAAAAGTAAGAGATGCTTTATATGCAATGTTCCCACGAATGGTGTATTTAATCCAGCGAAAGAATTAATGGATCGAATTGAACACGATTCTGACGATGAGGATGCAAACAAATCGAAAAACGATGATGAGAATTCGGATGATTCTGAGGAAGCTGACAGTGAAACGCCGAATAAAACACTTTCCCAATGGCAACCAATAGCAAACTAGAGTAAATAATTTTATTCAAAATTTTTTTAATTTTAAATATTAATCGAATTTTTCTAATTTAAAAAGAATTTTAATTCTAGCTTTTTTTCTCCTTTTTTTGAGTTATTTGGATATTTCTTTAAAATATTAGAAATTATTTTCAATTTTGATTTTATTAACATTTTTCTGGAACAATTGTAACCTGTTGATTTTAAAAAAGGGGAAAAATAAATAGAAGTTACCTTATGGGAATAATTCATTTTTACTGAAATATAATTTCTTCTGACAATCATTCTTTGCAATAAAAATTTAGAGTAATTTAAATCAAGAGGCCTGTGAGAAGCCAAAAGAAGTCTATAAATTTATTTTGCATATAAGAATTATGTAAAGAGAATTTTTTATCGATTCCAATAGAATATTTAAGTGTCAATTTTTAAAACAAAAATCTAATTTTCGAGAAAAATTAAAAATTTACTAATTTTCGCTCATTAATTTTAATTATAGTTTCGAATTTCAAAATTGTAAAAGCGAATAAATTTGTTTAATACCTATTTCTTTTCCAGAACGAAATTAAAATTCTAATACAAATCTAGAAATTAATAATAATTGCCAAAAAAAAAGGAAAAATTCAACTTGTTAATTAATCGCAATAATTATAAAAATAGAGGAAAAGAAGGAAAAAAATCATCTGTCAGTAAAACATTTTTCTTCGTTGATGATCAAGGTTATCGATTTGAATATTACATATATATGTTCTAAAGACTAATACGAAATTCCTTCTGCTTCATATACGTATATACACAAACATATATAGAACTTTTGAACACAATTGAAAATGCTGAGCGAATAGAGAGAGGAGCGCTTGTCTAAATCGATAAACACTAAGCACAATGTTTCCCTCTCGGCTCGATGTGAAAATGTCGTCGTCGTTGTCGGCACAGACAGTATATTTAACTTCCGAAAAAATTCATTGAAATCTATTATTATTCTACACAATGACGCGCAATTATTAGAAAATTATTGAAAAAAAAAGAAATTCAAGAAAAATCAAGTGGTGAAAAAGACGTCTATTTTGTAGAAATTGTTCACAAATTTTACACGTACAATTTTTTTTTTTGAAAGGAGGAGAAGGAAATAAATAATGATGATAAAAATTCGGCAGCGAACCAACAAAGAAGTGTATTTTTAAAAATATTTCGCATATTTTAGCGCAAAAATTGCATTAATTTGCAATTAAATAATTCAATAGGAGGAATAAAAAAAGACAAAAATAAATCGAAAACTGATTGAATTTTATTTTGCGAATTTGGAATTTTTGTTTAATCCCCCAAAAAAGGAGAATTGAAACTCTATAATTGAAAAATTGTGAATTTATTTACATCTCAAATCAACCAGGTATGTAAAAAGGAATTTTTCTTCCTTCGTTATTAATAATTTGTAATTGTAAATTTAATGCTTCTTTATTTATAAATCGAGTGCCAAAATAGAAAGACGAACAAAATTTTCATCAACAAAATATTCTTTCAATAATTATAATATTAATAGAATATAATAATCAGGGTGGCCACTTATTTTCAAAAATTGCGAATTCTTCGACTTTTTTTCCAAATATTGCAACAAAATATCATATTTTTTTTAGTATTAAATTGTAACTCATTTCGATTTTTATAGTGGGAAAAATAACTATAAACAAATCTTTTAAAAATTATTTTTGAATCATTTTTCAATTTAAATTTTCGAAATGTACAATTAAAAAGATTTTGAATATATTGAAATTTTGTAAAATTTAATTTAAAATAATTAATTTTTTCATCAAGTATTTTAAGTTAGAATTTTTGAAAATCAACTTTTGAAGAATTTTAATTGCAAAATTTTCAAAATAATTGAATTATCAAAAATTTTAATGAAAATATCATTATCATTTATTATTTAGGAAATTAACTGAATTCTAGCAAAGAATTATAGTAAAAATGTAAAAAATCCTAATTAAATTCTTTTAAAGAATTTCTTTGAATTTTTTTTTAAACTAATGGAGTTTCTATAATAATTTTAATTGAAAATTTTGAAAGCAATATTGAATTTGATCAAGAAGAATTTTATTAAAATCGTATTGAAAATAATTGAATTTTTGCGAAGAATTTTACTATTTATAAAAATAATTGAATTGTTCCAAAGAATTTATTAAAATTTTAGAAAATAAATTAATTTTATGTTTATATTTGAAAATTTAAATTCTTTTGAGAAATTCTATTAAAATTATTTTGAAAAGAATTGAATTTCTGCAGAGGATTTTACTATTTTTTTAAAAATAATTAAATTATTGCGAAGAATTTTACTATTTATAAAAATAATTGAAATGTTTCGAAAGTAATTTCATTTTTATATAGAATTTTTTAAAAATATTTTGAGAATTGAATTATTTTGAATTTTTCGAAGGATTTATTAAAATTTTAGAAAAAAATGGAATTTTTTCGAAATGTGTTATAAATTTTTAAAAAAATTGAATTCTTCCGAGGAATTTAATTAAAATTGTTTTGAAAATAAGTGAATTTTTGTAAATATTTTACTATTTAAAAAAATAATTGAAAAAAATGTCAAAGAAAATAATTTTAATGTCTGTAAAATTGTCAGGGAAATTAATAAACTGAAACTTGTCACCACCCTGATAATTTATTTTTATAATTACATTATATTTAATTATATACTATTAATTATAATTATCAGAATATTTATAAATTTTTTATTTTTTTTTCAAAAAATTGGAATTGAAACAAGAAAATAATTTTACTTTATTTACTATTTTCTTTTTTTTTCTACAAACTTTTTTCAGATTCTTGGCTTTTTATTGTCTTTATTTGACAATATATTAGAAATTTAAATTAAAAGAAAGAAAAATTCAAGGGATAATTTTAATGACAAGAATATTTATCTCTTCAAATTACATATTTTCTGATTGAAATTGAAAATGGAATTAAATAATTTAAACTGAAAATAGGTACATATTCCAAAAATAAAACCATTTTAATGGGTCAAAATTTCGTTTACATCTTTAATAACACAATTATGTAATTATGTACAACTATATTTATATTTAAAAAATAATTAATTTGCAATCAATAATTTTTTTCAAATTTTTTTCATCAAAAAATAATTGTTTTTCTAAATTTTCTCATAAGAATTGAATAAATATTTTTATAAATTCTAGATTTGTCAATTTATATTGAGTAATTATAATAATAAAAAAATAATAATAATAATATTAATATTAAAGATAATAATAATAATTAATAAAATATTAGTGATAATAATAATAAAGAAGGCGAAGTAATGTTTTCTGAGAAAAGAATTTTTGTAGATGATTTGTGGCAGTAATGCCCTCGTCAGAGGAAAGCCAGTGGCTTGTATCCTCCTTGAAAGGCAACGCACCGCCTTCAGGAGTTGGGGAACGATCATCAGGAACTAGAACTGGATTATATACAGAAGAAATGACAACACAAACGTCAAAAACTGCTAGTACGGAAATTAGTACATCGGCCGATCCGGCTGAACATGATCTTATTGATTCGACAGCTGCACAATTTCATGAAGAAGCCATAAAACAGGTACTACATAAATATATTCACCTTTTTTTTCTACCATCATTATTTCTAATTTCTATTTTCAATTTTCCTCTTTTTTTTCTCTAATTGTTTAAAATTTGCCGCGCGCACAGTAAAAACAATTTCCTCTCAAACGTCAAACATAACCTATAAGTCACGTCCGGTTTTCTTGGAATCGCAGCTGTTTTGTGTATATATTTTTATCGCATATTAAACTTTTGTGTATTGTTCTGCCGCAATATAAACACGAATGTGTGTCTCGTGATAGATTTCCTTTTCTTTTTCTTATCATGGAAGATCACGATCAACAAGATCCTCCTGATGAATCAATTATTCGCGATAAACAAGCTCCCCAGGAGGTTCTTGGATTCCTGAAAGATTGTCCTGTAAATATGTTTATTGTTCTTGTCACCCTATTGTCTATAAATGCTTTATTTTTTTTGATAAAAATTTTCTACTTTAATTTCTATACAATGCATAGTTTAAAATATTCCTGTTCTTTTTCCTATTCGAGAATTTCATTTTTTACAAAAAAATTTCTAGAATTTATAATTATAAACTTTTGCTATATTTCTCTTTTCTAATTTTTAGTAATGATTCTTTAACTTTACGTTCAACTTTTAATTTTACGTTTAAATTTTAATTTTAGTTTAAATTTTACTTTACCTGAAATATTTATTTACAGACTTTAATTTTGTTGGATTTTTTTTATTTATTTACTTGCGTAATGTAATGACAGATTTCTTAAAATTAATATAAATCACGAAATTGTTTGAAAAAAAATAGGTCAAAAACAAATACTTTTTTCGACTATTTTTAAATAATGCGACTTTCATTGACTTATATTAAAAAATTGCGACTTTTTTTTCCAAATTTCCAAATTTTACGAATTTCTTTATTACAATTTTTGAAAATATTCTATCTTAATATCTTTAAAAAGAAAAATGGACGGTTTCAATTATTACAAAAAATTGTATTTAAATAATTGAATTCTCGAAGAAATTTTGAAAAATTATTAAAAATTAATATAGATATTTGATTTAGAGATGAAGTTTAGTTAAAAATTGTAGAAAATAATTGGATTTTTGGAAGGTTTATAAATTTTAATTTTTAGAAATTATTAAATTTCAGAAGTTTAATGAATATTGATATTAAAGTTAAGAAATTTTGAAAAATGAAATAAATTATTACTTGTTAAAACTTTTTCGAAATTGTTTCAATTGTTAAATGAATTCGAATTGTTTAAAAATCAGGGTTGCCACAGATCAGGAAAATCAGGGATTTTTATTAAAAGTACTGGAAAAAATTAAATTTGTAAAATTCAAAAGAAAACTAAATGAATTTTTTAATATTATTTAATAATTTCAAAAGTTTTTAATTGTCTTAATAAATAACAAACTTCTTCACAAAAATTCAATTATTTTTAGGAATTTTTAAAAAATTCTTTTCCAAAATTCAATTATTTTCATAAATAACGAATATTCATCACAAGAATTCAATTATTTTCAAAATTAATAAAATTCTTCGAAGAAATTCAATTATTTTTAAAAATTTGAACAAATATCTAGTCAAGAATTCAATTATCTTTATAAATAGCAAAATTTTTCGCCAATAAGTAAATTATTTTCAAAAATTTAAATATAATTCTTTGCAAATTTTCAATATTTTTAATACAATTTTAAATAAATTTAAGATTTAAATAAATTCAAATTTAAGAAACATTCCATTATTCAATAAAATAATAAAATTCGTTGCAATAATTCAATTATTTTCATAAATAACTTTTCATTCGTCACAGGAAATTAATTATTTTCACAATTTTTTTTAAGTTTTCCACATAAAATCAATTATTTTAAGAAATTTAAATAAAATTCTTTTACAAAATTCAATTATTTCGATAAATATCAAAATTCATCATAAGAATTCAATTCTTTTGAAAACTAATAAAATACTTTCTGAAAATTAAATTATTTTCAAAATTTTTTAAAAATTCCCGTTAAGAATATTAAATTATCTTTTTTTTAGAAATAGATAGCGAAAATCTTCACATTTCAATTATTTAAATGAAATTTAATCAAAATTCTTCACATGAATTCAATTATTTTCATAAATTATTATTTATAATAAATAATAAGTCTGGAAATGAGGGAAAAACGAAATTAAATTTTTGTGGCAACCTTGAAAATGAAAATTTGTTTTATTCCAGGTTGGCGTTGGTTACTTTCAGTTTTTAGTGACATTCTTCGCTGGTTTAAGTCTTGCATCCGATACTATTGAATTTTTCGTTGTACCTTATATTCTTCCGAGTGCAGAAGTTGAATTGTGCATTGAAGATAGCGAAAAAGGATGGCTGGGTGAGTAGAAAAAAGCTGAAAATTTTATTCTTATTCCTTCTTTTAACATTTTTTTATTTATTTACAATGCTTTTATTTTTTACGCCAATAATAATCATCTATTGTTAAAAAAAATCTAAATTTAAAATCTATTTAAAAAAAAGAATGAGTATTGTTGAGAATGATGTAAATTATTATTTTTCAGCGAATATCACACTTTTGGGACTTGCTTTGGGAGGACTTTGTTGGGGAGGATTGGGCGATCGACTTGGAAGATGGAGAACTTTGATATCGGCGATGTTGGTCCACGTAATTTTCAGTGCAGTCGCTACTTTTATGCCGACTTACGGCACATTTATGACTGCTAGACTTTGTTCTGCCGTTGGGTAAAAAAATCTATTATTTTCCCTTTCAAATAATAATTTTTATTAATTTCGTTCTTTTCCTTTCTTTTTCTTTTTTTTAAAAAAGTAAATTATTTTAATAGCAATTTTTTCAAATTATAATCTTATAATTAAAATTTGAATAGAATAAAAATATCAAATAGTAAAATTTAAATGTAATTTTTAATTAATTGTTGAATGTAATTTTTAATTAATTGTTGAATGTAATTTTTAATTAATTTTTGAATTTAATTTTTAATTAATTGTTGATTGCAATTTTTAATTAATTGTTAAATGAAATTTTGAAGAGACTTTAATGATTTACGAGAAGAAGAGGATGAATTTTAAAATAGATTTGCAAATTTTGTGTATTGGTAAAATTGTTTATGTTATTTATTTATCAATTGTCAGTGTTGGTGGAGCTCTGCCGTTGACTTTCACATATTTGGCGGAATGTTGCCCGCGATCAAGAAGAGGACGATGGGTCGCGGCTCTCGTTTGCGTGGGTGCAATCGGCGGTGTTTACACAGCTTTAATTGCAATGGCGATACTTCCAACAACTGGCGATATGATTGTCCTGGAAAATAAGGAGCACTTCAGCGCTTGGCATCGTTTTCTCTTACTCTGCTGCCTGCCAGCGCTTGGCGCAACTATTGGTCTTGTATTTTTGCCCGAAAGTCCACGATATCTCATTGAAGCTGGTCGCGATGTTGAGGCAATGATGGTATATCAGGTACGAAAAAAAAATAATCTTTATTAATAAAATCGTTGTATTCCAATAATCTGTTCGCAGTTTGAAGTTATTTAAAAAATTGGCAATATTTAAAAAGAAAAATTATTTAAATATTTCCAATTTTAAAATTAATTTATTGGAAATCATTGAATTCTTGATGCAAAGAATTTTATTAAACAATATGAAAATAATTGAATTCCTTCGAAGAATTTTATTAAAATTTAAAAAAAATAATTAAATTCTTCTCAGAATTTAATTACAATTTTCTAAAATAATTTAATTCTTCTCAAAATTTTATTACAATTTTCTAAAATAATTTAATTCATTCAAGGAATTTTATTAAAATGTAGAAAATAATTAAATTCTTTCGAAGAATAGATACTATTAAAAGTGTTGACAACAATTGAGTTCTCTTAAAATATTTCTTTAATTTATTCAATATAATCGATTTTGTCAATAATTTATTGTAATTAATAATTTTACTATTAAAATTTCATTAAAATTATTGATAGAAAATTAAACTCTTTTAAACAATTTTATTAGATTTTTTGTAAATAATTAAATTATTTTAAATAATTTAAATATAATTGAATTGAAAAAAGAATTTTTTTTATTTTTTAAAATAATCGTGTCTGTTAATAATTGTAATTAAATATTTGATTATTGAAGTTTATTGACATTGAAGAATTTTATTATTTATAAAAAATAATTTAATTTTTGCGATGAATTTTACTACTTATAAAAAAAATTGAATTGTTTCAAAGGATTTATGAAAATTTTAGATAATAATTTGATTCTTTCGAAAAATTAAAATTAATGTAATTATTTCGAAGGATTTATTACAATTTTAGAAAATAATTATATTTTTTTTGAAAACATTTATACCAATTAAGAAAAAAAATTGAATTCTTTCGTGAAATTTTATTGAAAATAATTGAATTTTTCAATGAATTTATTGAAAGTTTAGAAAATAATTTAATCTTTTTGAAAAATTTTATAATGAATAAAGAAAAAATAATTGAATTCTTTTTTGAAATTAAATTGTATTGAATGTAATTAAATTCTTCATAAGAATATTATTGTTTATGAAAATAATTGAATTCTTGCGAAGAATTTTAGTACAATTTTTTGTAATAATTGAATTACTGAGAAGAATTTTACTATTTATAAAAATAATTGAATACTTTCAAAACTTTTATAACGAATTAAGAAAAAAAATTTAATTATTTCGTAAAATTTTATTGAAAATAAGTGAATTTTTTCAAAGACTGCGTTTAAAAAAATAATTGAATTCTTTCGTAAAATTGTATCTAAATTTTGTTGAAAATAATTGTATTTTTACGAAGTAATTTATTATTTATAAAAATAATTGAATTGTTTCGAAGAATTTATTAGAAATTTACAAAATAATTGAATCTTTTTGAAAAATTTTATAACGAATCAAGAAAAAAATAATTGAATTCTTTCCTAAAATTAAATTTTATTGAATTCTTCCGAAGAATATTATTATTTATGAAAATAATTGAATTGTTGCGAAGAATTTTAGTAAAATCTTCAGAAATAATTGAATTCCTGAGAAGAATTTTACTGTTTATAAAAATAATTGAATTCTTCTGAAGAATTTTATTATTTATGAGAATATTATTGAATTGTTACGAAGAATTTTAGTAAAATTTTTAGAAATTAATTGAATTCCTGAGAAGAATTTTACTATTTATAAAATTAATGGATATACATTATCAACATTAATAATTAATTATGTGTTTAATAAGTGAATTTTTTAAATTTTAATTATGAAATTATTCAAAAATTTAAATTTGAAAATAAAAAATTTTGTAACTTTTGCCAGTAATATAATAATTCTTAATAAATTAAAATATTCTCTGAGAGTGAAATAATTAAATTTTGTTCAAATTTGTTTAATAGAGGATATATAAGAAAAATGACTCAAAGAAAGCAGCAGCTGAGGCTGAATATCAACTTTCGGAATTGGAACTTCCGAATAAAAGACCGTGTCCCTTGGCTCCGCCGTCGCCATCCGATCATTCGAGTGTTTTGGGTGATATTCTCTACTCGATCGGAATGGTACTTAATATTTTTTATATTATTATTATTATTATTATTATAATTATTATTATTATTATTATTATTATAAATAGTAATTTTGTTGAAACCCTCTTCATTTCTTTTTTTAGTTCTGGAATTCATTTCTCGAACTCTTTTCAACGCAACATTTGCGGGCAACTGTTGTACTTCTAGTCATTTGGTCGGCTTCTGCCTTTGGGTGAGTTTTCCTTTCTGAATTAAAATACATTCAAAAATTAATAAACTGATAAATATAATACTTGATAATCAATATAATATTAATATTATACAATTCAATAATAATGAACTAATAAATAAAAAAAATCAATTAACTAGTAAATTAAAAAAAAGAGACAGGTAAATAAATGTGAAGAAGAATTAATATTTAAATTAGGTATAAGAGAAAAATTTCTGCTCTAGATTATACGGATTGATGATATGGTGTCCGGAGTACGTGAAATTATTGCGAGCAATCGAGTACAAAACTCACACCGAAGTATTCAAAGATCAAGAACTTACGAATGAAACATTCACAGGTTCCCTGGAGAATCGACAATATAAGGACTCAAAATTTTTTAACTGCAAGTGAGTAGTGTGAGAAAAGTAAAATCGAATTTTTCATTTTAATATTTTAATATTAATATTTTAATATGAATATTTTAATAATTTCCAATATTTGTTTTCTATTTTCAGATTTAATAAAATGATATTTAGCCACGTTGATTTTGATAACTGCACTTTCCAAGCTGTTGAATTCAGTAGCATCAAGTCTAGCAAGACACATTTTATAGACAGTATTATCGAAAATTCCAAGTAATTATTTTTTTTCCTATCAAATATAAAAAATGTTTTTTTTTCGTTTTTGTATAATAAAATAAATTAATTGGAAAATTTTGTTAGATTTTTAGACACGGATCTCTCAGCTCAGGTTTTTGTGAGATGCAAATTTGAAAATAATACGGAGTTAAGTATAGGCAATCCATGTCCAACGATGGATTTGGATTATAATATTTATATTGAAGAGGTGATATACGGTCATCTCGTTGGACAAGTTATGATTGTTTTATCAGCGGCTTTCACTGGATTCGCACTCACTAATTTACGGAGACCAAAGATAATTGGTAAACACATTGTTTGAAAATAAACAATCAATCTTTAGTGTGTGTGTCTTCTTTGTTTTTTTTGGTGAATTTCTAAAATTTTCTTTTTTGCTTCACAGGTATATCGTTATTTTTTTCTTCCATCGTTGCACTTTGCTTGGTTTTTAAGGATACAAGCAGAACCGCCGTTCTCAGCTTCGAAGGTGGTTTTCTCGCTGTTTTCGCAGTGGCTTGGACGTCCTTGATTCTTGCTACTGTTGAAAGTTATCCCGTACATATACGGTAATATTTATTTATTATTTTAATTTGCTGAGAAATTTTTTTTTAGATTTCAGCCACTAAAAACTACTATTTTTGTTTTTTATTTTTTTTTTTCTTGATAATTTCCACTACTTTAAGGGGAGGTTCTCATTGCAGAGGCCAAAATAAACACAAACTTTGACAATTTTTTGCAAAGAACGGCTATGACTTAGCGATTTAGTTTTTTTTCTAAATAAAGATACATTCTTGAACTTTTACAACATATATTTCATTTTCAAAAAAATGCAAAATGGCGGCCAATATGGCGCATCTAGAAAATAATGTTTTTTTAAATAAGGAAAACGGTGGGCATTCTACACTGCGCAATTTTTAGTCTAAAACAGAAACTCAAAATTTTTTATAAAGATGACATCCTAAAGAATAGGTTATACCTATAAAATAGTTAAAAAGTTAACAAAATGACAAAATGGCGGACACATTTTTAAAAAAAGTGCGTTTTTGCATTATTTTTCCATATTTGACCTCTTGTAAAAATCTGTATTGTTAACAATTTTATCATATTATAGGTATAACCCCTGTAGAATTTAGTTACCTTTAATAAACCACAAACCCGAAGTTGATTGATTAAATAGTTTAGACGCTACGATGCCCACCAGTTTAAAAAATCTTGTTTCGAGAAAAACGCGTTTAGCTTGAAAAACATTTTTGTGCAATAATTGTATTCTTTGCAATTCTTTGTTCAATTTGCGTATATGATAAATATCTATAGGTATTTAGGGTCTCTCTTTACGATTCTGAGGTCAGATTTGCAAAATTTTTAAAAATTGATGTGATTTGCCTGACATTTGTTACTTAGTGCTCGGGACGTCGGTTAGTTCAAGACTCTATAAAATCGAAAATATTCTTCGGATCAAAAAATCGGTATACACACATATTCTACATATATATAGCTTTCAAAAAATACAATAAAAAAGAAATCAATTTTTTTGACTCCCGCGATGGGAACCTCCCCTTAAATTCGCTAATACTAAAAATCAAAAAACTATTTTCAAAAATTGTAATCAAATTCTTTAAAACGATTCAATTGTTTTCAAAAAATATTCGAAATTCATTTTCAATATCTAGTATTTTTATGAAATTTCGCAAAACAATTCAATTATTTTAAAAAAAAATTGATAAAATTCACCCAAAATTCAATTATTTTCGTAAACAATAAAATTTCCACAGGAATTCAATTAATTTAGAATAGAATTTTCAAACCAATTTCGAAAAAATCAATTATTTAACAAAATTGTTTATAAATAATAAAATGCATTTTAGAAATTGAATTATTTTTAAAAAGAATTTAATAAAATGCCACACAGATATTAAATTATTCTCTAAAATTTTAATATAATTAAATTCTTTTCATGAAGAATAAAAATTTCTCAGTATTTCAATTATTTTGATAAAATTCTTCGCAAGAATTAAATTATTTTTATAAATATTTTATTTCATTCTTTTTGTACAGAAAATACGTTAATTTTTTACAAATTTGATAAATGCGAATTTAAAATTTGGTTTTTTTCTTCTTACAGATGTACAGGATTTGGTTTGATAGCAGCTGCAATACGCATATCCGGCTTAATTGGTACAATGACGTTCCAATCGCTTGTAGGTTCACCGCTCATTGTTCCGGCAATATTGACTGCAGTGGCTTTATTCTTGGCAAGTATCGCCACTTTCGAATTGCCACAAACTGACTCAGTCTTCTTATAAATATAAAAAAAAAATAGAGAAAGAAAGGAAAAAAAAGGAAACTCTCACAAATATCTTGAAAATGAACAATTCCAAGAGAGCAAGAGGAAATTCCTTGTTTGTCATGCTCAATTAAAGTGTCGAAGGTAAACTTCTTCTTTTTTTTTTTACTGATACTGACAGTCAAATTAATCTCAGAGATTAAGAAAACCAGGAGAAAGAAAATTCCCCTTCTCACATATAGAAAGAAAAAAAGAAAAAAACAGAAAAACTGTCGGAAAGTTCGCTAAGCGCACAGAGATTGTTCTCGTAATAGTCCTAAAAAAAATTGTCAAGAGAGTGATCAAATTTTATACACAAAAAAAAAGAAAGAAAGAAAAAATACTGTTGATGTTAAAAAATAGTCATTGAATTTGCCTGCGAAAGATAAAGCAAGTTCAATAATCTTTTTTTTAAAAAAAGATAGAATTTCAATTTTTACTATACTCAAAAAGAAAACGGGATATTTTTATCCCTCTCGACAGAGCAAAACGTAAAGAGGCTAAAAAAAAGAGATTTTACAAGTACGTATAAAATAATCATAGGTATATTTTTTAGTAAATCGAGATTAGTTTTTCGAAAAATGTGCGCAAAAACAATTTTTTGTCACACATTTTAAAAATAATTTACAGCAAATTCTCAATTAATAATTAATAATTAATAATAATTAATTAATATTGAATCGGTCAATTTTTGAAAAAAAATAACTCAATTAACGAGGGTTGTTATTATTTTTTTTGTCGCGAATTATTTATTTCTTGCTCACTCTCTCGTCTTTTAAATAAAAAAAGAAAAAAAAAGAAAATTCAAAATAATATTAAAATAATTAGTAAAGAAAAATAGACTGCGGTAGTATATTGAGACACATATCCGATGAATAAAATTTTCTCGTTGTCGGTAATTATATCCATATCTCATTAGTTGTTTTTTCTAAATATTCTAGATATTATATATTAAAAAAAATATATATATATGAATAGATAAAGAGCACTAACGCAACAAAATCGGAAATTAAAACAATGTTTTGCTCTTTTAACCCGAAGTCATGTTATTTCGTTATTATTATTACTATTATTATTATTATTATTATTATTATTAATTACGATTATTAAAAATGTAATCTGTCATCAATGTTGATTTTTCTTCCAAGAAGAACAAGAGACGGAGCCAATAGATTTTTATTTTTCCCTGTTCAGTTTTTGTGGAAAATATATTTTGTGTAATTTATAAATTACACTGCCAAGAAAATTCACGAAGCATTGATAGGTAGAAACTTGGCTTTTGATATAAAAAAAAAATCGAAAGAAAAAAGAAAGTGCAAATTTTGAGAATTTCTTAACAAAAAAATGTTACAAGATTTTTAATCAAATTTTAATCAACGCCGGTTATTTTTAAAATTCTTCAATTCTTGAAATAAAATGAAATAAAATATTTTCTCATATGATGAGAATAAAATATAAATTAGGCTAATTAGACTTTTTGTTTTGTTTATTCTCATTTAGGATAGATATTTTTTTTCCATTTTATTTTTGTATATTTTACATTCATTTTTAGTTTTTATTTATTGTTTTAGGATTTTTTTTTTTTTTTTTTTTTGAGTTTTAAACTTTTTGTAATTTTTCTTTGAAAATTAATTACAAGAAAAATTTGAAAAAAAAATTCATAAGGAACAATTTAAGGAAACAATATTTTTGTACATAAATTCATGAAAGTACAAATAATTTTCATACTAAATATAAATTTCTACTGATAGCGAAATAAGTGATTATTCCGTTTAAAAATAAAGAAAGTAAATAAATATAATATTTTTTTTTTAAAATCAATTAAATTAATCACCAAAAGTACTAAAAATACTAAAGAAAATACTGAAAAACACAAAAAATACAGTGTTAGTTAAAAAAAAAATTTTTTATTTATAAAAAATTAAAATACTATATTAAAGAAATATAATGAAAATAATTATTAAATTTCTTTTAATGTAAATTTTGTAATTTCTTTTTAATCTAATTTTAATTTAATTTTAATCTTTTTAATATGTAAAAAATATTGAAGGTTTTTTTCATATTTAAAAAAATATTGAGGACTTTTTCATATTGAAAAAATTTAAATATCTAGTCTTTTTTTTCGTCAAGTAGATAAAGAATACCAGTTTCTACCTTTAGGTTGCTTTTGATAAGACACTTGGGGGTTTTTTTTTAAATTTTACATGTGCTCGTCTCATGGATCTAGAAGAGAAAAAAAGTCCCACGCCCTTTTTTTAATGAAAAAAAAAAAATTGAAAAATAAAAAAAACACAAATGAGAAAAAATTGTTTATTTTTCTACAGACTAGCAATAATTGCACACACACATTGTGATTAATTAATGATGAATGTTGGGAAAAATAGGAGAGTAAAAATATTATGAATGTAATAATTAATAATATTAATTATTGTATAATATATAGTTGATTACTGAACTTGTTACTAGCACAAGCATTTTCTGTATTATAATAGTCTGTTCCTATATATATATAAAGAAAAACAAATACTGTATAAACTTAATTAATCGTTTCTTGTAGAAATTAATTTTTCCGACATATCACGATACTTATAAATAATTATTATAATATCAATGAGCGTAAAATAGTGTAATATTGATTTTTAAGATAGTCTATAGGTGCGAATTATAAGTATTATTGTAAAACTGAATGCGAATTGTCGTTTAAATTTGTTCAATATATTTATTTACTACTAAAATTTTTTCATAGTAGTAAAAAAAAATTATTTTATTTAGGTACTACTTTATAGTCAATGCGAGAATTAATAATTTCAATGCAACTGACACTGTTTATTTTTCTAAATTTTATAATAAAATAATTTCATCATTAAAAAAAATAATTTTCAATATTTTCTTTTCGCTTTAATATTGAAATTGAAAATTATTGAAATTATGGAAATTGAAAAAATGATAATTCGCATTGACAAAAAATAATATTCTGTCATTTTCAATATTAAAACAAAAATAGCAAAATTTGTGTGAATTAAAAAATTATTTTCGAATCAATAGAAGATTTTTTTCTATATAAATAGGATGTTTCACTGTCGTAAAATCAAAAAAAGAATAGAAAAAATAGTTCCTGCTCATAAGAAATAATTGTTAATTTCGTCTTTTGATCGACACTAATAATTTAATTTATTCTTAAGTTTTTTATAATAATTGCTGTATTATGAATTTATTTTATTCAATACACAGCGAGACTGCATTAGTAATAATTAATAATTAATAATCAATAATTATATAATTACAATATTATAATAATTATAATAATGATAATATAATAATAGTAATAATAATAATAATAATAATAGTAATAATTAATAATAATAATAATAATAATAATAATAATAATAAAAAATAAGAAGAAGAAAAAGAAGGAGAATATTAAGAATAATATTAATAATAATAATAATAATAATAATAATAATAATAATAATAATAATAATAATAATAATAATAATAATAACGATGGATTTAAAGGAAACAGTGGTACTCAGAGAAAGAAATTTTCCTTTATCTTCATCTCTAGAGGTATAAAATTTTATTATTTTGCAAAAAAAAAAATTCGTGATTATTTCCGTCAAAAAGATAAAAACTTTTATTACGTTTCGATTTTTTATTGATAATTGCAAAAGGAAAAAAAAAGTGTAAATTCTTTCTGCTTTGAAATATTTATTTTTGTCCTTCGAAAAAAGAAAATAATAAAATTTTTTTTAGATTGATTTTAGTGAATAACTGTCTGATATTTATATTACTATATATTATATGATGTATATTATTTGAGACTTGATTTGCATTTTCTGTATACTCTTTAATAATCGTATATAGAATTTTTAAAGGACATAATCTTAATTATTGTCTTTTTCATTTACTCCCTCTTTCTCCTCGGAAAAAAAATAATATTTTTTCTTTTTAAATAATTTTGAATTTTAAAATTTATTTATTGAAAATCATCGAATTGTTGCAAACAATTTTATCAAAAAATTTGATAATAATAGAATTCCTACGAAGAATTTTATAATTTAGTAAAATAATTGAAGTCTCGAGAAGAAATATGTTAGAATTTTTGATAATTCCAATTAAACTCTTTTTTCAAGAATTTCTTTGAATTTTTTTATTCAAATTTTAGAAAATAATTGAATTTTTGCAAAAAATTTTACTATTTATAAAAATAATTGAATTCTTACGAAGAATGTTTTTATTTATGTAAATAATTGAATTCTTGAGAAGAATTTTATTAAAATTTTTGAAATTAATAAACAAGAATAATTAATTAGTAAATTAGTTAATAATTGAATTTTTTTAAAGTTTGAGTCTGAAATTATTCAAAAATTCATATTTTTGAAAATAAAAAGTTTTGTAATTTGCAAAATAATGATAATAAATTTGCTAGTTTTATATTAATTAATGAAAAATGAAGTATTAAAATAAATGGTCATAAAAATAAAAAAAATTAAATTTTTTTTGAGAACATAAAATGGTTTATTATGTATCGAAGTTTTACAAATATTATCACACATTTGTTATGAATGTTTTTTTTCTTTTTTTTCCAAAAATTCTTATATATATTGTACAAATATAATTATACATGCGCGATAATGAATTAAATTCTATAGTTACATATTTATATATATAAATAATCGATTATCTTGTATAAAATTGGTAAATATTTCGCGTTATATGTACAATAAGGGTTTTTCTTTCGCTAGTCGATCATCGAAAAAATAAAAAAATAAAATGTTAATGACAAAATTTCGTTGATAAACAAAGATATTTATGATAATGGTAAAAAAAAATTGTCGATCTACTTTCACGAAATACCCTTCTTTTCTTTTTTCACAATTAAATAAATAATATCAATTCCGCACTGGTATGCAAGTAACTAATGTTAATGTATATTCATACTTTTGTGGTAAAAAATTATTTTCAAGTCTCGGCAGTCTCGTTTTATTTTCGACTGGCACAGTGAAACTTTTTAACAAAAAATAAAAAAAAAATATTTCTCTCAAAAAAACAGAGAAAAAAAAGTTGACTGCTTTTGAAAAAAAATAAAAATTCTAGACTCAGTGTCTAAAATATTAATAATTTATAATAATTATTATCCATAAAATTAGTATTAATAATTATTATAATAAAAAATAATTTTTAATATAATATCTTAAATAATAATTGTAAACGTAATTTACATGTCTCTGAAAATGGAAAGCCTAAAGCGTGTAAAAATTTGTTAATATACATTTAAATGTAGATTTAATATCGAAAAGCTAGAAAATCTCTATGGGAATTATTTTTCTTTTTGTTTACAATTGCGTATAAATGTTTCTTTTTAAGCGCTAGTATTTTTTTTGGACCTTCACTCAAACTTTTTTCTTTTTTTTATTATTATTATACCTATTATAATATTTATAATAGAAAAAAATTGGATCTATTTTTTCAAAGATAAAAGATACATTTTACAAAGTTTATATTATAAAAATTTCTTTTGAAATCCAGTCTTTGGAGAAAATTCCTCATTTTTATTTTAAATTCCAGTTTTTTTTATTAATGAAATTCTGCGCTTTCTTTTTCTTTTATAAAAAGTTTTATTTTAATATTGCATTAGAAAATAGAGACTTTTGTAAAAAATGTTCAGAAAAAGTTTTTTTGCAAATCTCTTTCTTATATCGAAAAATTGTCCGTAGTTCGGTCCAAGTGAAAGTGCAAGTCTTTCAGTTTTATTATTATTACTAATTTATAAAGAGCATTTCATTTCTTTTTATTTATTTTTGTTTAAAACAATTTTATTTATTTTATTTTTCTTCTTGGCAAAATAAAATCAAAACAATTGAATATAAAGAAAATTAATCGTTCAACAAATTTTCTCTTCTTTTGATAAAGAAAAGAAATTGTTCATTAGAAGAGAAATTTTTTCTTCGAAAAAAATTAGAATTAAATTCTTGATTATTGGAAAAGATATTTTAAACAAAAATAAATTTTTTGAATTGAAAATTGACCTCTTTTTTTATATATAAATACTTTTTCTCATTATACTTGAAGAGCGGACAAGCTTCAGCTTTCGCAGAAAATCTCCGTGTGAAAAAAACCGTGATCGCGACCCTATTTCATTTCTATTTATTTAATTAATAAATAATTCCATTCATTGAGATCAATCGCACGCATCTACATCGAATAATTATTTTTTAAAAAGAATTTGTTCACAAAATAGTAAAAAAAATTACATTTTTTATAAAGGAAAATTTTTAACTCATTCTCATAGGTTTATCAGAATGAGACAATAATTTGCATTTTAGGCCGTTTGAACTTTTTCAAGGCATTTTTCTTTTCAATGACACTGAAATATTAAATTATTCTTTATTACTATTAGATATTTAAAGTACATTTTTACCAAACAAAAAAAAACCTCAGTGCCATTTTAAAGATTAACAATAGCCTCGAGCGAAATAGAGAAAACTATTTTTAGTAAAAATTTTACAAAAATTAAAACTATTTTTACAAGCGTTTTATTTTATTATTTTTAATATTAAGACTAAAAAAAACGCTTTTATAAAAAGGAATTTCATGACTTCGATTTGCTTTTTTTTCAAAAAAAAAAATCAGTCTCTCTCTTTAGTCATGAACGTTTTTTATCATTTTTTTTAGAAACAAATGTCAGTTTAATTTTTTTTAAAACACGGGTATTTTCACACACTTTGAAGGCAAAAAAAAATTTTCGTTTTGCATGCAAGGACTACTTTTTTTCGTCCTTTTTCTAGGCCATCTGCACACTTTCACAACACTAAGCGCGAATGAATAGTGTCAAAAAAAAAAACATTTTTACTTCTTTTTGGACCGAAAAAATATAAACTGCAATTATCGATTCATGCGCATCGATGTTTTATCCCTTAATAACTATTTTTTTTTCCTTTTTCATCAATTCGAAAAATTTGTATTTTTCAAATGATGAAAATATTTGACTGGTTTTTGTCCGTTGCGAGATTATTTACTTTATCGTTGTTTTTTGCAAAATGCAATGTAAAAACGTTAACGCTAGCACCAGAGACAATTTAGGCCGCGTATTTTTCGATTCTTTCGTACGAAAAAAAAATAATTAATAAATAATCAGATCTTTCGTTTCTTTTTTTTTTTAATAAGAAAAGGTAAATTCAGTTTTTGATTTTTTTAACGATTCTGTTTAATTTATATTGATATGTAAATGAAAGTAAGAATCATTTATTTTACTTAATTCGTAATAATTGCCTTTTTGATAGTCATTTACAGAAATCGAAAATTTGGAAAGATTACAAAACATTAAAATTTTTTCATCCAGGATTTAAGGAAAAGAAAATAAAAGTTAAAATCTGTTTAGGTAAAAATTGATTGTACTTTAGATATAAAATTCTGGTTTCATATTTTAAAAATTCTGTATTTTTTTCTCCCATTTTCTCTCTTTGAGAAAAAATGTAATTGAAAATTTTATATTAAAATAATTTTTTTTAAATATAAGAATTGTACCTATATCCAGATATATTTTTCAAATATATTTAAAATTGAATATTAAAACTTTAAAATTTAAAAAAAAGAAAATCTAAATTTACTTTTTCTCTAAAAGTAGATGTAAAGTTTAAAAAAAGTAAATCTAAATTTACTTTCCTACCAAAAGTAGACGTAAACTTTAAAATAAAAAATTTAAATTTACTTTTTCTCTAAAAGTAGATGTAAAGTTTAAAAAAAAGTAAATTTAAATTAGTAAATTTACTTTCCTACTAAAAGTAGACGTAAAGTTTTAAAAAAATCTAAATTTACTTTTCTACAAAAAGATTTATAATCTTTCCAATGAAAATAAGTTTTTAACGAAAATAAGAATAAATGACTATCGAAAACAAAAATTAAGAATTTGAATCCTAATGAGGAGAAATTAGAAAAATAAAAATTAAATAAATAGAAGAAAAAAACCACAAACTTGAGTATGTTTAACTAGTGGAATGCCACAGTCGTCTCTCAGATACTAACATTTAGAAATGCAATCAATTAATTAAGTCCCGGTTGGAGATGGCACATGGTATTTTTTTTTTAGGGAAAACACTCTAGCACTCAAACTCAGATGCAGTTATGGCATTCAAGTCTTTCATGAGCCCATCCAATGTAGCCATTTCTTGATTCAATTCTTCAGTGCTGTATGAAGGCTGTGAAAAAAGGCAGTTAAGTTAAAGCCAAGTTTTTTTTAAAAATTTAAATAATTATTACAAAAAAAACAAATCTTTCTGTATTATTTCAAAAAAACGGGGAGGAGACAATTAATTGTTAAATTGGGATTTCTTTGCTTTCATGCTTTACAAAAACATTTTACCTTCAGTCGTTCGACTTCTTCTGGTGTGTGATTTGTGCTCGATGCAGAGACCAGTCGATTCTTCGTCAACTGACTGGCGCCGAGAGTTTTTTTGTAGGGACTTCCCGACATTGCCGGTCGCACTATTACTTGGGAAGCTGTGAAATTAATTTAAAATTCATTAAATCTATAAAAAAAAGAAATAAATGAAATAAGAAAATAGAAATAAAAATAATTTAATTAAACAATATTTAACGTCCCAGATTCTTTTTAAATTAAGGCAAATAAAACGAAAACATTCATATTTATTTACTCCAACAATATTTACTTTCGAAACGTTGGAGTAAATAAATATGAATGTTTTCGTTTTATTTGCCTTAATTTAGAAATAATTTATTTATTTAATTAAAATTTATTATAAAGAGAAGAGAAATAATACTTTCTCATGTGATGAGAATGTAAAAACTGGAAAATAAAATATTTGCGAATATTTTGTACCTGCGTGTTTTTGTTGTGCGGGTGTGGAAGGCGCTGATTGTGGTGGTGGTGCGGGCACACTGAAACTCTTCAGTGGATGTCCTTGCAGTCTCTTAGAACTATTATTACTTTCGGTACCGTCGCCGGTACTGTTCGTTGACTGATTACTATTTCCATAACGACCCGAAGCGTACTGACCACTTGCTGAATAATTCTGATTACTTGAATTATTGTAGGTCAACTGAAATCAAAAAAATATTTCAACTCCATTACAAAAAAAGGAAATAATTTTTAAATAATTTTAATTATTTATTAAAATTACTGACTTTACACTCGATAATGAATTTTAAAAAAGTAGCAAAAAGTAGCTTTCAAACTAAAAAAAAGTAGTAAAAAAACTAGTTATCGAAAAATTAAACTTGACGACCAAAAAACCTCGTATTAGAAACTTCACAAAGTTGACAAAAATTCTATTCTATATTTTATTTTCCTGACTTTTTCCCAATTTTCATCAAAAATAATTACTTCTTTCTTATCCTACTGCTAATAAATTGAATTCCTGCAACGAATTTTGTTATTCATGAAAGAATTTAAATGTTTATAAAAATAATTTAATTCTTGCGAAGAATTTTATTAAAACTTTTAAATAATTCATTTCTTTCGACTAATTTTATGCAAATTCTAATTTAAATAATTGAATTCCTGAGAAATTCAATTCATTTTTATTATTCATGAAAAGAATTGAATTCTTACCAAGATTTTTACAAAAAAATTTTTAAATAATTGAATAATGTTTGGAAATTTTATGAAAATAATAGAATGATATTGAAAATCAATTGAATGGCGAAAAGTTTTTAAAAATAATTAAATTTTACAAATACTTCATATTAAAATTTTTGAGAATATTTGAATGTTTGTGTGGCATTTTATTACATTTTTTTGAAAATAATTGAATTTCCAAGAAATAATTTATTACGTTTAAAAATAATTGAATTCTTGTGACGAATATTATTATTTTTAAAAATAATTTAATTCTTGCGAACGATTTTATTAAAATTATCTTCCTAATAATTGAATTTTCGGGAAAAATTTTGTTATTTATCGTTAATAATTGAATTCATTCGATGAATTATTTATGAGTAAATAATTGAATTCTTGAGAAGAATTTTATTAAAATCTAAAAGAATAATTGAATTATTTCAAAAAAATTGAATTAAAATTATATTTAAAATAATTGATTTCTTTCAAACAATTTTATTGCCTATAATATTTGAAAATAATTTAAATTCTTGTGAAAAATTTTAATATTTTTGTAAATAATTGAATTCTTTTAAAGGATTTTAAAAAAGCATTTTTTTAAATAATTGATTTTTTCGAGGAATTGAAAATAAATTTTTAAAAATAATTACATTTCTCAAGCAATTTATGAAAAATTGTATTACAAATAATTAAAATCCTGCCAGGAATTTTATTATTTATGAAAATAATTGAATAGTTGCTAAAAATTTTATTAAAATATTCAAAAATAATTGAATTTCTGAGAAGAATTTTATTATTTGTGAAAAAAATTGAAATATTGTGAATAATTTTACTAAAACGTTTAAAAAGAATTGAGTTTTTAGAAAAATTTTATTATTTTTAAAAATAATTGAATTTTGCGAAGAATTTTGTTAAAATGCCTCAAAATAATTGAATTTTCGGAAATAATTTTGTTATTTATCTTTAATAATTGAATTCTTAGGAAGAATTTTATTAAAATCTGTAAAAGAATTATTTGAAAAAAATTTAATTAAAATTGTATTTAAAATAATTGATTTCTTTGGAACAATTTTCTTAAAATATTTGAAAATAATTGAATTCCTGAGAAGAATTTTATTATTTATGAAAATAGTTGAATTAATGCGAAAAATTTTATTAAAATGTTTAAAAAGAATTGAATTTCAGTGAAAAATTTTGTTATTTTTGAAAATAATTGTATTCTTTATAAGAATTTTAAAAAATTGTTTTAAATAATTAATTTTTTCGAAAAATAATAAATATTATGAAAGTTTTATTTTAAATAATTGAATTATTGTGGAAAGTTTTATTTGTGAAAATAATTAAATTTTTTTATTAATTAATTTAAAATAGTATAACGTAAAAAAGTAGTAAATAGTAGGTTTTAGTAGATGAGTGCGAAGCCTGAAATTATTTTTAAAACAAATAAAAAGAAATGACTAAAATTTAGATCAATTGAATTTGAATTTTCAATTTTATCAAAAATTTTCTTCTTGTATCATAAAAATAAATAGGAAGAAAAATTTGATTAAAAAACAGAAACTCACTTGACTCGGCATAGGTTCGTAATTACTATTTATGTTACAGGAATCCGGATTCGATTCCGGCGTAGGCTCTAAAGTAATGTGGGCTCGATTAAGACTATATTGAGCTGCAGGGCGGGGATAATTTTGCCTGAGAGGTGCCACATCGCCGCAGGAACTGTGAATTGTCGACTGCGAAATGCTGTTGTTCACAATTGGCGTTGCAGTGGCTACTGCTGGAAAAAAGAAAGAGAAAAACAAACATTTAATACATTAATTTCAAAAAAAAACTCTCTTTTCAAATTCAGAAAAAGTATTTTCGAAAACAAATTTCAATTCAACATTATAAAAGAGAAAAGTTTCCTTTTTAAAAAAAACATGCTAATATTTACCCCTCTGAAGAATCACAATTTTTTTTAGAACTTTTTCATTAAAATGTTTTTACTTTTTCAAAGAAAAGTTCTAAAAAAAATTTCACCGAGTTGTAAACTTTTCTAAAATGACAATCTTCTAAATGACAACTTTTCTAAAATTTAATTTATTACTACTGTGTTTAAAAATAAAATTTTTAAAAATAAAGAAAAAAGACAGTTTAAAAATTATTACCTACTTAAAAAAAATACAAAGAAAATATTACTAAAATCAATTTAAAAAATTATTTATTTTAATTATTTATTTAATTTATTATTTATTTATTTTAATTTATGAATATTTTAATTTTATGAATAGAAAAAAGTTCTGTTCTAATATTATAGATTATAGAAAATGATTCTTTAGCTCCAATTCTACTTCGAACTGATGAAAATCTTTCTTGTCTTGTGTAATAAATCTACGGCACGCAAAAATAAAAATGATGGATTAGAATAAATCTACTTACGTTGACTAAATGGTGCACTGTCAACTGGAAGGGTAATGAGTTTAGGTTTAGGTTTATGGCTTCCTCGACTCTGCTGTCGGCTTAGGGTCGAGCATTTCTCATCGTTGTTGCCTAATATTTGAAAGGTGATGGAAAAGAAACAAGAATACGAAAATCAGGATAATTGTAACGAAAAGTGAAAAAAAAGAAAAACCTTTACCAACGCAGTGAATTATAAATAACAATCGCGAAAATGATAATTATAATTGAGTAAGAATTAAGAAAATTAGTCATTTAATAGTAATAAAGATAGAATAAAAATAGAATAAAATTAGAATAAAAATAAGAGAATATAATAAAGTTGTTTGCAATATAATATAAAGTGCAAAAGGATAAGCTCTTAAAATTAAATGTGAATTGTGAGTTGTGCTTTAAGTGATAGAAAAAATGCAAATTAGATTCTTTTAAATATTAATTTCGCTTACCCATATAACTTGGTATGTAAGTACGTTTGTCCAGTGAACTTGAATTCCCATGCATACTTTCTTGATTGTAATCCTGATTATTTGATCGCGGAAGAGTATTACTAGAAACACCGCTTGTTGACGCCTCGCCATTAACTGACGATTTTTCAAGGGCTTTTAATTCCATTTGATCGTGATGAATCCACAAGTCCGGCGGCTTAATATTTGTCTTTTGATTCGGCTCATTCAAATATCTGAAAATATTTCCAATTCAAAAACCTTTTTCTCAAAAAAAAAAAAAGAAAACATTGCTATGAAAATCATCTTTCGAAGAAAGGTGAGAAAAAAAACGTTCGACCATAGAATAAATACTTTAAAAAGCAAAAAGAATACGAGAAGATATTGAAAAGCTACAATTTCGAATAAATTAAATTAAATTTTTATTTCCTAAACTTACCCTTTCTTTCGTTCTGATGAATCGGGATTTCTTCGACAGCAAACAACAACGACACCAGCAACACCCATAAGAAGAATAACGGAACATCCAACAATTATGTAAATTAATATTCCCGAAAGTCCTCGTCCATCTAAATAGAAAAACATCAAGATTAAAGAAAATAAAAAAAAATAAATTTCTAATATCTACTCCAAAAAATCTTTTCTACCTTTCTTTTCCTAAATTCTCACTATTACTACTTTTAAAATTGTATTTACTGATAATATTTTAATTTTAATTTTAATTCAACCTTAAACAAAATATTTCCTCATTTTTCCGAGTCTTATCAATTTTTACATTAAAAAAAAATACTTCCAATTATTTACTTTCCAATTTTGTCAACAATGAAATGCGGAGAAAAAAGAAAGTGAAATATTTTCTTAGGTATTTCAATTGATTTATTAAAAACAAAAAAAGTATTTTCAATAAATAAATAATGTGCATGAAAATAATAAAAATACAAATTAAAAACTACAACATTTACTACAAAATATCTTACCTCGACCATGCAAATCATCATAGAAATCCTTGCCATTACCTGGCGGAAAAGAAAATAAAAAATATACAATAATCTTTAAAGACAAATTATAAATATTGAAATATAATTAAAGTAAATATAATAAAAGGATAAATAACAAATAGAATTGTATAAATTAAAAATAAATTTAATAAGAAAAATAAAAAATAAGTTTCAAAATAAATAAAATATAAAAATACGACACAAAAAACACACAAAAAAATATCAAATTTCAAAGCAAATTTACAGTGATACAAAAACAATAGCAATCGTGCCGAAATTTTTGTTTTCTCATTTTGCTTCCTCTTAAAGGAAGACTTTTTTAATTTTACTTAGAAATAAAAATAAACACTTACTTTGAGGTGTTTTAAAATTAACAGTGCTTGAAAACGGTCCATATCCTTTTGAATTACGAGCTTTCATCTTAAAATAATATACTGTACTAGGATTCAGTCCTTTGACTATAAATTCCTCTTTATCTCCAATTACACCCTCCACAAGCCAATCTCCCTCGACTTTTGTATTATCGATCGAATAAAATATTATATAGCCTGAGAAATTAAAATTAAATTAATTAATTGACATTATTATAATAAATAATTTACCTAAAATTATTATATAAATTTCAAACAATTATTTGAATCGTAAATTAAAAACAGTTTTAGCAAATAGGTAAATAGTTTAAAATTCTAATTTATAATTCTAATTGTCTGAATTATACACGGAGAGAGAATATATATTAAATTTTGTAAAAATATTTTCAAATTGGGAAAAAAGTGCGACAAAGCGAAATTTTGATATCAAAAAATACTAAACTTTAAAAAAACTTATGTGAAATTTAGTAAAGTTATATTAGAATTTAATTAATATTCTTGATATTTGATATAATTATACTAAATTTCACATAAGTTTTTTTAAAGTTTAGTATTTTTTGATATCAAAATTTCGCTTTGTCGCACTTTTTCCCCAATTTGAAAATATTTTTACAAAATTTAATATATATTCTCTCTCCGTGTAAAATTAAATTTCAAATTACAAAAAGGAGAATTAATTAATTAATTATTACCTGTAATGGGTCCATTCGATAGTTTCGGAGACTGCCAGGTAATAAGAACAGAAGTTGGTCTCTCATTAACACTTTGAACTGTTAGTTCCCGAGGTGGTGAACTTGGTGCCGCCTCTTGGGTTTGATTTAAAACTACCATGCTCCATGGAGATTGGCGTTTTCCCTAAAAAATTATTCAATAACTTTATTATTTATGAAAATAATTAAATTCTCGCGAAGAATTTAGTAAAATTTTTACAAAATAATTAAATTCTTCTCAGAATTTGAAATTATTCGAAAATCAAATTTTTTATAATTTGCATAATGATAATAAATTGAAAATTTAAATCATTTGCTAGTAAATTTATAAAATAGAAATATTTTTCCTTTAACTTTATTGGGGAATAATAAATAAAAATTTACCTTGACAAGTTTAACAGCAAACTCGTACTGCGTGAAGGGTTTTAGATCATGTATCATGCAATTCAAATCCGTGGAGTCGTAATACTTGTACTTGGGAGTAATACTGTGATGGAAGATTGTGAATCGAACAGAATAGTGTCTATTATCAGTCACGTACTGAAAATAACAAAAAATAATTAAATTAGAAAAAATATTCTTTAATCAATAATTGCTTTATAAGTAATTGCTTTTTATTTATAAATTTAATTTATAAACAATACTGTATTAAATAAACATTAGCAAACAGTTCAATTAAATAGAAAAAATTAATATTATTATGAAAGAAATTTTAATTGCTTTTTCTTATTTACACTTACTTGATTTTTAGAGAGCGTCGAGTCCGTCCAATACAAAACGACAGTTGTAGAAGAAATAACAATGGCTTTAAGAGCCACTGGCGGCAATAGAGGTGTAGATGATTCTGGCAAAGAAACCGCGGTAGTCCAAACTTTTACGTACGCTATTGAACCACCGCCAGCTTCATTCATTGCTCTCAATGCGAATACATATTCAGACAATGGATCTAATTAAAATAGAATAATTACAAGAAAGAAAATTAATTTAACTCAAATAAAAAGATGAAATAACTTTGAAAATCGTATTACAAAATTTCATATAAAAATAATTTTTACAATATCTATTTCAAATATAATTTCAATACGTGATAATTATAAAATACAAATAATTATAATTTATTTACTAAAAAAAATAATTTTTATTTATCTAGAAACAGAATTGAATTCCCTGATTTCCAGACAAAATCCTTTTATTACAATTAAATATAAATATAAGAAATTAAAAACTTGAAATAATTAAAAAAAATTCCATTAAACTTTTTGAAAAAAAATTAATTCTACAAAATTCTTAATTAAAAGTATGAAAAGTTCAAATTTTCAAAGACTTTAATTTGAAACCTTTTGAAAATTCAATTATTTCTGAAAATCCACGCTATGCTTTCAATATTCAATTATAATCTGAAATTTTAACTGAAATTCATTTTTAAATTAATATTTATTAGACAAACCTATGAGAATTCAAATATTTAAATACAAAACTGAATATTTTATAAAATAATTGAATGTTTTTTAAAATTAAATTTTCATAAAGAATTTAATCAATTAATTTTATAAACAGTAAAATTCTTTGCAGAAATTCAACTATTTTCAAAACAATTTTAATTGAATTTCTCGGATGAATTCAAATATTTTTAAATATTTCCATAAATTTCAATTATTTCCCTAAATTTTAATAAATTTTTCGAAACAATTCAACTATTTTTATAAATACTAAAATTCTTTGCAGGAATTAAATTATGTTTAATCCAATTTAAATAAAATTACACGAAAGAATTTAATTAATTTCAAAAATTTCCATAAAATTCAATTTCAACAAGAATTTAAAATCCTCTAAAAATAATTCAATTATTCTCAAAATATTTCTAAAAAATTGTAAATAAAAATTAAATTACTTTCAATTTTAAATATATTCGTCAAAAAAATTCAAAGAATTCAATTATATTCAAAATATAATAAAATTCTTGTGATGAATTCAATTATTTTCAAAAATAATTTTAATAGAATTCTTTAAAGAAATTCAATTCTTTTCAAAACAAATTTTAATAGAATTGCTCGAAAGAATTTAAATTTTCAAATATTAACATAAAATTTATTTATTTTCTAAAATTTTCATAAATTCTTCGGAACAATTCAATTATTTTTTTAAATTATAAATAGTAAAATTCTTCGCCAGAATTCAATTATTTCCAATAAAATTTTAATAAAATTCTTCTTCATAAAATTCAATTGCTTTCAAAATTTTTGATTAAAATTATTAAAGAATCTCCATTAGTTTAAAAAAATTCAAAGAAATTCTTCAAAAGAATTTAATTAGGATTTTTTAAAAATTTTAATAAAATTCTTCGCGAGAATTCAGTTATTTTTCTAAATAATAAAATTCTTTGAAGGAATTCTATTATTATCAAATCGGATAAAATTCTTTGTAACAATTCGATGATTTTCAATCCATTAATTTAAAAAGTTTTGAAAATAATTGAATTTCTCCGGAAAAAATTTTTTGAAAATAATTGAAATTCTGCAATAATTTGTAATTGCTCGAAAATTCAATTTGTTTTAGTGTTTTTAACTAAAATATCTACTTATGAAAATTGTAAACGCAATTTTTTTTAAAATTGAAATAATTTTGAAATATTTAAGTAATAATAAATAAAGTAAATAAATAAATAAAAAATAATTTAGAAAACAACAATTTTTCTGGATTTTTATCAAAATTCCGTGACTTTTCTAGGTTTTTTCAAGGTTTATGAAATTCTCTGATATTTCGAGGTTTTCAGGTTGCGTGGCAACCTTGTATTTCTTTAAATTATCTACAGGACTTTAATATTCATTTGTATAAAATTTGTTATAAGAATAATAATTCTAGGAATGAAAATAATACCAACCGAGATTTTCGATAGTGTAGTATCGCTGCTTGCCATCGAGATCAACTCTATCAACATCCGGATATCCTTTTCCCCACGTTAGAACGTAACCTCTGACTTTTATACTCTGATCTTTAGGAGCATTCCACTTGACATAAATCGAGTTCGATGTTGCTTCGCCTAAGACATTATTACATTATTACAATTCATCTAAACATCATTTTATCTAACTAATCAATTTTAATAAATTTTTACTCTTTTCCATTTTTGTGTAATATTAAGAAGACCTAAAATACACAAATTATTTGACTATCGACAAAAAGTAAATACCTTTAAAATTTTCCGGTTCATTTGGCACGACAGATTCATCAAGATCATTTTCATATGTTTCAATTGACATCCAGTCCGACCATGGTCCTGTTCCATTAACGTTAAAGGCACAAATTCTCACTTGATACGAGACATGTTCTTCGAGATCGGAGAGAGTGTGAAATCGTTGATTACTTTCCGTTGTTATTGGATGAAACATATTGCGTCGATCTTGTTTTTTATAACGAATTTTATAGCCAATAATAATTCCATTTTGTCCGTCGAGTGGCGGTTCCCAACGTATTATAACGCTCTAAAAAGTAAACAAACCTTTTTGTTTATTTCACTAGCAGAAAACATTCGATTTAATAATAAATGTTTTACAACAATAAAATTAACTGTAATTTAATAACAAAAATAGAAGTAAGAAACAAGAATAGAATAGAAATAAGGGGAAAAAATTGTGAACAAAAAATGCAAATACCGTTGAACTTGCTGCTTCAAGTGTGACATTATGCGGGGGTTTTGTTGGTTGAGAACTGTACGTGCGAATAACAATCTCATTACTCGAGGCACCGGGTCCATTTTCATTCTCAGCTTGAACCCAAATTGTATATTCAGTATAAGGCACGAGATTAATCAATTCATACGTTGTACCCAATGTCTCGCCTTTACTTTCTTCGTCGTCCTCCTAAAAAAAATCGAGAAAGAAAATAATTACTATGTAAATTTTTAACAATTGAAAGCTATCAATTTATTTATTTATTTATTTATAAATTAATTAATTGTAATAAATTAACTCATGTACATTGAATTTTAAATCTAAAATATTAAAATAAAATACTATTACAAATATTGAATTATCATTTATTCATCTCATTTAAATTTAAATCTTTTTAAATGTAAATTATTCTTACCTCCGAATAGGTGACAATGTATTTGGAAATTTTTCCATTTAACAATTGTGGTTCCTCCCAGGATAAAGCAATACTCGAACTACTCGTAGGATGACCGTCAAAATTCATTGGTGGACCGGGTACATTTACCTAATTATGTGAAATTGAAAAAAAGAAAATTTTTATATTTAAAATTTAAGAAATACAAAAAAATAAATAAATGAACAACTATAAAAAACAAGTATAAGTAAATAAAAAATAAATAAGTGAACAAGTAAATAAAAAATTAATAAGAGAACAAGTAAATAAAAAATAAATTAGAGGACAAGTAAATAAAAAATAAATAAGTGAACAAGTAAATAAAAAATAAATAAGAGAACAAGTAAATAAAAAATAAATTAGAGGACAAGTAAATAAAAAATAAATAAGAGAAAAAGTAAATAAACAATAAATAAGAGAACAAGTAAATAAAAAATAAATAAATGAACAAGTAAATAAAAAACAGAATAAATTTATTTCTTTAAATATTTAATTAAAAAAATCTATTAATTTTGCAAAAAAAAAGTATAGAGTTTTTTTCCCATCTTTTTCAGTTTCAAAAAGAAAAAAAAAATTTGCAAACCTCAGAATGTGTAGTGACACGCAAAATTTCACTTGACGATCCAGTGCCATGAGAATTGTGCGCAATAATACGGAAATTGTATGTTGTGCTCGGCTGCAAACTGGGAATGACAGCCTCCGTCTGTTTATGAGACGTGTTAATCACTCGTTCTCTGTTTCAAACGATACAACTTCATTAAAATCAATTCATTCCCCTAAAAACAACTACCTATCTAATTTAAAAAAAAAAGTTTAAAAATAAACTTTAAAATTTTTTTAATTTATTTAACAATTATTATGCAAGTTAAGAAAATTTTTTATTTTTGTAAATTCAAATTTTTAAATAAATTGATAATTAAAATTTAAAAAATTCACTTATTAAGTAAATAATTAATTATTATTGTTTATATTTTCAAAAATTGTAATATAATTCTTCGCAAGAATTCTATTATTTTCATAAATAATAACATTCTTATCAGGAATTCAATTATTTCTAAAAATCTTACTAAAATTCTTCGTAAGAATTCAAAAATATTCTCATAAATAATAAAATTCTTCGGAAGAATTCAATTATTTTCTAAAATTTTAATAAATCTATTGAAACAATTCAATTATTTTTAAATAGTCGTTGAAAAAATTCAATTCTTTCCAATATAATTTCACGAAAGAATTCAATTTTTTTCTTAATTCGTTACAAAAGTTTTTAAAGAATTAAATTATTTTCTAAAATTATAATAAATCCTTCGAAATAATTCAATTATTTTTTAATTTTTCGAAAGCATCCAATTATTATCTAAAATTTTCATAAATCCTTTGGAAACAATTTATTTTTTTCTATAAGTAGTAACATTCATCGAAAAAATTAAATTATTTTTTACAAATAATAAAATTCTTCGATGTTAATAAATTTCAATAATCAATTATTTAATTACAATTATTAACAGACACGATTATTTTAAAAAATTGAAAAAAATTATTTGTTGAATTCAATTATTTTCAAAATTTTCAATTAAAATTATTCAAAATAATTTAATTATTTACAAAAAATCTAATAAAATTTTAATAGTAAAATTATTAATTATAATTATTAACAAAATCGATTATATTGAATAAATTAAAGAAATTTTTTGAAATAATTCAACTGTTGTCAACACCTTTAATAGTATCTATTCTTTGAAAGAATTTAATTATTTTCTACATTTTAATAAAATTCCTTGAATAAATTAAATTATTTTAGAAAATTGCATTAAAATTCTAAAAAGAATTTAATTATTTTCTAAATCTTTTAATAAAATTCTTTGCAAGTATTCAATTATTTTTATAAATAATAAAATTCTTTGAAGGAATTCAATTATTTTCAAATTGTTTGATAAAATTCTTTGCAGCAAGAATTCAATGATTTTCAATATATTAATTTAAGAATTAAAAATATTTCAAAAGAAAAATTATTCATTGAAAAGTTTTTTAAACTAATGGAGTTTCTTTAATAATTTTAATAATTGAAAATTTTGAAAGCAATTGGATTTTATGGAGAAGAATTTTATTAAAATTATATTGAAAATAATTGAATTCTTGCGAAGAATCTTACTATTTATAAAAATAATTGAATTGTTCCGAAGAAATTATTAAAATTTTAGAAAATAAATGAATTTTATGTTACTACTTGAAAATTTAAATACTTTCGAGGAATTCTATTAAAATTTGTTTTGAAAAGAATTGAATTTCTGCAAAGGATTTTACTATTTTTTAAAAATAATTGAATTTTGCAAAGAATTTTACTATTTATAAAAATAATTGCAATGTTTCGAAGAATTTATTGAAATTTTAAGAAATAATTAAATTGTTATGAAGAATTTTATAGAAATATTTGAAAATAATGAAATTTTTTCGAGAAATTCAATTAAAGTTGTTTCGAAAATAATTGAATTTCTTTAAAAAATTTTATTAAAATTAAGTATTTTCAAAATAATTGAATTCATCACAGGAATTTTATTATTTTTTGAAAATAATTGAATTCTTTCAATTTTTTTGACGAATATATTTAAAAATTGCATTGAAAGTAATTTAATTTTTATATAGAATTTTTTAAAAATATTTTGAGAATAATTCTCTTATTATATAATATATAATTCTCTCTTATTAAAAATTAACTTTCATGTGCCTACTAGGAGATTGCGTAATTATTTACCCTTTTATGAACAACATCACCGCTGTAATTATGCTGCTAATTCGGTTTTCTCAAGAATTAGTGTGGAGGCAAACAATTATTCCGATTGCATTGATTTTTTCAACTCAAATGAGAACAGATTTATCAGCGAACTTAAAAACACGATTTTTTCATTTGACTAAATTTCATTTACTTCGGCCAATCTTATGATTTCTTTCTTTTGTAATTTTCTTTAGATTATAAGATCACTTTTGTTAAGGACTTTTTTGTCCGTCCAAACTTTAAATAAATAAATAAATAAATAAATAATTTAAATTGGATTAAAAATTATTTAATTCCTGCAAAGAATTTTAGTATTTAAAAAAATAATTGAATTTTTTCGGAAGATTTATTAAGATTTTAAGAAAAAAATTGAATTTTTCGAAATGTGTTAAAAATTTTTACAAAAATTGAATTCTTTCGAGGAATTTAATTAAAATTGTTTTGAAAATCATTAAATTTTTGTAAAAATTTTACTATTTAAAAAAATAATTTAATTTTTTAGAAGGATTTATTAAAATTTTAGAAAATAATTGAATTCTTTCGTAAAATTTTATTAAAATTTTTGGAAATATGAACAGAAATAATTATTTGTATAACAATAATAAATTGTTTTACTCGTAAAATTTACTGTTTATTATTATAATAAAGTCAGTGCTTTAGAAAAGTAAATACCTTTGCGAGTTCTCCTGCTTATAATAAACATAATAGGCGGTGATATTTCCATTTGTGTCTTCCGGTTCCTGCCATCGAAGTGTGATAAATCGTGACTCAACAATGACGAGACTCAAATTTCTCGGCGCTGATGGAACGCTACCTCCAATTGACTCGAATGTTTCTGTATCGTCTATAAAACGTGAGTCTGGATCGTAAGATGGATTGGGACCTCTAATTGAATCCAAAAGATCTGAAGGATCATCGGATGGACTTATTGAAAGGGGAGGATTTTGTGTATAAGCGGACAATGTATGTCCCAATAGTGTACTTGGATGTTGCCACGTATTATTATACAATTGTCGATGAAACTGCAATTTCTTCTTGGGCATTGACTTTGGTGTCGTTGCCTTGCGTGAATTCACTTTTTCTAAGGTTCATTTTTTTTCAAGGAATTTTGTTAGCATGCAAAAACAGTTAGTAAGAGGAAATAATTTGGAGCAAAGGATGAAAAACAAACAGAACAAAAGAAAATTAATTAAAAACCATAAAAATATATGTAACTTAAATTAATTAAATTAAACTCACTTTAATTAAATAACTATTAATTAAATAATTTAATTAATTCAAATAATGAATAATTAAAAATTTGAACATGACTAATTCAAACTCAACTTTCAAAACTGAACTAATTCAAACTATAATTAAAAAATCAAACTAATTTAAAGTATAATTAAAAAATTAAACTACTTTAAAGTATAATTAAAAAATTAAACTAATTTCTATAAAAGTAAATATTTATTAAAAACTAAAATGTAAAGTAATTAATATTAATAACTAACGTTTAGTAAATTCTATTACTAAACTAAATAATAGTGAATTATTAATATTGAAATTTTAAATAGAAATGTTTTTAAATTTCTAAATTAAAATTAAAAAGAAAACTCACTCGGTAGATTAATTGTGAGACGTGCTGATGCTTGAATACTGCCTGCAGGATTAATACCGATACACTGAAAAATTCCTGCGTCAATTGCTAGAAGACCATTTATCCTGAGATTGTGTCTAAACGAAAATAGTAAAAAAAAAAAATTAGTATTATTATAATAAACTAAACAACGAGATACAAAATGTAAAAAAAAATAATACACACCCACTGGCAAGTTGCCAATATTCGCTAAAGTTAATGCGTTCACCATTCTTCAACCACGTTACTTTCGGCTCTGGTTTCCCATGAATTTCACATTCAAATTCCAAATCCTGATTTTCATTGGCCGTTTTATCCTGCGGTCGTTTTATAAATTTCGGCGGAACTGCAAACATTATTTCACAAAATATAAGGAACGAAAGAAGAATACAATTTTTTTCTGAATGCTAAATAAAACAAATAAATGATAATAAAAAGATAAACACAGTTGTCACGAAAATAATAATTTTATTAACAACTTTTGAAAATATTTTGAATTCCCTGATTCCCCTGACCATTGGCAATTCTGATAAATAAATATCTAGATAAGTAGAAAATTTTAATTATAATTAAATTATATTTTCACCTTGTACGTAAACTTCGGCGACAGCGTCCAAAGTTTCGACTTTATTTTTGGCTCGACACTGATAAGAACCATGATCCTCTTCCTTAATTTCCATAATCATCAAACTGGAAGACGCCAATTGTAAATATCGTGAACCAAATAAGGCCAAATCAATCGCTACGCCGTCCTTCAGCCATGAAACCGATGGTTTTGGATTTCCATTAACGGCACATTCTAAAGTGACACTCGATCCCTCAACAGCCACTTGTTCCATGGGTTTTGCAATAAACACTGGAGCCGTCGCTTGATCTAAAGAGAACAAATAAAAAAAATGATCAAAACAAATATTTTTTGTTAAATTAAAAATATTTTTAATTTAAAATTCAAAATTTTTGTAAATTAATAAATTTTTACAAACATTTTTTTACAAAAATATAAACATGAAAATAAAATTTAAAAAATAAATAAAATAAGTGAAAATAAAATACAAAATTTTTAAATCTAAATATTTTTCAACAAATAAAAATTAATTTAATAATTATTTTTGAAAAGGAAAAAGAAACGAACCGTTATCATACGGCAGCATCGTGAGTTGTCCTTTATTACTGAGTCTGTATTGTCCAAAACCGCTTGCATTACACATGTAAACTCCAGCATCTTGAATCCTTACGTCGTCAATTTCCAAAGCTCCTGTTGTGTAAAAAAAGTATTAAAAATAAATAAAATAAATTTTTTCTAAAGACAAATTTTTTTTACGTTTCATATTTGAAAAAGGAAAATTATACCTGAAGGAAGAATTGTCATTCGTGTGTCATCGAGCATTAATGTATGCTCGTCCTTTAACCACTTTATTTCTATTTGCTTAGAAAACATTGAGAGTGAACAGCTGAAATAAACGACTTGTCCCTCATTGACAATTGTGTTTTGTGGCTCCTTCTCAAATCCTGGCAGACCTGAAAATAGAGAGACGAAAATTTACTCAGCTTCAAATCTTTTATTAAATATTATTCTATATTAATGTTTATTTTCTTCTTATCTTCTTTATTTTTTTCCCTTCTTTCTTTTTATTTTTTTTCTACTTTTTTTCATTCTTTTTTTGTCTTTCTCTTTTAATTCTTTCTTTTTCAGGGTTGCCACGCTTTTTTGCTCATTTCAAATTCCCTGATTTTTTCAGATTTTCTAGGTTAAAAAACAGAATTTTTCCAGGTTTTTAAAACTACATTTGCTGACAACAAACATTTAATTTTCTTTTTCCCTGACAAAATTAAATTCCAGACAAAATTCTTACTTCTTGACTCTGAAGAATATTCTCAATCAGTTTCAAAATTATTACTCAGAAAAATGTTCCATTGCTTTTTTTTGAATAAATATTTAATTATTATTTTTCCTTAGGAATTAAAATTTTTCAAAACATTCAAATTGAAACCTTTTTGAAATTAAACAATTTTCAAAAAATTGTTATAAAACATGAAGATATCAATCACTCCGAGTCTTCGACTCGGAGCAATCAATATCTTCATGTTTTATAATAATAATTAAAGATTACCGACTGATAAAATCATTATTTTATATTTTATAAGAATATTGTTACTGTAACTTCATCAAAATTATTCTCATCTCAATTCAATTATTTTCTAGAATTTTCAACTAAAATTCTTCTTTAAATTAATTATTCATTCATTTTTAATAATTTTTGAAAAATTTCTTTGAAAATCTTCAAATCCTTTTGTTTACAATTCAATTTTACGAAATTTCATCGATTATTTGGAAATTCTTCAATTAAATATATATTGGAAAATAAAAACTTGAAATAATTTCAAAAAAGTTCCATTAAACTTTAAAAAAAAATTAAATCTACACAATTTTCAGTTAAAAGTATGAAAAATTTAAACTTTCAAAGATTATAATTTGAAATCCTTTTAAAATTCAATTATTTCTAAAAAAATTCACGCTATAATACTTTCTCTTTAAATTTGAATTAGTAAAAATGTTTACTATTTTCGAATTAGTGACTGACTTTTTGCTTTTGAATTTATCAACAAATTTTTAAATAATTAAAATTCTTTTGACGAATTTTAATAAAATTTTTAAGAATAATTTCCATTTTCGAGAAATTAGATTAAAAATTGCATTAAAAATAATTGAATCTCTGTTAAAAAAAAAATTTGATTGAATTGAGAAAAGTTTTTGAAAATAATTGAAATTTTGCCAAGAATTTTATTAAATTTTTTGAAAATAATTGAATTTTCAAGAATAATTTTATTATTTATAAAGATAATTGAAATGTTTCGAAGAATTTATTAAAATTTTAAGCAATAATAAAATTTTTATGGAGAATTTTATAGAACTATTTGAAAATAATGAAATTTTTTCGAGAAATTCAATTAAAGTTGTTTCGAAAATAATTGAATTTCTTTAAGGAATTTTATTAAAATTAAGTATATTCAAAATAATTGAATTCATCACAGGAATTTTATTATTTTTTGAATATAATTGAATTCTTTGAATTTCTTTGACGAATATATTTAAAATTGAAAGTAATTTAATTTTTATATACAATTTTTTAGAAATATTTTGAGAATAATTGAATTATTTTTAGAGAATTTACAATTCTTGTTGAAATTGAATTTTATGGAAATTTTTGAAAATAATGAAATTCTTTTGTGTAGTTTTATTTAAATTGGATTAAAAATTATTTAATTCCTGCTAAGAATTTTAGTATTTATAAAAATAGTTGAATTGTTTCGAAGAATTTATTAAAATTTTAGGAAATAATTGAAATTTATGGAAATATTTAAAAATATTTGAATTCATCCGAGAAATTCAATTAAAATTGTTTTGAAAATAATTGAATTCCTGCAAAGAATTTTACTATATTTATAAAATTAATTGAATTCTTGCGAAGAATTTTTTTATAAAAATAATTGAATTTTTTTGAAGGATTTATTAAAATTTTAGAAAAAAATTGAATTTTTACGAAATGTGTTAAAATTTTTTTTAAAAAATTGAATTCTTTTGAGGAATACAATTAAAATTGTTTTGAAAATCATTGAATTTTTGTAAAGATTTTACTATTTAAAAAAATAATTGAATTTTTTAGAAGGATTTATTAAAATTTTAGAAAATAATTGAATTCTTTCGTGAAATTTTATTAAAATTTTTGAAAATATGAACAGAAATAATTATTTGTATAACAATAATAAATTGTTTCACTCGTAAAATTATTATTTTGTATTTATTATTTTGTAAACTTTAGACCAAAATTGAATTTTTGTGAAGAATTTTATTACTTTTGAAAAAAAAATTGAATTCTTGAGACGAATTTTAATGATATAATTGCTTTTTAAATAATTGAATTATTTTATGAAATTTTATTGAAATACGTAGATATTAAAAATAATTGAATTTTGATAAATTATTCAAATTAATTTAATTCTACGAAGAATTTTATTAAAATTATTTTGAAAAAAAATTGAATTGTTAAAAAGAATTTCATTAAAATTTTTGAAAAAAATACATAAATTATAGGAAGGCTTTTTATAATAATTGCATTTTTTTTAATGAATTATAATAAAATTTTTAAGAATAATTACATTTTTCGAGAAATTCCATTAAAATTGTATTAAAAATAATTGAAATTCTGCGATGATTTTTATTATTTATGAAAATAATTGAAAATAATTGAATTTCTGGTAAAAAAATATTATTCTTCATGAAAATAATTGAATTATTGCGAAGAAATTTATAAAAAAAATTTGTAAATAATGGAATTGCTGTCAAATTTTTATTATTTAATTAATTAATTGAAAATTGAAATTTTCTAAAATTTCAAATTAAAACCTTTTGAAGTTTTTCTATTTATGAAAATTGTAAACGCAACTCTTTTAAAATTGAATGAATTTTGAAATATTGAAGTAAAATCATATTTCAAGAATAAACACAATAACTTTAGAAAAGAATAATTTTCCAGGATTCCGATCAAAATTCCCTGACTTTTCCAGGTTTTTCCAAGGTTTACAAAATTTCCTGACATTTCCAGGTTTTCCAGGTTTCCAGGTTGCGTGGCAACCCTGGATTTTTGTTTTCATTTTTCTCTCCCTTTCTTTTTGTTTTTATTTTTTTTTCTCCCTTTCTTTTTGTTTTAATTTTTTTTCTCCCTTTCTTTCTGTTTGCCCTAAAGAAAATATACACTGACTTGCAAGTCTAATTGAAGAAGACCGAGAGACGATTGATCCAACATTATCGACGGATGCAAGACACTGGTAACCCCCTGTTAATTCTGGATTACCAGAATAGACACTGCTAATGTACAGCGATCCATTAGGCAACTGTGATCTAGAAATTAAGAAAGAATAATACAATTAAGATCAAATTTCACTAAAAATATCTTTATTTCTTTCAAAGAGTAAAAATTAAGAAAATATTTATCGACTTTGTAAATTTTCTTTTTGGACACAATTTTCAATAATTTGGAGTTTTTTGAATTGAAAATTGAATTGAAAACAATATTATTGTTTTCAATACAATTTTCAAATTCAAAAAACTCCAAATTAAAAATATTATTATTATTTAACAATTTTTGAATATTTTAATTTACGAATTTATAAATTTAGAAAAAACAAATAATTTTATTCAATTTTTTTTAAATTTCTGTTAATTTTTTTTTTTGGGAAATTTTTACCTATAATTATCGCCAAAAAATGTTATCGGTTGTCCATCGTCAGTTCGCCATTCGATTTTTGCCTCTCCAAAAACACTTTTCGCCTGGCAGTCTAATCTCGCCGGTCCTCCTTGCTCCACAACAATGTCTTCAGGCTCAACAGTGAATTGTATTCCTCCAGCGCTGATCACTGAAAATTTGAAAATTAAATTTTAATTATTAATTTTCAATTATTTCTAATAAACGTTATTAATTTAATTCAATTTATTTATTTATTCAAAAATCAATTTGATTATTTTTCTTTTAAACTTTACAATAAAATGGCTCTAAAAATAATTAGATACTAAAAAGAAATGTTCCATTACATTTATTTACGAATTTTTTTTGTAATTGTAAAATAATTCCAAAAATATTTGTTTCTATCGAGAAAAAAGTGACAGAAATTTATTTCTTTTTCACATGTGTAGCTATGTGCTTTCAAAGTCAAAAGCAATAATATATATATGAAAAAGTTATAACGCGTGGCATATATTTGTATAAGGAAGAAAGTGAGAACTTCCGCACCCTCTAAATATTTTCTTGTTCTCGACTCAGTTTTTTCTTCTATTCTTTTTGTCTCTAAAAAATTTTTTTTTCTTTTTTAGCTTTTTTCATTCTTTCTTTTCAGTTTCATTTCGTTTCGTACCTACTTTCTTCGGGTTTTTTTTTTTTTCGTTTGCTTTGTTTTTCCTTTGTTTTCATCTATGTTGGATAGAGATAATGCCAACGACTATATAGATTCGTAGAGAAAAATAAACTCACCGTCGTCTGAGATTTACGAGAGTAGAAAAGAAGTTGTTCTCTCTCGCTCGCTCGCGACAACCTACCGCACGAGAAGAGGAACTTTAAAATAGAATTACACATTTTCTGTTGCATATCTCGCGCTCACATTGTCGTCGTATTCATTACAAGCGGCTGGTTCATATATATATATATATATATGTATAATAACGTTTGTCTGCGGATATATTATTATGGTGCCTTAACAGGCTGTAAAATAAAACAGACGAGGAGCTGTAAAAACATTCAAAAATGAGAGAGAGAGAGAGAGAAAAAAAAATTCCCACAAAGTATAATAATATTTTCTTGGATTTATTGAGGCTAAAAAATAATTGAACCGCCAGACTTTGTATCTTAAGGAAATTTTATTCAATTTATATATTGTTGTAATAACCGACAAAAAAATCAAAATTTACCGAAACAAATATATTTAACAAAAGAAGAAAACAAAAAAGGAATAAAGTCCAAATAAAAAAAAAAAATTTTCACAAATTTTAATAAACTAATTGGAAAATAATTAAAAAAAAGTTTAATAAAATTCTTCAAAACGATTCAATTATTTTCACAAATTTTTCCTAATTCAATGATTTTTAATATCTATTTTAATAAACAATTTCCCAAAAGAACTGAATAATTTTAAAAAATATCTTTCTAAGTTTCAATTATTTTCAAAAATAACAAAATTTTCCCATGAATTCAAATATTTGATACGGTTCAAAATTTTTTTTTAAAAATTCCTATTGGTCCAATGAAAAGAAGCATATTAATGGACTCACTTTTTAATCATTCTTGTTATATCTGTCGAGCAGAGAGTATCTCATTTCTAAAACCTTTAATAGCTTTTCATAATTTTCAATATTTTCAAAATAATAAAATTCAAATTATTAAATACTTATGATAATTTAAGTATTATTTATTACATTGTATAAAAACATCAATTAGCTTATTAAATTTATTTAATTTAAGAGTTATTAAAATAACTTTTTCTTTTTTTTATGAATAGTTTTTCAGATTACAACTATCAACATAAGCAGGTAAGTGACCTAGAATGAAATAGTAGATTTCGTTCAAGGGTTAATTTTTCTCAAATTATCAACAGTCTGAATTCTGGTTTTTTATTGCGTTTATTCAAAGATATTTTAAATCTATTCAGTTAATATGAAGAGCTTTCTTTTACGAAAACTCTTTTAATTTAAAGATTTCTATTTTGATCATTTTTTTTTAAACTATGAATATTCGCAATGGATGTAAACCAATGTAAGCCAAATATCTTCAAACTCCCTGGAGATGAATAATATTAAATTAAAAAGAAGTAATTCATCAGCTAATGCAACGCCAAACTAAACTTTTTTTCTTTTGTCGCAAATTAAAAAAGGATTAATAGTCCTTAAGATTAGATCATAGCGAAATTTTTTTGTAAATTTTTGATAGCCAGCATCCCCACCCGCCCGTATCAGAAAAACGGAAATTGGAAAAAAAATCGAAAAAAATTCATAACTCGAAAAATTTTAGACCAAATGTTTATTTCTTGGTCGCAAATTGAAGGGAGATTAATGCTTCTTCTCATTGGACCAATAGGAATTTTTTAAAACAATTTTTGATAGCCAGCGTCCCCACCCGCCCGTATCAGAAAAACGGAAATTTGGAAAAAGTTCAAAAAAAATTCATAACTCGAACAATTTTAGACCAAATGTTTATTTCTTGGTCGCAAATTGAAGGGGGATTAATGCTTCTTCTCATTGGACCAATAGGAATTTTTTAAAACAATTTTTGATAGCCAGCGTCCCCACCCGCCCGTATCAGAAAAACGGAAATTTGAAAAAAATCGAAAAAAATTCATAACTCGAACAATTTTAGACCAAATGTTTATTTCTTGGTCGCAAATTGAAGGGGGATTAATGCTTCTTCTCATTGGACCAATAGGAATTTTTTAAAACAATTTTTGATAGCCAGCGTCCCCACCCGCCCGTATCAGAAAAACGGAAATTTGAAAAAAATCGAAAAAAATTCATAACTCGAACAATTTTAGACCAAATGTTTATTTCTTGGTCGCAAATTGAAGGGGGATTAATGCTTCTTCTCATTGGACCAATAGGAATTTTTTAAAACAATTTTTGATAGCCAGCGTCCCCACCCGCCCGTATCAGAAAAACGGAAATTTGAAAAAAAATCGAAAAAAATTCATAACTCGAACAATTTTAGACCAAATGTTTATTTCTTGGTCGCAAATTGAAGGGGGATTAATGCTTCTTCTCATTGGACCAATAGGAATTTTTTAAAACAATTTTTGATAGCCAGCGTCCCCACCCGCCTGTATCAGATAAACGGAAATTTGAAAAAAAATCGAAAAAAATTCATAACTTTAAAAATTTTAGACCAAATGTTTATTACTTGGTCGCAAATTGAAGGGGGATTAATGCTTCTTCTCATTGGACCAATAGGAATTTTTTAAAACAATTTTTGATAGCCAGCGTCCCCACCCGCCCGTATCAGAAAAACGGAAATTTGAAAAAAAATCGAAAAAAAATTCATAACTTTAAAAATTTTAGACCAAATGTTTATTTCTTGGTCGCAAATTGAAGGGGGATTAATGCTTCTTCTCATTGGACCAATAGGAATTTTTTAAAACAATTTTTGATAGCCAGCGTCCCCACCCGCCTGTATCAGATAAACGGAAATTTGAAAAAAAATCGAAAAAAATTCATAACTTTAAAAATTTTAGACCAAATGTTTATTACTTGGTCGCAAATTGAAGGGGGATTAATGCTTCTTCTCATTAGACCAATAGGAATTTTTTAAAACAATTTTTAATAGCCAGCGTCCCCACCCGCCCGTATCAGAAAAACGGAAATTTGGAAAAAGTTCAAAAAAAATTCATAACTCGAACAATTTTAGACCAAATGTTTATTTCTTGGTCGCAAATTGAAGGGGAATTAATGCTTCTTCTCATTGGACCAATAGGAATTTTTTAAAACAATTTTTGATAGCCAGCGTCCCCACCCGCCCGTATCAGAAAAACGGAAATTTGAAAAAAAATCGAAAAAAATTCATAACTTTTAAAATTTTAGACCAAATGTTCATTTCTTGGTCACAAATTGAAGGGGGATTAATGCTTCTTCTCATTGGACCAATAGGAATTTTTTAAAACAATTTTTGATAGCCAGCGTCCCCACCCGCCCGTATCAGAAAAACGGAAATTTGGAAAAAGTTCAAAAAAAATTCATAACTCGAACAATTTTAGACCAAATGTTTATTTCTTGGTCGCAAATTGAAGGGGGATTAATGCTTCTTCTCATTGGACCAATAGGAATTTTTTAAAACAATTTTTGATAGCCAGCGTCCCCACCCGCCCGTATCAGAAAAACGGAAATTTGAAAAAAAATCGAAAAAAATTCATAACTTTAAAAATTTTAGACCAAATGTTCATTTCTTGGTCACAAATTGAAGGGGGATTAATGCTTCTTCTCATTGGACCAATAGGAATTTTTTAAAACAATTTTTGATAGCCAGCGTCCCCACCCGCCCGTATCAGAAAAACGGAAATTTGGAAAAAGTTCAAAAAAAATTCATAACTCGAACAATTTTAGACCAAATGTTTATTTCTTGGTCGCAAATTGAAGGGGGATTAATGCTTCTTCTCATTGGACCAATAGGAATTTTTTAAAACAATTTTTGATAGCCAGCGTCCCCACCCGCCCGTATCAGAAAAACGGAAATTTGAAAAAAAATCGAAAAAAATTCATAACTTTAAAAATTTTAGACCAAATGTTCATTTCTTGGTCACAAATTGAAGGGGGATTAATGCTTCTTCTCATTGGACCAATAGGAATTTTTTAAAACAATTTTTGATAGCCAGCGTCCCCACCCGCCCGTATCAGAAAAACGGAAATTTGAAAAAAAATCGAAAAAAATTCATAACTTTAAAAATTTTAGACCAAATGTTTATTTCTTGGTCGCAAATTGAAGGGGGATTAATGCTTCTTCTCATTGGACCAATAGGAATTTTTTAAAACAATTTTTGATAGCCAGCGTCCCCACCCGCCCGTATCAGAAAAACGGAAATTTGAAAAAAAATCGAAAAAAATTCATAACTTTAAAAATTTTAGACCAAATGTTTATTTCTTGGTCGCAAATTGAAGGGGGATTAATGCTTCTTCTCATTGGACCAATAGGAATTTTTTAAAACAATTTTTGATAGCCAGCGTCCCCACCCGCCCGTATCAGAAAAACGGAAATTTGGAAAAAGTTCAAAAAAAATTCATAACTCGAACAATTTTAGACCAAATGTTTATTTCTTGGTCGCAAATTGAAGGGGGATTAATGCTTCTTCTCATTGGACCAATAGGAATTTTTTAAAACAATTTTTGATAG